AGTGGCAGCAAAAGCGTAAAAATTCGCCTCAAAGATTGAACTAGGGAGTCTGTGTCTTGGAGTGTCTATTAAATTTTGGAAACAGCGCTGATCAATTTTATTTTCTAGCTTCTCAACAAAAAAATACTTAGTAATTGAAGATATTTTACATTATAGAAGAATCCTATCACTATTTTTCAGCGTATAATACAGAACTCATTTTCAGTTTTCTGTTTAGTTGTCTGGTATTGGTTTATTGATAGATGTTTAGCAGGGAAAAATTGTGAACTATAACTTCTTCACCCTGTTACTTTTTTAAGAGTTCTGGAGACTGTAAATGTTCACATGTTCTACTGAAAGATTGCGAAAGTAACATTCATTTATAACATTTGAAGGATTATTCATGGAAAAATTATGCAAAGGAAAAAAACAGTGAGATCCTCTGGGATATGTGTAAACTTTTCCAAATGTTCTTGCCACAGACCACTAAACAGCACTCAGCTCATTCTGATGAAGTTGTCTTATGTTCTCTAATGCAAACAATTTTTAATAATGTTTTAATATTTTTATACAATATTTTTTGTGCATGTCAGCATAACCTTGAAAATGATTCTGAGAAATAATGAGAACCAAACTAACCCCTGTTTATGCCAGCTGACTGGAAAATCCTACTAAGAGTGCTTTGTCTCCATGAAAGGCAAAATAACAGAATAGCAATCATGGTAACAGTATGCACTAGGAGTGGAGCCAGGAGAGTAAGGAGAGTTAGCAGTAGCAGATGACTTCAGTTACTGGGGGAAAAAAATGGGCAACATAATCTCAAATGAATTGAAGTTTTGGAATTTTGTTATAAGCACTATCAGGCATAGGTTGCCGAGATAATTCCTCAGCAGTCTGGTATGTCCATAAACATCCCTTGGCTGTGCAGCATTCATCAATATCTCACCATTTACCCTCTTTGGCATCCTTCTTGGCACAATCTCACTTGTCTTTTACTCCTTAACAGAAATGAGGTCATCTCTCTTGTGCTTTATAACTCGTACGACACTCTTTACACCCCTGACTTCTTACTGAACTGAGTGTACCCTGCAACAGAATTCCAGCCTAATGAGAGCTCCAAACTTTGCAGTTCTTTTTTGTAGACATTTGACAGAAGAGCAGATGTAAGATTTTGTAAAAGATTCTTTTTGCCTTAACACAAACTCAGTAGATCCAGATGATGTTTGTTTCTTTCTCTTGACTTGGGGATGAGGAAGAAGCAGAAATACACAGAAAATAACTTCTTCAGGCAGTGCTATATCAGCACAGCCGATATTTCTTTCTGCACTTTTTCCCCACAGATCATTCTTTTCTCTATTATCAGGATCTTCCCTAAAGACATCTAACCAGGAATTCAAGTCCTTTGTCTCTTTTCTCAGGACTGGTCAAAGAGATTGTGATTACCTTATTGAATAGCAAGGAAGCCAGACTGGAACTGTTGGCTTAAATTGTAAGGTTCCTACACCTGTTCTGACAAATTCTGTCACCATTGGGGCATCTCACCATAGTTAGGCAGTATTTTAACCTGAAAACGGATAGAGTAGTTTTTGTCAGTCTTCAATCTGAAATAAACAATCCCTAATCATATTACGTGATTTGTTTCGGTTCATTTTAATAAACTTTTTTCTGTTCTGAAATTGTCCAAGTAATAAAAGCTCTTGTTATAATTAAGTTATAATGATCACTCAAATATTTTTCTTTTTATTAAATTCACATTAATGTAAATTTCACCCCAAGTTTTCTAAAGGGGGATTTTTTTTTTAAATTAAAGTAGACTTGTAAAGTGAAAATTCAGAAAGAGCTGTTTTTGTTGGTAGACATCATCTCTTTATTTTTTTGGAGGCCTGGGTAGAGATAATATTTAGATATATAAATACTTAAAATACTAGGAGACAAATCCATCTGACTTTGATTTTGTTATGGCTTGACTGTGTTAGCACAATACCTGGTACTTTGCTGTTCTTTCTCTGGACAAAATTTTTGATACTTTGTGCCAATGACCACTGTCTTACAACCAAATTAATCAAGTAGTCTTACTGCTTTGAACTCAGTGGCTCTTCACAGTGAGATACTTAATCTGTTAGACTGTCATGTATTATGTCTAAGCAACTTTATTAATTTTTTTGATGGTGCAGCGTCTGTGGAAATCATGCTGAAACACACTTAAGGGTTTGCCCTTAAGACTGCAGCTCTTTCACAGACTGAATTTGCAACAAATTATTGAATGGTGTGTTTCAAATTATTGAACGGTGTGTCACTGAACTATGTCATCTGCTTGCAAGGATTTACTGTAAATTGTGATTTAGAACTGACAGTAGCACCAGAAAGATCTGAACAACACAACAGAAGGCGAGGCAGAACTACTTACGTAGCCAGATTAAGGAGTGGCACAGTTAATATCTTACAAGGTATTAATAGCAACAGTAACCCCTGAGTGGCTACATTAACACTGAAGTTTTAGCTGAATTTTGTACTGCACTCTTGCTTAATATATATCCTCCTAATTTTCAGGAAAATTTTCCTCTGTCACAATCTTCATGCTGGATCTCAGCTCTCAAATATTTTGAGCTTCTAACCAGGTAGTAAACACGACAGTATTTCTAAGTATGGTAATGTTTCACAAGTTGAAAATACCTGATGGAAAGACACTATAAACTGAGCTTGCTGAACTCTGTTTCTTCTGAACTCAGTTTGTCAGAAGAGCTGGAAATTTTCAGACAAAAAGTTTCAGACAAAAAAAGTTTTGCTGAATCTTCTGCATGCATTTAAATGGTCTTCATTCGTATGTTAAGAATTCATGATGAAATGTAGTTAAGGACAACAGAGAAATGTACATTCTTGCTAGTAAGACTCTGGGTCTGAAATTCCTACCTGTTGGTGAAATATTAATTCAAAGAGTTTTTACAATCTATTAGTCACCAACTAATCATGCTCAGATTAATTATTTTTATATTCAAATTTTTGCTCAGCCTCCATGGCAGAAGAGGAGGGTTAATCCTATTCACCCTGGGGAAAAAGCCTCCACTGTCTTCTTACAACCCAGACACAACATTTTAATTAAAAATACAGCAGAACATTGTACTAAGTCTTTCTCTTCCCACCTCCCAGGCATATGGTTCTTGTTGAATTTCTGGATCAAGAAATGATTTAAAATGCATTTTTTTGGAATTACGTGTGACCTTTAAGCATAAGACCTTCTCTGAAGCCACATATGCTAATGACTCATGCTACAATAGTGTCATGCTTCACAAATTCTCAATTGCAATAAACAAATGATAGCAAAGCCAAGTGGGCAGAAGTCTGTTTGCATGTATGATGGTATGCAGAAAGAAAGCAGAAAACAGCATTACAAAGTGTTTTCCTTTTCTTCTCCTACTAAATTATGATCTGATGAATAGTATTAATGAAGATTCTTGCAATGAACTTGTTTCCCCTCTGTCAGATGCTGGAAATTGTCTCCTCTTTCTCCTTTTTTTGAGGATCCGTTAATTGTTACTTAAACTGCATAACAAACATTTTGCTCAAATATTGCAGAACACTGTTTGGGTGAAGATTTCCCCTTTTCTGCTCTTGAAGACTCTTTGTAATTCTTCGTAATGATAACCCAGTTCAAAGTGAAATTCCAGAGCCTAAGCTATGTGGAAATAAAAATACAAGTAATTTGGAATTAATTCCTTTATTTCATGCATCTGCATTCAAACCTATACTGCAGAGTGGATAAAGACAGTAAAAGATCTTTGCATCTGTTCATATTATTTTTTTGCCCATTATTAGGACAAACTCATTACTTGTTGTCCTGTTCCTTTTTCCATCCCATGCATTTTCACTTCTCCCTTGAAGAAACTGATGAATTACTTCTATGCTTGGGAGGTGTTGAAGTAGGCTATAGGGCAAATGCAGAATCATTTCTGTTACTAGCATGTCTTCACATCTCATTTTTAGTCTGTGCCCTAGAATGGTGGTTATTTCCTATTTCTCTTTATCTGTAATTTGAGTTCAGACACTTTTGTAAGGATTCTAATGACAGCTGTCTGTGTTTTTCACATCAAAAAGTTTGTGTCTCTACTGAACTCTTAACAGGTGATTAGAGGTTAGAATAAGAACTGAATAAGCTGCAGACACTGGAGTGTACAAGAAGTAATTTCTGTAAATGCAGGAGGTCTCTCTTGCTATTACTTAAGCTGTACCAAGTCTGGAGATAAGTAGGTGTGGGACAGACAGCCACATTCATGACCACTATTTCAATTTCTGTCAAGAGTACTAACATCACAACTAAATATTTAACAGTGAAATCTTAACTGTTTATTGTGAAGCCAAGAGAAGCCATATATTCACTGAAGATAATAGGCCTTGTTCTCCACTGTATTGCAGAATTCACTGCCAGTCTTTTGTAGACTGCATCAAGGAACTGAAGCTAGAACAGCTTGTCCGTGTTTTCTATGGGGCCTCGTAAAATCTGTAAAATGAGAGGAAGAATAATTGTAGTGAGACATCCCTAAGCCTCATAGTGAGAAGCAGTACATCTGTCTGGCTGTAAGACAAATGAAAAACCCTTGCTTTCTCTTACATGCTCAAATTGTGAGTCAGTATGAGCAGACTGTTTACAGTTTATTCACAACATGGAGTTGTAAGAGAAACTCTAAACATGTGTGAACATTCCTACTCACACCCGAGATACAGACTGACTTTATGGCTCTGCATGTTGCACTTTGGCACATACAACTATTGTAAGGGTGCCAAGACTTTTTGTAGGAGTTCACTGTTGAAAGTATGTACAAAGATGTTTTAAAGATTACTTCCAGGCACTTCAAGTATATAGAGACTAATTCATAGCAGAAATGAATGCTATGGATGCTATACTCATTAGAAATCATGTCTTCAGGATATCTGTAAGAATTAATTTTAATCAGCTGCTAAACACACAAGCCCATTAATTTCTGGGCTTTACCACAGTTCAGTGTTAAATAATCTTTGTCTTTTAGGTCCAGCTGAAGTGTCAGCAGTTATGAAATTCAGCAGGAGACCAACATGTCCCGATACCTCAGTAGCAGCAAGTCTGTCTACACCTCCTATACCAAGGCATAGGAAGAGTCACAGCCTGGGAAACAAGTGGGTACTGCAGGTTCCCTCACTCAGGCAGTTTCATGCATCACCGAGGTTTAATCTGGCAGCAGAACACTTCGGTATTTGCTTCTTCCCTTTCCTGTACTGCCAGAGTGCTTCAGGCTTTGCTATGTATTCTCTAAGTTTTCTTTTGACATTTGTGTTTTTGCTGGCAGTATTTGCTCGTCATTCTTGAAAGCTGTGACCTTTTGCACTGTTCTACAAATGAGACACTTTGCTAGCTAAGTACGAGCACCTGCTCTCCAGTTAAGGCGAGCATATACCGAATTTCACATTTAATGGGTTAAGGAAACCCATCATAGTTCATGATTGATCTGTTTGTTCAACTTAGTGCCCAGTTATCTGCTTGCTACCTAATAACCTATAGACTATATTTTGTGTTCATGGTATGATAATGTAGAGCCTGAGTAGAAATATCAGATGGAAATGGTTGTTATCAGATGACATAAGAGGGTTCATGCATTTTTCTCTTTCCAAATTTCTAGCATGATGTGTCAGTTCAGTGTGGTGGAGAGCAAAAGCGCCACTTTCCCGACAGAGAGGCCGCGCCACCTTCTGGATGACAGCGTCCTGGAGTCACAGAGCCCAACCCGCAGCCACATACTGAACTCGCTTTTCACCAATGGCATTTCCATAGGTAGAGACTGAGTGGAGGACTGACTTACCTGGTTTTCCCTCGCAGTTCTCTTGTGAAGTCATAGAGCAATACAAAATCAAGGAATTAGGAAGCTTAGTAGCTCCTGGGCAAAGACTGTGCTACTGTATAGAAGAAAGGAGATCGGTGTTACTTCTCACTTACTTAATTGACTGTATTTCAACTTTCTTTTATCACTCTTGGGCAAATGAAAATGGAGTTAAATAGCTATGCCAGGGAAGGACAGACAGATGGGTCAAGGGCTTGGATGAGAAATAGGGGCTACCAGTGTGAATTCCATTTTACTGATTTGTTATGACTCCTAGCAGCAGCTGGCATACCATCTGTTGCAGGTGTGCGTGCTTGCAACAAACAAACAGTCATATCATGTCTAATAATTTTAATTGACTTGCAGATGTTATACTAGAAATATTGTCTTACAGAGTAATTTGATTTTGTGTTTCTGAAGTATTCAGCTTTTAACTGAAAGACAGCGTAATGAAAATAAAAGCAGTGTGCAGATTTCTGGTATTTAAATACAACAGCAACAGTGACTTCATTCATCAATGATACATTACAAAAGAGAGGGGCTGATATAAGCCTCCTCTGATTTTAGATGGTTTTCTTACTCCTTCTCTGTTCACCATTTTTTCTAGATAGCAGTGAAAGCTCAGAATTTAGTGAGGAGCTGCCGTCAGGGCTTGAAAGGTGAGTTAATTTTCATTTCCGCTCACTGAGCACTAACCTGATTTAATACTAACAGATTTAGAGAAATTCCTGAATGATCTGTACCATAGATAAGTCCTAAAACAGTGGTTATTTTTATGTTTTTGTTATTATCACTTAAATTTTAAAAATGGAGAACTCCAGAATAAAACGCTGTAATGTTGTGTTTTCTTTTCATGGACGTGAAAAGATCTCTTTCATGTTTACCAGACCCTAATTGTTGAAATCTCAGACTAGATTTTCATTCACTGAATATCTACATGTGCAAATAGGGGCCGTTTATATGCCACACTGGGGCCGAATTGGAGGGTGCCAATCCGGAATTCTCCCAGGAGTCGAAGCTGTATCTACAGGTACAGTTCAGGCCTCTCTTGCTCAGTTTACGGTGATAAACTTTCACTTGGGCATCTACATTTTCCTAGCCTAAGGTATTTGTGTCCAAGGGTATCCTTGCATGACTATACTTTAGCGTTTTTGATAAACTTGTTTTTAATAAAACTATCTGTGACAAGTAATGTTATTAGGAAGATGCCTTTTTAACTCTTTCTCAGAATTTATTTCCTGAGTTATAGGATAGCTACCCATAGCATCTGCTTGTGTCAGAAAGCATATAGGATATGTTATTTTTGTACAGCATAGAGGTGTGGCATTGGACGCTGAGTAGGAGAGGGAACATCTGCACTGCTTATGTAGCAGGTACTTCCAATGTTGCTTGCTGCTAAAACATGCACTTTTTATTAACGGATAATTAGTTTACAGCCCAAAGAGAGGTGATGTGGAAAACTGTGTATAGTTAAAGTGATAAAAAACATTCACTGTATCCACGCCTGACTAAAATTCCAGATAAATTCTGTGATAGTTGCAAGTGAGGTATGTGTAAGTAGTAAGTATATATAAGAAGTATATATAAACAACAGGCCCCAAACATGGTATTCTGCAAATACTGACATTTAATTGGAGTTTAAATCCAGTCAGTTTTGTTTTGTCTAAATTAGATTGCTCTGTCAAAATGTAAATGTAAGAATAGTCATTTTGGCTGAGCTAGTGACATTTGACAGCAGCCCAAGTTAGAAATTATGCAGGAATGTAGATGTATACATTAAAAATAAGTAAAAGAATACATATTTTAACAATATTTCAACTAAACCTGCTTCTGGAAAATATTCTCTTATACATGCCTATGGCAGATTTGTTTCAAAATTTTATGGACACAATAAATGTAAAATGTAAGAAGATAAAAATGAGATATACATATTAAATCCACAAAGAACTGTTCCCTAAAATACATTTCTTACATTTATCCACGGTCAAGTGTTTCTATTGCTTGTATTCATTCTTCGTTTTCTGGAGTCTTCTATTTATTATATTAGAAAATTAGAACTGGAAAGAATATGCATTAGCATAGATAGGGCAATCTATTTGATTATAGAAGTCACAGTTGCCACTTTGAAGTGAAGGTCTTGTATAGGTGTCGTTGCTTTGTATATCACGTTCACCAGCCTGTTCTTTGTAATACCATCATAGTTGTTCTTAAACAGACTCATTCTCCTTTTGCAGATGATGGGTAGGTCATATGCATGTCCTTTTTCTTGTATTCGTTATCAGACATGATTTAATTGTCTCAGGTGAACTGTAGTATCCCTTATCTTTATAGAACTATCAGAGCTGTGATCACAGGACAATTAGAAGAGGTTAGCAGCAGGTAGTTCTAGAAGATATCACTTATGAATCGATCTTTGGTTGTCATGTTCTTAGTGACGGTGTACATTTCTAACTATAAATAAGTTCTTTCAGTTGTAGCACTTTTTCACTGTAATATATGGGAAGTTCTGTGGTTGTATTGGGCAAGGAAAAAAATATCTTAATCACTGTACATCAAGTAACTTGGCATTGTTATTTAGTTATCCCAACTTTTTTCCAAATAGCCCAGGTAGCATTCCTTTTTTGATAGCTAAATTACAGGCCCCAATTGCTAAAATTTTAAGCTACTTTCATACATTTAGATAATTTCTTGAATTTACCCAAATAAAATAGAAAATTGCTGATTTTTCCTTTGACTTCAGGTCTCTGTATTTCTTTTGTTTTGATTTTAATGTCTGAGTTCTGAGAATAGAATCTTTTCTTAATGTACTGTGTTTAAAAAGCCCTGATTCTTTTTTGGTGTATAGGTCTGAAAAATAGATATTTGCAGAGTTGTGTCTAATGCTACACTATATTCAAGGCAATGCAGGAAAAATAGATTTAAATTATATTATTTGTTTCTTGCTTGTATTTTTTTCAAAGCATATGATAATGTTATGATTCTGTAGCCCAACAGGAGCCTGCAGCTGCACATTAGGTAGTTCCATGGGAGTAGTTACCATGGAAGGCCCCTTAAGAAGGAAAACATTGCTCAAAGAAGGCAAGAGACCTACTGTAAGTGATTCTAATTCTCCTTGGGATTCTAATTCAATAGCAATTGTTTTAAATTTTCAGGATTAGATTCAGTTTTAACTGTTTTATAACAAGTTTGTAATCCTTGCATATCATTTGATCTGCAGCAGCTTTACTTCTCCCTTCACTTGAAACTAATTTCTCTAGGTTGTGGCAGCAAAGCAAGACATAAGCATCTCTCTCACTTGACATGCCTTTATGTCAGGGCAGAAATTTAGTATCATGGTGAACTGAGAAGGCTGCAGGGCATCCACCTTTAGCACCAAAGCCATGGATATTCATAATTACCCTATATTCGCAGGTTTCCAGTGAATTGGTATTTTTTTTGTTTTCTTCTGAGTTCACTTGAAAGCTTTTATGTAGATCCCTACTGTTCAATCCTAGAAGATTTGAAGAACACAGGAGTGTCATCTCAATAAATGTTGTTGATCAGAGGCAGAAGTCTAAGTAGAAGGCAGCACACTGTACAAATCAGTCCTGATGTTTTTGTGGGATACAAAGTAAGATGGCTTGCATTCACAGCCAGCCACCCAAGTTTAGATATCTGGAATGATTTATGCTAGAAAACACTCTATTCAGATCCTCATTCTTTGCATCTGAATTTAACTTTTTTAGCACTTGGACTTGCTAGTGAATAGTTGTTTTTTTTTAATGTCCAAAATATTAAATTTCCATTATCTTTTTCCCTTCTGATTTAGCTTTCTTCATGGACTAGATACTGGATTATGCTTTCAGGATCAAATCTTCTGTACTTTGGAGCAAAATCTTTAAGAGGCAATGAAAGAAAACATGTAAGATTTAAATTTGTTCTAAAACCACAATCTGCATATTCGTAGACAGATCTGAAAAGTGCATTTTTAGTGTACTTGCTATTTTTCTAGGGTAAGCAATATGTCTGCACAACTTCTACAACAAAAAATTGATCTCCAAAATGTTCTTAGGTATGACATACTTTTCTGTCTCTTGCAGTATAAATCTACACCTAGTAAAAAGATATCCATTGTGGGCTGGATGGTGGCACTGCCTGATGACCCTGAACATCCTGATATTTTTCAGCTAAATAACCCTGACAAAGGTAAATTTTGCAGGATGGACATTCCCTGAATTTCTGTGATAGAAAGTAGAGCTATAGCTATTTGATGAGTTTGTCAATTATAGGACTTACAGTGATACTCATTTGAAAGCATGAAGAGATATTTTCAAGGGAGGATACAAATTAAGTTGAACATCTGTGATATTCTGCACTGCCTACCTCTCTGGTGCCCACACACGTATTTCTGCATCTTGACAGTTACTGTAAGATTTGTGGATATTGCCTGACTAATGAGACCCTAATCTCTGAGTTTCTGAATAGCTTTCTTTGAATTGGACAATACCAAATCTTGACTTACAGTGGGGAAAATTACAATATTATGAAAATTCTTCAAACATCAAGCCATTTACCTAAAAAGCCTTTTATTCTTCATTACTTTTTAAAAATTAATTTTGAAGTGCCATAATTCTTCCAACTTGACCAAACTTTAAAAAAAAAATCAGAAAGATGCAAAATATTTTGTTTTTTGAAAAGTTATATAAAGATTTTTGAGCCTTCTTTCACTTCTCATGTGATCAACTTCAGTACTGGACAAGTGCATCTCTTGGTTGTTGAATGAAATGCATGGCATATTTGATAGCAAGAAGCAATTTACAAGATGTCAAAGCATGGAGGAGGCACACAGTAAGACACTGAAGAAAACTTTGATCACAAATATCAAAATAAGAAGTTTGGCAGTTACTACGACAGTCTTAATGAGAATAGACACAGAAATAAATCAGATCCACTCACTGGTCCTAACTGGTCTTTTCTGTAGCTGCAGTTTTTCCTCTTTTCCTATACACTGCTCTTAGCTTTGCAGAACACGTATGTTCTCATGCTGCCTTCACCCAGGGATTATTAAATAACATGGCTCACATGGGCTTTTTTATATGAGCACCATACTCCTCAAATGTGAATTCAACAATTTGCTTCAGGACTTCTGCTTCTGTATAGGAATCAGAACCCACTGAAGCAGTATGTCTGTTTGCAAATTGAGAGCCCTTGATCCTCTTATTTTTATAGGTAATGTTTACAAGTTCCAGACTGGTTCAAGGTTTCATGCAATATTATGGCATAAGCATTTGGATGATGCATGCAAAAGCAACAAGCCTCAGGTAAGACTGGGAAACCGCCTCTACCTGCTTTTACATGTTTTGCAGAAAACCCTTAATAGGAGACACTTCTTTTAAATCTGCATGCAAATACAGTCCTGTGTGGACAAGTCATTGCACGCTGATCCAGTTTTTCAATAGGAGGAATAAAAAGTGTTTAAAACTGCAGAGTACCCACCTGAAATTAAGATTAGTACCAGTCTACCTATAAGTTTGGTGACATCAACAGCATACAACCTCTGTAATTGCATCTTCAAGTAGTAATATAACCCTGTCTTTACTTCGGAAGGGACTTAGTCATGAATGAAGAAAGTAGCCAACATACTAGCAATTAAACTGATGACTGGGTTTATAACTACCATTGAAGAGAGTGTCCTATAAAATGCTTCATAATGTCCTTTATATAGCAGCTTCATTTTTCAGGGGAAAAAAAAAAAAAAAGTTAATTCTTGAAAAGTTTCCAGGGGCTTATATTGATAGGATGCTCAACTACTCAGGACACGTAACAGGGCACAGCTCAAGAATCTTATTTACACATACCTGCACATCCCATGCATACTAGTAACTTCTTGGACTGGATTTGGTCCACAAGGATAAAAATCATTTGAAGTTTTTATGTTTTCTTTCAGTTACGGTGTTAGCTGTCTTTTGTACCTTTTTGAGACTGATGACACTTTCTCATTGAATAACGTGTTGTTGGCCCACTGGATTTTTATTATATAGCAGGGAAAATTTTCACTCAGAGGGTGGTGATGCACAGGAACAGGCTGCCCAGAGAGGTTGTGGATGCCCCATCCCTGGAGGTGTTCAAGGCCAGGTTGTATGTAGCCCTGGACAACGTGACCTGGTGCCTGATTTAGTGTTTGGCAACTCTCTCCCCACGGCAGGAGTGTTGGAACTAGATAATCTTTGAGGTCGCTTGCAATCCAAGCCATTCTATTATTCTATGATTTTGTAACTTTGCAGCTTCCCAATGCTGTAATATGCTGAGGAGCAATATGCTGCTGAATAATGTACATTCTCTTCCAGGCACCTGCTAATCTAATGTCATTTGAATAATTTGCTCTTACCTGATGTGACTTCAAGTGCCAAACTGAAGAAACAAGCTATTGTTCTCTGAGGAAGAGGAGAAAATAATAGTTTTCCTGATGTAAGCCAGCCACAACTACTTCAGCACTTTCGTGTGCTACTTGAAAGTGATTCTGACACAGCTTTTAAAAGCAGAAAGTGAATGTTGTCCTCAGAACCAGATATAGTCTCATGCACTGAGTGGAAGTAGACCAGTTAGATGGACAGAAGATTAATCCTGACTCCTGCAGGATTCTAGAGTTTTCAACTTTCTGTGGTCGCAGACTGCCTGTGAACTGATGTTTGACCACAAAGTGAGCATCATATCTTCTGCCTATCCTTTTTTAAATTGCTCTTTTTATTGTTAAGCTGCTTTATGTGACTGAAGAACATTTGGCCCATGTTGGGTTTCAGTTCTTTCTAATGCACAAAATAATTGACAGTGTTAACTTGCTGCAAAGTGTCAGTTAAGATAGAAAATTGTGGGACAACTTTTTTATAACATAAGTGCACTGAGTTGCTTTGCAATGTGGCTGCCTCAGATTTTATATAAAATCTCTGGACAATTCTTTTGTTCAAATTTGAGCTATGTGGTAAAAATGTATTTTGGCACAGAGCAGTCATTTTTATTTGCTTACATTATTCTGAAATACCTTGACGATGAAGTGAATGAATTTAAGGTGTATAGTTTTAAATTTAATGTTGTGTTAAATGTCTTTTTTTGTTTTCTTACTAGCCATATAACTGTTACAGTTTGGTTTTTGTTTGTTTGTCTGTTTGTTTTTTAAATCTGAATATTGTTCATCGTAAAGGGAACTGCTATTCCTTGATACAGGGTAGCAGATAATCAGGTTGTATGATACACATTGTGCTGACTCCTCAGAATGACTCCATAACATTATTTGCTGTTCTGTCTTTCTGTTGGTGACTCAGTCTCACTTAATTCCAGTACGTGATGAACTTTTGTGGCATGCAGTCATGGTACTGCATTTCTAAAATCATGATGGCAATGAAAGCTAGGCAAGACTGTCTGTTAGTGCTGCAGTTATGCAGAAGCCTCTACATTTACACCCACAGAATTTAAAAGGTAAAAACAGCAACAACCAGCCTTCTCATTATCTGAGCCTGTTCCTGTAAAGGAACTCTTCCAACACCCATAGCTGTATCCTTGCTGTGCCGTAGCACCAGTGTAGTCACAGCTCTTTTCTATTCCCACGATAAGTTCAGTGCTTTTTTGGTTAAAAACTCTTCTGCTGTAAGGCATTACTAATTAAACCTTGTTAATTGTAGGAAGAGGAAAATCTCGTCTGTGTTTCCTAAGACTGCATGGAGGAGAGATTTGCAAGCCAAGATCTAGATTACAGACCATGAAAAACTGAAAGTCAATTTCAATAAACAGAGCCTATATTAGATCAGTTTTGCTCATATTAGTGGTATTTGTTCTGTGGCCTTTTGTAATTTTCTGAATTTTGATTTTGAAACTTCTCTAACAACAATCTGTACTGTTGTATGTAGATTGACTGTAATTTTTGAGTTATTTTGAGTGGTCCTGACAGCTCCTGTGTGTAGGTCCTGAGACATGAAAATTTATGTGGAGTTGACAGGTATTCTTTGATGACACAAGTTGTGTGGGAAAAAAAAAAAAAAGCAAAATATATTTATACTTTTTTTCTCCTTGCAAAGGCAGAACATCCAGGACTATTAATGTAAAATATAAAGCTTTTGAATGAGTGAATCAGTAAATCAATTAAAACTGTTAGAATACATCATTGGAATTATTCTGCACTTGTTACTTCAGTGATTAGTTATCAGCAAGATTATTCGTAAGGACACAGATTACATGGATCGCCATTTTACTGAGTATACCCCTATAGCCATGTGTATTCTGTGTTTTTGGCATCAATATGGTTTGAACCATATGCAGTTTTGTCACTACTTTAGATTACACTTAAACCCTTAAGGCTAGGGAAAACTTCTAAATCCTTCTGTGGAAACATAATTTGTGTTAAAAGGGCTACTGGAACACTGCGATAGCAGAAACATCCCTGCATTACTGCTTTAAATGTGAGCTACCAAAAACTACCCCAGAGGAAATTGGTTCTTTCTTTTAAATCATTTTTAAATGAATTATCTCTTCTTGTTGCAAAGTAAGACTTATTTATTTCCTTAACTAAGGAAAACTCTAAAATTCTTGTAAAATAGCAAAATAAACAAATGTTTCTGTTCTGCATCAGTATGCATTTGGCCATCATGAGCAAAGAAGAACTTGTCTGAGATCATGTCAAAAAAGTCACAGAAAGTTTCTGAAAGAACAGTTAAAATACTGCCCATTATACTTTCTGGTGGTCTAACAAATAAATACCTAGTAAAGAAGATACTGTCTACCCAAATGAAATCTTAGCTGCAAACTTCAAGAACGGTGACCAAAAAACAACTGTGCGTGTAAAGTTTTATTAAGTTACTTTATTGGTAAACCTTTCTCCTTAAAAGGGAATAACCTGATCTGTCTTAAATGTATGTTAAATTCCAAATGGAACACTTACTGGCATAATGAATATGCATTAGAAGCATGTCAACAACCACTCATTTCTGATGTGATGTTGTGGAAGACAACACCACTGACATTGTACAGTGTACTGGAGTGAGATAAACTACTAAACTTCACAACTTGCAATTACATCTGACACGCCTTCCCTTGGAAAGAGGAATGATTGCCTGTACATATTCAGAACTTAATAGTGTTTTAGGTTTTAAGTGTCTCAAAAGTGTTGTATATGTTACTGTAAAATTCCTCAAAAATATGCTTTTACTCAAAATTATGTGCCATAGAGCCTTTTGGACAATTTAGAAAAGGATCAATTTTCATTTCTTTTAAAGCAGATTCCTAAATAAAAACATTGTGCCTTTGACAGAAAGGTTCAAAAATAGTGTGCCATGAATGGATGGAAACACTTATGAATTATTATTACACCCATTTATTTATCAGAGAAATATATGTGGAGAAACATAACCCTTCAAATAATACTACTCAAAACTTTGGAATTTGGAAGTGTGTCAGAAGAGTGTGAACTCCTTCACGTTATTATCATTTGAAAGTAAAAAAGCTTATAGAAGGGAGGTGAACATAATAGATAATACATGATAGTCACCTTTTCAGTATAGCACAGTTATGAAATGGCCCTACAATATAAATAAATGAGAATAATGAAGCAGTATAATAGTATTGTTAAAATATCTTGATCCAATATTAGATGAGTTTATGAGTATTAAATAGCTTGTAGCTACTGGATAAGGGTACTCTGTTGTCATTTGATACCATTTCATCTCATCGGCCACTTTTAATGTTAATTGAAAGCTGCTGTTGGCACACAATGTATTGCAAATAAGTACTGATTAATACAGCATTTTCTCAGAAATATCGCAAACCGTGCAAGTTTCCATCCAAAGAAAAACTGCAACATTTGTAGAGAAATACATATTATCTCAGATTGACTGTTCCCAAACTTGTGAAGATATAAAATGTGTTTAGGCAATATTATTCCCTTACTTATCTACAATTTCAATGTTAGTAAGTGCCAAAATACGTTTGTCCAAATAGCACTAAAGTGAGGCAAAGGCAGTAGTTTTCAAATTGCAACTTACTCGTCATATTATAGTCTAAACAAATTTCAACATTTTAGTTTGTTTTGTGTGAAAACTGTTGCACTATTTTTGGCCGTATTTTCCAGCAGTCCACTGCATGCTGTTTGTGTAAGAATTATTTCTATAATTCTTGTGAAATGTCTCACCTGCAATAACCACTAAACTCTAGCATTGGAATCTAGGTTTTTGGCAAAGTATTTTGTTACCTCAGTCTTGTATCAATATGCTGTATTTTTCAGCTTGTTACATTGATAATGTTTGTTTCATTAATTACATAATGTTAAAAAAAAAAAAAAAAAAAAAAAGATTGTTTACTTTGAAAGCAATTGCAATTGGTTGTAAATTTAAAGATGTGCAAAGTATGTATGCCATTACCAATAAAATATTTTGAAAAAGAACAGTGGAGGTACAGAAGGAACTTTTCAGTTCAACGGCAGCAAGCACATTTTATAATACAGTAATACAGTCAAACAGACTGTAGTGCGCAGTATGTCGCCATTCAATATATATAAATTCGGATACTTCTGACAGAAAATTGAAAATTCCTCCAAGTTTACATCTGTTTTAAGTAAGTAAGATTTGGAAAGTCCAAAGTAGAGGCCAACCTACTGTGTTGGTTTTTTTTTTCAAAGAAAAGCATTTAATCACAACCAAATATGCATATTGATTTGGATAGCAAAATAAATTCCTTTGCATCTAAATTTAAATGATATTTGGACTCTTGGTTTCTTTTCTCCTGCCTGCCAATGGGGAAATACATTTCATTCACTGATAAAACTATCTGCTCTACATTACACTGTATCAGCTTAGATATACTAATAAACATAATAATATCTTCTGATCTTAAATCTGTTTGTTCCTTTCTCAGTGATGAAAGCAATGCCCTCTCAGAACCTTTACACACAGAGCTCTAATAAGGAAAGCCAAGCAATAAAATATTCCACAGAACTTTCTCTTGGAAGAAAAGATTAAAATGGAAATGGTTGGCAATACCCATTCTTTTTCAATAATGTATCTTATTACAAAGCACCATTTTTACCCATTTGAGGTTAATAAGCTTCACATTAAAACTGACAAGTAGGGGGGCTTTATCTTCTGCAGAATAATGGTTTTATTGCCTGAGAAATTGAGAGATAAATGACATTACCAAATGAAGGTGAGAGCAAAACAAAATGCAAAATGCAAAAAAGAAAGCACACATCCCTTTCCTGAGGCTGACTCATTTTCCTGTTCTCTCCCAGAAACAGGAAGACTTTTTCAAGACTTCACTACATTGCAGTTCTCAAAATCACTTGGATCTGTGCAATTTTCCTCCAGGCCATTATCCATATTATAAATGTTTTATAAAGTAAGCGCGGATTACTCTTTTTACATCTACCAAATGGTCAATTCACTGATTGCATTGGTTAAAATGGTAAAAGGAAATTGGTTGGAATTCTCCTCCTAATAGACAACAGGATGGAGAATGAATGATCACACTGGGAAGAAAGAGCAACACTCATTACATTCCAGAAGGTCATTATTATTGTTACAGAGGCAGATTTCAGGGTGAGGACTGCATTCTGTGTTGGAGTATTTCACTATAATGCTACGTACTTCTGCCCTAGAAAAAAACAAAGATGAGTACTGATGTGCTCATAAAATGCTCATCATTTCCAAGCCTCTTATTTTGTAGACTGAGAGAAAAAGCAAAGTGGTCATTAGTAAATTTGTTACTACTGCAAATGTCTGGTATCAAAAGGTGGTGCGTAAGTGTTAAATTGTGTTTTTTGTTTTTTTGAAGTCAGTAACATGGTATTTCTATAGCTGTGATCTATTAATAACATCTGTTCATCAAATTCTGAAAGTATGTTGGACATTTCCTTAGAATGCAAAGAAAAATGAAAGTTAGTTAAAGTTTCATGTCTCAGCAGACCTCAGATGTGAAAGAAAGCCAGATAAGCATATTAGGAAGGATGAAAATTATTTTACATCAACCAAAACATAGTTGTGCAAGAGGAAAGTGCATATAGTAATGAATTGGAGGAAGTAGCCTTGCTCTTACTGCCAGAAATCAGTTTTTCAGCTTTAAGGAAGAGTAGACATTGTTCTGAGTGGTTACTTACTTCCAGTGATTCATGCCTCAGGTTTGAAAGTATACTGTAGCTGAACATGAAGCAAACAAGGTCAGGAAACAAACAAATGAATTCTAGTGTTTGTATAGATAAAAGTCTGTGCAATTTTGCAGAAGAAGAAGAAAGCAGACAATGGCTAGAAATGTTATTTTACCCATGTTTTATTAATCAACATTACTTTAATAAAATGATCATCTTAATTCTTGATACATGGGAACACACTAGAGCTCTGGAAACACTAGCATCTAGCTGTAGTGAGATGAATTTTCCTGAAATAATACAAAATACTTATGTGAACTTGTCTGACACAAATTAATACAATGAATGGATGCTTTGTGATGTCTGTGATCGTGCTACCTGCCACCTTTGCCACCTTTCTATTGCTTTACTCAGGCTGAACAGTGCACCCAAGGCCTTGCTCTGGAGCATAATGACGGTAGTATTGATTCACCTCAGGCCTTGCTCAGGCAGATGGTGACTGCAGTACTGGATAAAAAAGTGGTTGCTGGAGGAACTGATGGACAGACATCTTGTTCAACAGCTGAGGGACAATGGGTTATGTGCCGGAAATCATGACTACGGGTCAATTATCTTACCCTATGAATTGCAAGCAGCTCAGGAGCTTCTTAAGCTCTCCTGCACATCAGCCAGCACAATAGGATCTCCCCTAGAGAAAGGATGTCTCTCCAAGGTTACGCTTGCACAGAGATCCCTCACATATTGACATCGAGACACCTTACCGATACACATCCTCAGTGACTCTTTGTTAAGCTTTGTGAGCTTCACTAGGGTTCTATCTTAGGTTGACTGTACACGTATGGTCGCTTAGACATAAACCATTGACCAGCGTCTGAGACTAGGAATGGATCCAGTCACACCTAGGCTCCTTACGTCCATGGTTTAAGGAGTTTAGAAAAGAAGAGGGTACCTCATGAATCAGCAGGAGGATCTCAATAAGTGTATTCAGCCTTATCCTCTATACAGTAAATGATCAACTGTATCCAGTCATCTCAAATCTTGTTAAGTTACTATCTAATTAATGTTGTTAAATCACTATTTTATATCAATAAATATATTGCTGCTTCTCTTTTAGGAGTGACATGTGATGCCATCAGCCACAACTTCATAGTCTTTCATAGGGCAAAGGAAGACTAAAAATGGAAAGCAAGAGAAAGGACAGCCAGCCTATTTAGAAAATGTAGCCACCAAGGAAAGCTGTGCCAGGGAAGAGGAACACATTTGTACCAAAGTCTAGTTCACAATGAGCTCATTCCTTCTGCCATTTACACAAAGCCTCAGCTGATCAAAATGAAATATTCCTCTGCTGGCTCCTGTTCTTCCTTCATGTTATTAATAACCTGGCAACAGGATAGGGGCCAGGAAAAAAGACCTCCTAGAATGGAGAATTTACTGAAGAAACCAGAAGTGAAAGGTAGGTGTGGGAGTTTGGAGTCACTTGTATTAGGTGACATAGTTCCTTTAGAGAAGGAGAAAAGGACTTTAGGCTTGAGCACAAGCTATCAGGAAAATCCATGGTGACCTGGGCAAATTCATGCAGGGCTGATGTTGTAGTTCAGTTTTATGAAAGCGTGGTATCTTAAAGGCAAAATATAGATTTCTGCAATTTTTTTTTTTTTTTTTTTTTTTTTTTTTTTTTTTGTGTGTTGGTGGGGGTTTGTTTGTTTGTTTGTTTGGCATTGTTGCTGATTTTTAAGTATCTGGCCTACATAATGAGGTCTTGCAGCTCAGTTAAAAAGGAAATAGTTATTTAAAGCATTCTGTCAAGGCCCTGAAAACTCTAATAGGCCTTCATGGCCTTGATCAGTCCCACTTGAGGACAATCCTAAACTCTTGTCCAGGGCACCAGAGAACATTTAATTACAGTTCTGCACCTTCAGTCTCTGCCACAGCTCTGCTGTAGCATGTACGTGCTCTGCTTTCTCTCCAGTTCACATGTACTGGTTGTGGTCACTAAAGGAGAATGTGTTGCTATTGTTACACATTCTAATATCATTCTTGAAAGATGTTTCATTGACATAAGTACTTTTTACTTAAAGAACTTAGTACAGTTAAATAAAATACACAAGAAGTGAAGGATGATCTAAACCAAAACAGAATGGATAAGATAACACAGAGTGTTCTATTTCCCTTTGAATTATGGAAATGCAAATTGGAGTAGGGAAAATTACTAAAACTTAATTATCAGTAGAACAGAATTTGCAGCTAAATTTAACTGATAGTTCTTTTAAATACAAGTCCTATGCACAGGAAATTTGCAGACATCTAGTTAAAATTAGTTTAGTCCAGATTTTTTCCAGTTCTCGAGTGAAAACAAAGGGAACTGTTGAGATTTTAAGACTTCCAGTGAAGTGGCTAGAGTGTTTGCCTAAATGTTCTCCAGAAATGAGTGAATATACACTACAACCCTTGGTGCCCAGCTGCTTTGGAAACTGAATCTACTCCAAAAGGAAAAAACAAGGCTACAGCACTTCTAGGGTGAAGTCCCTTATGAATTAATCTACTGAATATTACAGATAGCTGTAGTATGAGTCACTCTTAACCTAAACAGCATGATCTAGGATATTTTTAAAATTGCCTTCTGAGAAGTGTCAGCTGGCAATCACTTTTCATTTTTTTTAGCTCACATCATTATAGAGAGCATTGGTAAGGAGAAAGAAGCAAGTCAGAAACACCTGTTTGTTACTCCCCTCCGTTCAGTGACTTCTTTTGAAGTGGAAGGTAATTGCAAATTCAGGGACTCCTTTTGGAAATATCTCCAATAACAAATTAATAAATAAGATTGATAAGAAGTCAAGGAACTTTAACATACATTTTCAAAAATTTGACCTAGCAGTTTAGCTGACAAAATGTGCTGATCAAGCGTAACAAAGTTTCTAATATTGAACTGAGTTAAGTGACAAATGGAAATGGATATTAGCTAGTCAGTTTGGCTTAGTATCAGTTGATACTAATTGATACTGATGACTGATGGAGTTCTGGGTTAGCTTAGTTCTTCCTGATTTACCTTGTTTTACTTTGGGAGGGGGTGAGGGGGCAAGTGTGTAAAAAGATTTTGTTAGCATTACTGTTTGACAGAGACTAATTACAAAAAAGGTACAACTGTATAACACAAGATTTGCTTAGAACAGAAATAGCAGTGGGTGTTTCTGGTTGTTTTACTTCTGGACAGTGCTGAAGAAATTATCAGGTAGATGAAAGCTGTGTAGATTTTCTGTTGATCTTACTTTGTCAGGCGTGTGAGGGTACAAGTATAAATAATAGTAAAAATATTTCAGATGCAATCAAACCCCTCCTGCAGGTTTTTCCAGTAAAGTGAGAAGACCTGTATTTTCATAGAAATAAATGTATTTAAAATAAAAATTGCAAGCAATACATTCCTAAAAAGTGAAAATGAGATCTTTTATCTCACAATAGTTAGTAAAGTAGGCTAATCCATTTTGTTCTAAACTCACATTATCCCACCTAGACTACTCCTCCCACTGAAATAAGTATTTATGTTAGCTGGTAATGTAGCTCCATTTGGCAATCAAGTGTTCATTCAAAGTTACATCCACCCTCTCTTTCAGACACCTATAATAGTTTGAAGTATGGTATGATTAAATACTAAGAAGTTTTATTTCCTGGTCTAGCAACTATGCACACAATTGCTATGCTTGATTTTATGTCATTATTAAGTGTTGAAGATCATTATTAACAGAAAACTAAGTTTACCTGGAAGTTCTCTGTGAAGTGCAATAGATTATTTAAGATTAACTGCTGAAACGCTCTAGATTATGTTTGATGTCGTGGAAACCATTTAAATCCTGATCTAGATAAATGTACAAGAATATATACATAAATATTGGAAATCGAAAAAAAATATCATCTTTCATTTTTCCAGTTAATATGACTGTTTGGGAGGCTAAGAGCTACAAGCATTAGCTGAAGAACACATCAAAGTCAAAGCTGTTAAACTGAGAAAATAACAGAGCAGAAAGCAAACTATTTTGCAGCACAGGAAGTTGCCAAGTCATGGGACTTCCTACAGACTATCAGAAGCATAATTGCAGAGGAAGCAGATGTTAAGTGACAAGCAAGTTGTAAGGTCTCTCATTTCAAAGGGATCATGAGGCAGAAATTAGGCTGGAGCGCTGGAAAGTGTGAGATGCCAGACAAAGAGGCATGAAATTGTAAGTACCCTATTATTGTCTGATTTCTCATATGTTCAGGAGGGCAATTTTGTGCTGGCGAAGTACCACCAAGACTGCACCTGACAACCATAGATTCCATTAACAATTCTCCTACTTACGTAACAACTAAAAAATGCTGAGGCTTATTCTAATTATTTCAGGGCAAATAAGTGTTTGTGTTTTAGGAAGCTTAAGTAAAACAGCTTTAAAATCAAGGATCATACTGTTCTGTTTAAAGTTGACTTGATGATCTCTTGAGGTCCTTTCGAAACCCTGCAATTCTGTGAAATGTTGTAATTAAATGTTGCCCTTCAGTTTCATTTTAGCACCACAGCTGGTATTAATCAAAACAGGCAGAGAGGATTTAGAGTTGATAATGTATTTAAAACTCATCTTTTAAGCAGGTGGGATATTCTTCAGCTTCCGAACAAACAATATTTTTTTCGGTAACTAAAGGAGACTGCAGTGAAATCAGATGCAAAGAAATAGTGACCATTTTTTCAACACTGGAATGTAATCTTATATGAACTCTCATGAACTGAGACTTTAGCAACAAATACTCATTCGAAAGAAAAGATAGTACAAAGCGCAACAGCAAGTATATCTTAAAAGCTTTGTGTGTTGAGTCTTTTTTCAGAATGACAGAGGCTGTTCCTGTTCAGAAATGATTGCTCTGGCAACAGCTGAGAAAAAAAAAGTAGAATTAATTATCATTAGTTAGAAAACCTGTGGATTCCAAAAAAGCTGGCAAATGTTTGAACCCAAACCCATATTTCATACTCAAAGAATTGATACTTTCCCCTTCTTGGAGAATTTGTGTAATAGTTAATCTTTCTGAGAACAGAACAAAATTAAAGACAAATATAAACAGTATTGGCAATCACTGGCAATTTCCAGACACAAAAGAATTATTTGAGCAGGTTGCAACAGGTTGTTTATACAGTTCTTTAATATATCTGATCCCTTCATGTAAGAGAAGGAACTTATATGTTTCTTTATATTCCCTATCTGTTACATTTTATTCAGTCACTATTCATGCCCTAGTAGTTTCTAGTAGGAGGTCTGTGCCCTGTGGTTTCTAGTAGGAGGACTAGTTTTGAATTGTTTAGTTTTGTTTTCTGAAATAAGTGGATGGTAATACTCTTGATATGCTAGAACTACTAATTCGAAGTGGAGACTGACTTCTGCTGTTTCTTGTAGGCTCCTTGTTCTAAAAATAGGCTGTTGGGATGAATTTTAACTTGCTCAAATTAGTGATACATGCATACAAATTATGTAAAGAGAAAGCATATCAAAATTTTGATTGTGTGGAGTTGAAAATGCACAAAAGATCACCTTGCCAAGAAGACATGAGGTGCAGGGGAATGTATGTTTTCTGTAATTTCCTGTTTTGTGTAACTTGCATGTAAAAACTAAAGTGGCAACTTTTGTGCAGTCGTACAGGAGATGTACAGGAATTATTCTATTTTTACTGGAATTACGTATTTTTAATAGAATGATGATTAGACTACTAACCACTAGAAAGTAGCAGCATTCCAAATGTAAGAGAGAGTAAATGAGAGTGCTTGCCTGTAGTAGATTTTAACATTTGGGTATTGCAGGAAGATACTAGTAATTCATTTATTTATTTATCTATTTATTTATTAATGAAATTTCTGTGTAAATTTCCCAAGACTGACTAAACAGGAAATTTTTAAGGCATGGATCTGCCTGACGTGAGAATAACAGTTGAAAATATGTCACCAGAACAATGTATGATTTTTGTACTGAACATCTGTGGCCAAAAAAATATATACATAAATAAATCTTGACACTATTTCTATAAATAAACATGACAGACATTAAAGGTGAGGAATGTTATCAGGCTTTTGTTTCATCTCATCTCATAGTAAGTAAATTGTCTCCCCAGAAGAGTAATGAAATCCAGATCTGTGTTCTCTGATTTTTACTTTCCTTGATCACTTTATCACTTTATCATTCTCTTGGATGGAAAGAAAAGTTTGGAATCATAACCTGCTCTACTTTTAGAGTTTAATTGAAGTTCCTGTCCTTTATTGTTGTTACATGCATCTCAGCCTTCAGACTAACTCCATTGTCTGCAAAAAGCTCTGTTGATTGCTTCCAAGAGAACACTAACAGCTAAATCCCACCTCCAAAGTGTAGAAACCAAGAAATGCTCCAAGGACCAGAACTTGGACAGACTTTTTTTCCATATCACTGTTGGCTTATTTTTCTTTAGAGTTTTCTTATTTTTTTGAAATTTTCTGTGACCATTTTTTTTCAATCTCACTTCACATTTATGGAAAAAAGCTTTGATCCAAATATTCTCATTGTTTTTTAATAGACAGCATGTTAGTAATTATATATGGTTTACAGTAAAACAGTAGCGTTATTTGAAGAACTTTGACACAAATTCATTAGCAATTGATGCAGCCCTACTTTCCTATATGTTGTCATCTTCTTAATGCAAATTACAGCAGACTAAGAAAAAATTGCGCATAACCAAGTAATTTTAATTTAGTATATTAGAAAAATGTATTCTGTATTTGTAATAAAATCTTAAAATTGAAAAAATACCATTGCATGAAAGGAGAAACAGAGATTAATTGTAACTTTAGAGAATAGGTTTATTGTATGTATTTTAAAATAATTCTTACTTTTGGGGAGGAAAATTAAAGCAAACAAATGAAAAATAGCAGGTGAACAGCATCTTGGATTTGCAAATTCCACCAGACAGCAATGCTTTCATCATATTCTTCAAAGAATTCTGAAGTTAGAATAGAGTTGCAAGTAAAGTGGCAATACTGTGAGTTCATTGGAAAGTAGTCATTTATATATTCATTTGAAATTGAATGTGTACAAGAGGACAGAATACATACAAATTACAGGCCTTTGATAACTGTACTGATGTGTTCTTGTGATGTGTCACATTATCACTCTCTCACGGCCACTCAGAATAAGTCAGGGTTTTGTTTTCTTTCAGTTTGCTTTCCATCTGCATGATGGTATAAGCAGGTATGAATGCCAAGCTGTGAACATATACTGGAAAATCTCTACTCTGTAGTGTGACTTTGGAATACTGTAGAGAACTTTTGTTTCAATGGCAAGGTTAAAAAGTTCTGTACCGTGTGCAGTCCCAGCAAAGGTCACAAAATCCAGTCAAAGTCCTTTTGAAATCAGCTACCAATTCAGAATTGCAATCTGAGTTTTCGTCTTTAGTGATAAAAGGAATTTACCTTTAATGTAATCATGGCCTACGGAATAACGGTAAAGGTCATTCTTTTTGAAGCTCTTTTCCTAGATAATGTTAAATACCATCCCACAAGATTTTGAACACAGGGCTCTAAAAATATTTTATTTTTGATTTGGGAATCAGGACCCAAACAGAGCAAGATTATCCTTAATCAATTCAAAAGAATTCAGTTGGATTTTGTGTTTCACAGCATTGCTTTTAAGGAAAGGCGAAGAAACGGTTTTACATCTCTAAATACCAAAAGATAGAGGATACTAGTCTTCACTAATGCAAAACTTTTTCCTCAAAATAATGCAAATTACAGTCAATTCATTATCTTGTATAGCAAAACAGCCAAAACTGTCTGTGGGACCAATTCTGACTAAAACAGAATGTAGATTGCTTCATTTTTTCAAAATGCAAAGCCAGCATGAAAAGTCAGGTCTTCATATTGAGGTATCAAAAAACATAACTATTGTGTTTAGGAGAATACAGTTAATGAAAGTCTGATTTTGTTTTGTTTTAGAGAATGTGAATAGAAGATTGAGTTGTAAAGGTCTGAGTCCCAAATTGTGAAATTCAGCAATGATACACTGTGGAAAAAGGCACGTGTATGCTATTGTTGCGTGTATTGTAATTTTTGGAAGTATTTTAATCTGCTCCTGGAAAGGTCCTCAGCTACAAGATAATATAAAAAGAAAAATCTTCCCCCAGGGAAAAAATGTCATTCCAGTTGGTCAATTCTGCAGGGGAAAAGCTGCAAAAAATGTAATAACACCATTAAAAGATAACAGAACTTTTATTATCTCCCCATACTTTGATGATAGAGAAGGCAAAGTCACACGTGTGATTGGGATTGTTCACCATGAAGATGTCAAAGAACTATACTGCTGGTTTTGTTGTCAGCCCCTTGGAAAGATATACGTATCAAAGGCAGAAATAGATGTTCACTCGGACAGATTTGGATTCCCCTATGGTGCTGCAGATATAGTTTGCTTGGAACCCGGAAACTGTGATCCAACACACGTATCAATTCATCAGTCTCCACATGGAGATATTGACCAGCTATCGAGGTTTGAAATAAAAAACCGCAAAGCAGAGCCCTTCTCTGCTGACTTTACAGTATGCATCTCTGCCATGTTTGGAAATTACAACAATGTCTTACAGTTTATACAGAGTATGGAAATGTACAAGATTCTTGGGGCACAGAAAGTGGTGATCTACAAGAACAACTGCAGCCAGATGATGGAGAAAGTCCTGAAGTTTTATTTGGAAGAAGGAACAGTAGAGGTAATTCCGTGGCCAATAAACTCATATCTCAAGGTTTCTCCTAAATGGCACTTTTCTATGGATGCAAAAGACATTGGCTACTATGGACAAATCACAGCTCTAAATGACTGTATATACCGCAACATGCAGAGGAGCAGGTTTGTGGTTCTTAATGATGCTGATGAAATAATTCTTCCCCTTAAGCACCCAGACTGGAAAACAATGATGAGCAGTCTTCAGGAGCAAAATCCAGGAACTGGTGTTTTTCTCTTTGAGAACCATATCTTTCCAGAAACAATTACCACTCCCATGTTCAACATTTCATCTTGGAACACTGTGCCAGGTATTAACATACTACAGCATGTTCACAGAGAGCCTGACAGGAAAGAGGTTTTCAATCCTAAGAAAATGATAGTTGATCCAAGAAAGGTGATTCAGACTTCAGTCCACTCTGTCCTACATGCTTATGGGATGAGTGTGAATGTTCCAATGGATGTTGCCCTTGTTTATCACTGTCGCGTGCCCCTTCAAAGTAACCTTCCCAGAGAATCTCTCATCAGGGATACGACATTGTGGATATATAACTCATCATTAATCATGAATGTTAACAAAGTTCTCTATCAAACAGTACTGTAAGCTCAAAAGTGAAACTTTGTCCACAAAGATCAAAGGTGGGGAGTTGCCTTTGCCCCAGGGAGGCATAGGATGTCATTCAAAGATCACATTAAAATCTCTTCACATGAGAATTTCACCGTACAGAGATTTGGGAGAATAACCCCTTTATGTACAGACCAAATGTACATGCATTCTGTCTGTGAATTGTAGGAAGGTATCAGGATCATAGAATCATAGAGTGGCTTCAGCTGTAAGGGATTCCAAGGGTCAAGTTCCAACCCTCCTGCCGCAGGCTGTGCTAACAACTTCTATATCTGGTAGTAGACCAGGTTGCCTGGAGCCCCATCCAACCTGGTCTTGAACACTTCCAGGGACTGAGCATTCAAAGCCTCTTTTGGCAGCCTGTTCCAGTACGTCACCACTCTTGGTAAAGAACTTACCCCTACATCCAATCTATAACTTTCCTCTTTGAGCTTAAAAGCGTTCCCCCTTGTCCTATCACTATTTACCCAAGTAAAAACTTGATCCCCCTCATTTTTTATAATCCCCTTTTAAATGCTGGAAGTCTGCAACAATGTCTCCTTGCAGCCTTCTCCAGGCTGAACGAGCCCAGCTTTCTCAGTATGTCTTCATATGGGAAGTGCTCCATTTCTCCAGTCATCTTCATGACCCTCCTCTGGACCCTCTCCAACAGCTCCACATCTTCCCTGTACTGGAGGCCTGTATGGGAACTACTGAATCATGGCCTGAACCTCTGATTGACCACCTGAGGCGAGCAATGAGTCATCCCCGGGAGCACAGGTGAAGGCAATTCACCTGTGCTATGGGAAGGGGAGCCTTGCTCCACCTCTTCTAGATCCCATTTAAATGCTGACTATCACTGGGGAAGGATCTCTTTTGGAGATTGTTTCTTTTGGAGTCTTCTCAGCAAGCCCAGGATAAGGGTAAGCTTTCCATCCATTCTTCTTTAGCATGGTCACCTGTTTAGCCTAACTTTTTTGTATGTTTCTTAATTATAATGTCAGTATATTGATTGATTATACAGGGCCCCACCTGGTTGCAATATTCCAGATGGAGCATCATGAGGGCAGAGTACAGAGGGACAGTCACCTCCCCATCCCTGCCTGCCACCCCTCTTCTGAAGGATCTCAGGATACTATTGGCCTTCTGTGCTGCAAGAGCACACCTCTGGTTCATGATCAGTTTTTCATCCACCAGGATCCCGAAGTCCTTCTCTGCAGGGCTACCCTCAGGGAGTTCTTCTCCCGGTCTGTATACGTATCTGGGACTACTCCAACCCAAGTGTGAAACTTTGCACTTTGCTACGTTGAACCTCATTAAGTTCACACAGGCTCACCTTTGAAGTTTGTCGAGGTCCTGGATGGTGTCCCTTCCATCTGTGTCAACCACAGCACTTGGCTTGATGCCCAAGGGAGCAATTTTCAAAATTGAAAAAAAAATTATAATTGATCCAAGAAGGGTGATTGAAGGCTCCATCCACTGTATTCTAGAGATGTTTGCATGTGGCTGGGAAGAGCCCAATGGTATTGTTATATAACATTGCGAAAAAGCTTACAAATCAAATTCATAATATAGTTCTCAACAGGGATGTATCATTTTGGTGATGTAATATACATCTTTGGCTGTGAAAGTGAAACTTACTTAGTAAGTTAAGAGTTTTAAGTGCAGCAATGAAATTTAGAGTTCTTGCAAGAGACATTTAATTCTGTGTTCTCCCTAACATGCAATCATGAAGGTAATCTGTCTACCAGAAGAAGAAAACTAAAATGCATGGAACTCAACATTACAAGTTAGTGTTGCAGATCCAGCATGAATGTAAGAATACCAGCACAGTTTTACTACAGGAATGATTCAGCTAGCAACTGCTGTGTAATTTACTGGTGCAAATTACTAGACTTCATCATTATGTAATGATCAAATTTCCCTTCACTTAAAATTTATTAGTGTTTGTTTTGGCAGTTTGGGGTTTTTTTTTTTGTTTGTTGTTGTTGTTTTTTATATTTCTCTATTTTACACAAGATAATTACATATCTGACTGTCTCTGGGGTGAAGTCCGCAGTTTCCTCCGACACAACTTGGCTCCACTGTGATCTCTACAGTACTTCGTGTGCTATTTGCTCGTCATCTCTGTATGCGGATGAGTGAGCATGTCCCCTTGCACGGCTGCTGGATCGATGTGAGCGGGCTCGTGCTTTGCACGAAGGGCTCTGCCGTACGGCAGTTGTCCCGTTCTGCTTCTGGATCGGTTTTGGGCCGAGACATGAGAGACGTCACTCCGCCTCGCGCTCCTGCCTAGGATCTCCCCGACGGCGGCATCGGGAACCTGCGCGGGCGGCTCAGCGAAGACGCTTCGCTTTGCGGCGTCCCAGAGGCGCGAGCGAGTTCCTCGCCGCGGCCCGGCTGGCTCTCGCGGGGGGCTACGCCAGGCCGCGCCGTCACGCTATGACTCAGCCCCGGGCGAGGGGTGCGTGAGTACGGGAGAACGGCTCCACCCGGACCGGCGGGGGTGAGCGCGCAGGAGCGCGAGCAGCGCGGGTCCTTCTGGGCCCCGCAGGGCGGAGCACGTGGTTCCGCAGCCGCTCGCAGGGCGTCCCGCGGCCGTAGCGCTGCCCAAGGCACTCGAGTCCCAACTACGGCCGCCACCGCCTTCCCCAGCGGCAGGTGGCAGGAGCGGGCAGCCCCGACTTTCCTCCCTCTGCGGCAGCGGAGGCCGTGGCGGAGCCGGCACAGAGGTTCTCGGAGTAGCTGCTGCTGTTGGTGATGCAGAGTTAGCTCGGGAGGGGCGCGAGGGCTCCCCTACTGCTCTCGTATCCGCACGAGGCTCCGACGGCAGCAGCGCCGCTGCAGTGGGAAAGGCGAAGTCGCGGAGCGGTGAACGTGGGGCGCGGAGAAGGGTGCGCTGCTGCCGAGACGTTCGTCAGTTGGTTCTGCCGCGCGGTAAGTAAGGGCTTCTGTCTTTAGGTTCCTGTACGGGATTCTATAATGTGCACCACTTGGAAAAGGGACTCGTTCACCAGGAGCAAGGCTATTGTTTTCGTTAAAGAAACAGCAAATAAGAAAGATGATAGTCCTGTTTTGGGGATACTGTTGCTAACATCTGAACGGTATGTTTTAAATATTTGATAATCATAAAAGACAAATTTTTAATATATATATCTCTGTTCGGAGAAACTCCAAATGTGGGAGTGTAATTTTACATTTAGAGAATGCATAACTTATTGAGAGAACAGTTTCAGTGTGTTGTGGTTAACCCTGATAGGCAGAAAAGCCCCCCGCAGATGCACTGTTACCACATCTCCACCCTCCCCCGGCAGAGGATGCAGAAGTAAAGTGGAAAAGTAAAAATGAGAAAACATGGGCTTAGCCATGTTAAAGGCAGTGTTACGGATAAAGCAAAACTTCCTGAATAACCAACAAGGAATTCATTTGCTACTTCCCATCATAAAGCTACTGTTTAGCCATTTGCAGGAAAGCAGGGCTTCATCATGAGTAACAGTTACTTGGGAAAACAAACGCTATAACTGTGTTCTCCCCTCTGGTCTGCTTTGGGGCAGCCATCCCAGCTGTCTTTACTCCACATTTCTTGTACACCTCCAACTGACTGCTCACAGATGCCCAAGGTGAGAACCAGGAAAGGCCTCAGCTCTGTGTCAGCGCTGTTCATGAGTAACTAAAACATTTTGTTACCAACACTGTTCCAGTCACAAATCTTATTTGCTACGATGAAGAAAATTAAATCTCTCCCAGCCAATACTGATACAGATTATAAGTTGAAGTGACAATATTAAGTGTTGTTGTGAAACTTTTGCTGGTCTGTTTCTGTCCAAGATTGCAAAGCCTATTTGTTTACAAAATGAGAAACTGGTGTTTTTTTGTTTTACAGCAGAGTGTTTATGTGTGTTCCAAGAAAGGTGTGGCTAGGGAAAGGTCATGTTGCAAACTAAGTAGATGATATTGGCTTCTTTGTATTTAGAAAAGAAATAACTGGTTTAATTGTTATAGAACAATATTTTACCAGCAATTAAACACCAGTAATTAAATAATTTAAACCTTCAAAAATTATGCTTCTGCCTTTGATTCATGTAAAAGAGGGAGAACACTGGCATTTCAAAGAGAAGAATTTAAACTATCATGAAAATCTTGTTCAAGATGATGAAATGTTTGTCAATCTTTGAAACTTATTTCAATTTAAGCACCAGTGTTTTGTGCCATTGCTTTTGGCAAAGCTATAAAGCAGAGAAGAGAGAATGCTATTTATGACAAATAATAAATTAATAAGGCTTTTCACTAATGGTGGACTTGTTTTAGGTAGATCCCAGATAAACCAAATGTTAGCATGTGTAGTGTTGCTGTTCTGTTAATTCTACTGCTACTTTTTGGAGTCTGAAGTTTTGTAATCACCTCTATCAACTGACCCTTTGGAATGCATTTGTTTTGCCCTTACCCACCCTAAGGCTGGAAGGTAGAGGAATAAGGTGAAATTTATTAGAATATGTATATAAACATGTATATAGCATGTATAAATTAGTGTGTGTGTATATATATATATATATATAAACAAACAATGTAGACGTTGTGAAAATACTGGGATGAGCAGCATAAACTGTCTTCAGCTGTCTCAACACTGTATTGAACAAACTACAATGGAAAGATACAATGCCAAGGAGATGTGGAGAAAAATGAATAATGACCTGTGAATGAATGGCTCTTGAACTAAATTAGCACTTTGCTTTGCTTGTTAATTGTGGGATGTATAGGAAAGATGATGGAAGAGTAGATCTGAAAATAGAAGTTGTACTGCAAAGGTAAAAACAGCACTCCACTGGAAGGCCAATGCTGAATAATTCCCATCCCAAAATTTTAAGATGAGATAGTGAAGGACCAATGACAGATGTTTAATAAGTGTGTTGTGATAGTAGTGGTACAGCGTGTGATAGAAAGCATATGAGTAATTCATTTGCTTATGAAAGGAAAAAAAAAAAGATTGAGATGTATGGGAATTCTGAAGCCACATACAGGGCTTTAGAAATTTTTAGAAGGACGGCAAAAAAACAAAACAAAACAAAAAAAAAACAAAAACAAACAAACAAAACCATTAACTCAATTGACAAGAAATCTTTATTATGAGCTTGCAACAAAGGACGAGCTCAAATGCATCTGACCATTGTTATGCATATGCAAAAAGTATAAATCTTAGCATATATTTAAAAAGAACATTTCCAGTAACTGTAAAGTTTTTTCACTGTCATTTGCAAACATTTCTGATCACCTGTGCTAGAGACTAACTGAAACTTGGCCATTTGCACAAAAGCAATTGGTCAGGAGTGTTTCTTTTAAGATATTGGAACATCCTGTATTGCTTGATGGAAAAAGTAATGAAAATGAAGACCAAAAGGAGATATGACTGCAGTCCATTAATGCAGGAGGGAGGAAGAAAGGCTTTTTACTCTTAGTAGCAATACTGAAGAAGAACTAACTGGTGCAAAGCTGTTATAATGATATCATTAGATTGATTTAGTATTAAAGCAAATCTGAATCATATTCTATTTGAATTGTAACTGGAATTGAAGCACTAAGCCTGAATGAATTATTAAAACAAAATAAACTCTTTCAAATATGCTGGCAGCATATTTTTGAGGTTTTGAGGTACCAAGTACTCTCTATACTGAGGAAGCATAAATGTACTGTTCCTTGTTAATCTGACATTATATATTTCCTGACTAGATTTCTCTGCTGTTAATCTCAGGAGACACAAATTCATGAATCGTGTGTCAGGAGGACTATTAATGTCATTTACAAAATAGCTAGGTATTTATTTTCTTCAGCATTCAGTTTTCTGGGGTGTCTTGAGTTCTTTGTTCAGTTCTTTGTCTTTGCTTTTGGAATCTGTTGTTGTTTTGAGGTGTCTCTCACACTTCCTCATCAGAACATGTAATTACCTACCTTAATTGAGCTGATAGAATGTTACAGAAAGAGAAACGTGCATTACTGAAAACAAACAAACAAAAAAGCACAAACATATATTTAAAAGTTATTTTCAAATATGCATGTGAACTGCAGGATTAAATTTCCAGAAGAAAACTTACCAAAGTAGCACTAAAATACCCCACCCAAGTGCCTAGTTTGATTTGCTTGAACAACTCCATATTCAAGTTTGCAATGTAAATGAAATTCTTGGGAGGCAGCTGTGTTCTTTGCGTAAGAGAAGTAAAACTTGTTTCTCAGGTAGGTGCGGTTACTATTACTTGCATTACAGAACACCAACCATTTGAAATAGAAGGTACTGGCAAGTGTCTTAGCTATTGTACTAGGATTGTTTTTCCCTCAATATTGTACTATTTTGAACAATTCTTGCTCTTTATCTGAGAGGGGAAAAAAAAAAAACAAACCTTGTCTGTCTGCTTTAAAAGATGCTTTCTCTTTCACATGTTCACTTTTCGAAGCACAGTTGAAAAGATGCCTTTCTGTTGTTCATTATTTATAGCCACCGAATGCAAGAGAAATAACAGATAATAAATTAGTTGTGTATTTTTATTGGTGATATGTTGTGATATTTATTTAGTAAAAACTAATTAGTATGTAAGACTGATCAGTATGTTAAGTAATGACATAGTCAAGAAAAATGGTAAAAGTTAAGTATGATTTCTGATGCTTCTGACAGTTCTTATCTGAACTTTCTCTGAATATATTAAAGGATGCTAGAAATGATATCATCCTTGGCAAATGAGGCTTTTAAAGTGTTACATTGTAAGCATAGTTCTCTTTGCTTTGATTTTTGAGGAAAGAACAACTGGGCAAATATTTGACCAAGTCTTTAGAATGATGTGAAATATTGTTTTCCTATTTAGGAAATTCAGAATCTAGATTGCAATATTTAGAAGTGAGATTATTATTATTTTTTTTTTTTCTGGTTGAAAACTACTGAAGCAGGAAACCAGACTCTATGAGATTTTTTTTCAAGCCAAACAGTTAAGTTGCCAGTGATTGCAGGCACTTCCAAAGGTGTGAAGCTGCTGAGTATGATAACTTAATCAAAACTATGGATTAAGGTGTTTAGGTACTTTATTGTTCTTTTTCTTGCTTTTCTTTAAATGTGTTAGTATTCTGTTCCATTACAAAGCAGTATTGAGATAGATGCTCTCAAAACAGCATTAGGCGATGTGTGGAATGTGGGGGGGGAAAGATATGAATTATTAGGTTTAATTATTATTTTACAATTGCCAGAGCAATGTGTTTTGGAAAAAAAAGTACTGTTAGAGATCTAACGTACATACAGTCAGAAAGTACAGGAGTGCAAAAAATGTAAGTGGTTTTTATTATGATGCCTTGGAAAAGAATGGAGGAGAGATTAAAAAAAATAAGAGAATCTTCCAAAATCTACTATACCTGTGGCAATGCTACTTTTTTTTCCCCATGGAAATCTGGGTCTTTTAATGGTGCATTTTGTTGTTTGTTTTTCTCAGCAGCTGTTTCTTTTTCATGCCCGTTAGAAACATTCTCTTCATCTTGTGCAACAGAATCAATTTATTCCATCTTCGTAATTTACCCTAATCTTCCTGCTGGAAGTCAGGGATAACTTTCTTCCACCTGTTTTCTGATCTAACTTCAGTTTGAATTAATATGGGGCATGCTTCTTCCAAGAATCATTGTGGTACATGCAGGTCTTTAAAGAGACTGCTGCCACCTTAACTTTTATGGATCACATCTGAATTACTAATGATGAATTTGTAAAGGAAACTTTTGTTTCAGCTTCTTTGGCAGAAATTACAAGTTGATAGTGCTATGGGCTACCTGTCAGATGTTAACAGCTGTTAACAAATGAGTGCTGCCAAGAACTTTGGCCTTACAGGTGCTCAGAAATGCCTCTGTTCCCATAGCAGTGGAAGTCCAAAAGCTGATGAACTAATTCTGCATGCATTCCATTTATTTGTCTGCCCCACGTTTGTAGGTAAGTCTGGTTCACTTTTGTTTGTATATAATTTACATAAACTCTATTTGAAAAAAAAACATTATTAATTTTGGTTTAAAAATTGCTCCCTGATTATTTGATTGAATGTCCTAAAATATTTGTTATAAAACACACACACATATATATATATATATATATATATATATATATATATATGTATTCTTATTCTATTTGATATCAATCTCTGTAATATTCTCTTACAGTACTTAAAGAACCCTCAAGTTGCAGAAATTATTACACACATCTGGCATATTCAGTGTCACAGACAGTGTCATCCATCCCATTACAAACACTATGTACATCATTATTATTTTCTCATGAAAGCACAGTAGCTGGATCTTTGATTAAGTCACTTCAGAGTGACAGAGATGTTTCCCATAGCCTTTTTTCAAGTCTATAATATCTCTTATTTAACATGTTCTTTATTACAGATGCAGCAGCGCAAACTGCAAGGACAAAGACATTTGCATCCATATTTAGATACATTCAAAATGTTGTGTGGCAGAAAAAAATCCTACTTTGCTGGTGCTGTGTGCATTATAACATTAACATCAATGGTCACGTTTTCTTATCTTAGATTACAGAGACTTATTCACCTGCCAAAAATAGTACAAGAAGGTAGTAGGTGTAGAGGGGAAACTGCAAATAGCACAATAACACCATTAAAAGATAACAGAACTTTTATTATCTCCCCATACTTTGATGATAGAGAAGGCAAAGTCACACGTGTGATTGGGATTGTTCACCATGAAGATGTCAAAGAACTATACTGCTGGTTTTGTTGTCAGCCCCTTGGAAAGATATACGTATCAAAGGCAGAAATAGATGTTCACTCGGACAGATTTGGATTCCCCTATGGTGCTGCAGATATAGTTTGCTTGGAACCCGGAAACTGTGATCCAACACACGTATCAATTCATCAGTCTCCACATGGAGATATTGACCAGCTATCGAGGTTTGAAATAAAAAACCGCAAAGCAGAGCCCTTCTCTGCTGACTTTACAGTATGCATCTCTGCCATGTTTGGAAATTACAACAATGTCTTACAGTTTATACAGAGTATGGAAATGTACAAGATTCTTGGGGCACAGAAAGTGGTGATCTACAAGAACAACTGCAGCCAGATGATGGAGAAAGTCCTGAAGTTTTATTTGGAAGAAGGAACAGTAGAGGTAATTCCGTGGCCAATAAACTCATATCTCAAGGTTTCTCCTAAATGGCGCTTCATGCAAGATGAAACGCACATTGGCTACTATGGACAAATCACAGCTCTAAATGACTGTATATACCGCAACATGCAGAGGAGCAGGTTTGTGGTTCTTAATGATGCTGATGAAATAATTCTTCCCCTTAAGCACCCAGACTGGAAAACAATGATGAGCAGTCTTCAGGAGCAAAATCCAGGAACTGGTGTTTTTCTCTTTGAGAACCATATCTTTCCAGAAACAATTACCACTCCCATGTTCAACATTTCATCTTGGAACACTGTGCCAGGTATTAACATACTACAGCATGTTCACAGAGAGCCTGACAGGAAAGAGGTAATCAATCCTAAGAAAATGATAGTTGATCCAAGAAAGGTGATTCAGACTTCAGTCCACTCTGTCCTACATGCTTATGGGATGAGTGTGAATGTTCCAATGGATGTTGCCCTTGTTTATCACTGTCGCGTGCCCCTTCAAAGTAACCTTCCCAGAGAATCTCTCATCAGGGATACGACATTGTGGATATATAACTCATCATTAATCATGAATGTTAACAAAGTTCTCTATCAAACAGTACTGTAAGCTCAAAAGTGAAACTTTGTCCACAAAGATCAAAGGTGGGGAGTTGCCTTTGCCCCAGGGAGGCATAGGATGTCATTCAAAGATCACATTAAAATCTCTTGTATGTGAGTTTTGGGAGAACAATCCCTTTATGTACAGACCAAATGTTAAATACATTCTGTCTGTGAACTATGGTACCATTTAGCAATCTGTACTGAAATAGAGGCTGTGATGGAGGTGCGTGCCTCTGATAAACGCTTGTGCAACTTTTTTTATGTGGAAGAGTTAAGGCATGGTGGGGAGGTCAAACTTTTACCTTTCTCTAGATAAGAAAATGCATTATTAAACACACAGGAAGCGACCATGCACTGATTAGAATTTCTTAGAACTTACAGCTTTCTTTTTATTTTCCTACGTTCTTATTTGCTTTACTTTGTGTAACAAACCTGTAAACTGCCTGAAGAAGAAATGAATCTATTTTTGTGTATATAGAAATACAGCTGTGTTTAGCGTTGTCATTGACAGATGGCTTGTGATAATATGTGCTAGATGAAGAGCTACTTTGGAATTAACATGGCAATTCATTATAATCACAGAGACAACATAAGAAAACAGACCAGACATCACTAGAACTGTCCCTTACTGAAGATACTGCTTTGTAAGAGAAACTGGAGTTAATGGCAGAGCCATTAGCCAATTAATGATAGCAAAGTTCAATGTAGATGATTTTGCCTCTTCAGTGAGTTTGAAATTAAATTTTGTATTTTAACTGATTTATGTAATGCTGTGATCTATATGCATTTTTTGAATCTATTTATTAAAAAAACATACAATGAATAGTGGTAAAATTAATGCTCCTCAATGATTGCTGTTCATATGTCGTGATTTGGGTACAAATTTTTCACGTAACTATTTCAATAAACAAACAAATGCACTCTGAAAATATCTGAGGAAAAATGTACCAGTTTCAACTGAAAAAAAAAATAAATATCCCAGGTATTATTGGAAATAGTTTTTAAAATGTTAATATATTGTAACAGCTGCTGTATTTATGCTAATATAAAGAACTCTTTGACTGTGTTTTTGAGTCCTGTACCTTTAAGAAATGTGGTGCATTTTTGCTACTCACAGCTCTTGTTTATTAGATAATTGAAAATGCTGCCTTTTGGTAGGAAGCTTTAAAACAAAGGCATGGGTTACAGACTGATGTTGAAGTATATAGATTACTGGACTGAAGATTATTTTGAGGTGGAAAAGCTGAAGAATGACTCTGTGATACATAAACATAGTAAATTTTTGTTTTTCTAGAACCATATGGCCTGATAACAAAATGTTTTTTTGTTCATCAAAATAAGCCATTTTTACTATTTTGTATGGTACGTTATATTGTATTCCTTTCCTTAGGTAGGTGTAGAAATACAGAAGAGAAACAACCCTCCTGCAATGTATTTATTGATTTTCTTTTGAATGGTTATGTGGGAATAAAAAAAGCAAAAAAACCCTGGAGTTTTACAGTTTCAGTCATTTTTAATGCCTTCTGCACTCCCACAATGGGGAGGGACAGGGCTGATGTAGCAACATAGTGTAACCTTCCAATGAAGTGATAGCTGGGGCAGTAGTAGTAATCTGATGTGGAATGGAGATGCTTGTGGGAGTAGGCTTTCATTTATTTAACTTCTATGTTAATGTAATGTTTTAATTCTTTCATCCGTTTTGTGTTTGAAAGGCATTGCTATGTTCCAGCTCTATTATGAGTAGCTTCGAATTAGTTAGCAAATGCATTTTGTAATTGCTTGTTATTGGCATTCAAAATAATAATTAGCTGTTATGGAAAGTGTTGAACTTCATTTTTTATGAAAGTGTAGAAGAGCAGTACAGTATGTATTGGATGATTCACATCATGCTTTGGCATAATGCCAAAAGAGGAGAATTCAGAGCTTGGCCAGAGGTCCATTTAAGATTACAGGCTTATGAATTTTGAAGAAATAGCTGGAAGTCCCCAGTCTAACTTTCTGCTCAAAGCAGTGTAAGGTAGCATAGCTTGATCAGTTCTATGCCTAGCTTAGCTGAACACGCAACCCCTTTGGGCAACCTGCTGCAGTATTGTACTGCTCTCACACTGGACAGCTTGCTTTCATTAGTTAGCCTTTACTGTAGTATGCTGGGTTGAGTGACTTTGTTTCCCCTTTACATTCTTTATAGGTAGCTGGTGACTGCAGTAATGTATATCACTGTTTCCACTCCTGTTAGTCTCTGTGGAAGACTGAATTGAACTTTCACATCTTTTGAGACATCCTGTGCTTCAGCCACCTGTTCACATCTGCAATCTGTCATTAGACTTGCTTCAAGTGTTTCAGGGTTTGCTTTGTGCTGAGTAACTCAATGCTGGATGTGGTTGCAAGCGTGGCCTTGAGTGCTGAACAAAGGTTAAGAATCCTTCCCTTGAACCACCAGCTATGTATTTGTAAGAACAGCTCAGTAAACAGTTGGCTACTACATGAGGAACTAGGTTTCCACAAGTGTTGGGAGCCACAAAAACCATGACAAAAATCACAAATAAAATTCTGCAGCACTAGCATTTATCTGCTCAAGGACAACAGCCAATCCTTCTGAAAAATCTAATTTTCAAGGTGTGTACGAAGGGGAGATTTTATTGTAAAGAAAAAGTAAAACAAAACTCCTAAATATTTCTAAAGCATAGAAGTTGAAATTTTATAGATACATCTTTTAAGTACATGTCAAAAACCATGGAAGTATGTGGAGTATTGCTACTCAATAGTTAATTCATCTATACGTCTTATCTCTTACAGCTGATCAAAATAAAAGATGTTTTCCTATTCTTGTCTTTTCTTCAAATTTTTGATTTTATTTCTTATTCTTTATTTTTAAAGATGTGCCATTCACATTTGCCCATTTTTCAAATCTAGCTGTAGCAATTAATATAATAATGCACTTAAAGTAATTTTAACTTTTTTGAAGAAGTGTATGGCTGGCAGGCATCATTTAATGTAATTATTTTTGCTGTAGGGATTGAACATCACCCAATTCATTTCATTTCTATCTAGCTGTGAATGAAGTCACATAATCAGAAATGTGGACTATAAAAATATCGATCAAACCATTCTGAGTGGGGTAACCATCAGAAAATATGACGGAATACCATCAGAGGACCTCCAAGGTTAATTGCTTTGGCAAGCTCTGTAAGATAGATGAAAAGTTGGCTCACTGACTGAGGAGAGCCTGTATTGGCACATTCCTGAGCTTAAACAAATCATTTTTGTTAGCATCCAATCCTAGTTTTTTGTTGATTGCTCAGTTTCAAAGGTTAAGTATTTAAAGCTATCATAAAGAAAAAAACTTTTTTAGAAGATCAGCACTGGGGAGAGAAAAGATCAACTATGTTCTCATTCAAGTTGAGCAAGGAGTCATGCACTGTAACCGGTATTTGGTATTGTACGTACAAAAGCACAAAAGCCTATTCTAAAACAGTAGCTCCACCTTCTGTTTCAACAACAACAACAACAACAAAAAAAAAAAAAAAAAAAAAGGCAGAAATGTGGTCAAGCACTACTTCATTTTAGACTTAATGGTGGATCTGAATAGTTTTAACTTCACAAGCTATGCTTCAGAGCCCAAACAGGTACACTTAAACATGAATAAAGACAAATTTAATGGTGAATACTGTTAGCATGCTCTGTTGCATTATGTCAAAAACAATCCTTTCCCAAATGCCCAAATAAAATCAAATGATTGTGCATTGCATGATGATACCATTAGATGTGCAACTTTGGTTCATGCAAAGTTTCATTTGATAGACACATTGCTGATAGTCTATATAATCCTGAAGATTCTGCATATGTAATCTTTTCATCCATGTTCTTTCCATAACACCAAATGGATACTGTGGTCTGGCATACTGGTGGCAAAAACCAAGCCTGTATCATTTTGACCATTCAGTCCATTTAACCAAGACATTTCACCAGCCAAAAAACTTGAGCCTCTCTTTGATTTTCTATACTCTGGTAGAGGCCAGCGGCTTATCAGTTCTTCTGTCCTCAAGTCTATTATATACAGGTATCTATTATCAAACAGTAGAGCAAATATCTCTCCAAAGCCCAGCAAGGACACATTTGAGAAGTCAGGAGTCTTGATAACCCTAGAAGATAAGGCAGTATTGTTAGAAACTGATAGATTTCACTAACATTCCACCCAGTTACTGAGAATGACAGATCTCAGTTCAGCAGTGCTATAAGGAAATGGTCTTTTAAATATCGTTTCCCATCAAATGACTCCCAGAAAAGGTCTTCTGCTTCACTGCAGAGCAATTCCCATAGCAACATTAGCTTCTTGTCACTACAGCTTTGTGTTCAAAACTATAGCAATGCAGCCTGATTTAAGTCTATTTAAAAAAATCTAAAACTCACATATTGAAAATATGAAAGAGGTTTGGCTTGTGACCAGAAATCAAAACAGCAATCAAATGGTTGGTACAATTAGAGATAAATTAGAGTGAAATCTGGCAATATTTGTGAAGAATGATGTTTAAAGATTTTTTAATCGAGATCCTTTTGAATGACATTTAAAGCATTAAAGCTAACATGCTACAGTTCTTATTTTTTTAAAAAGCATGCCTTGAGAATAAATTCTGCACATCTTAAGCTGAAACACTTACCTGACAATATCATAGCTGGCAAAATCCCACTGGTATAATCCTAGTGCTGAACTGCACACTATGTATTTACCATCAAAGTGCAATCTGGGCTGTAGAGAGATGCTGCGATCTTCAGAAACAGACAGTGTTTTTAAACACTTGCAGTTTATTTCCCTTCCAATAGGCCAAATCTAGAGTTAGAAAACAGTTTAAGACCATAAAACATTCAAATTATAAACTTTTACACAAATTAAACAAGGCTTACAGTCTCATGTAAAGCAGGAGGTAAATGTGTGCCTGTTTTTCAAAAATATTTATCTTCTTTAATGGGAACATCAGCTCTATGACTGACTTGTAACACATAGCCATGAACTATTTACATACAGCATCCTCCAACCCAATAGTTTGCAACAATAGCAGTATTTGCAGTAAGTGTCTCACTGACAAGTTAGTGTACTAGGCATACAGTAAAAAACACTTATATTTTGACTTTTATTATATGTATTGATCTACTATTTGTTTGTAAGCATGAAGGAAATCAGTGAATAGTTAGCTTCCAAAGAGTTTTTTTGTCTTGTACATGTCTTCAAAAGCGAGGACTATGAGAGAAAAAAACCCCGTATTATGTTTGAATCACAGAAGCACTCAAGTATTCTGCTTCCTTGGATATTGCAATGATACATGTACAATATATGGTACATACCTTGATTTCATACTTATCTGCACTTAAAAGAATATAATCCCCAGGACTATGCATAAGAGATTTGACTTTGCACTTCTGCAAAACTACCTGTAATTGAAGGATTTAATGACTTATTTTGATGCTGTTAACTAACCAAGCATTCATTTGCATTGTCCATTTTGTTACAAAACAATACACCACACACATGGTCAAAAGACATACAGATGCTTATAGCACGTAAAGGGAAACTACCATTTACACTTGCTTGCTCCTAATAGTAAGAACTTTTTGTATATATAAGCTAACACATGTACTTCTCCACAATTCTGCTCTCAATGCACATTCCAATTTCTGAAATGCTTGTAAGTGAAATACCTTTTCTAAACCTCAGAACATTTTATGCTTAGATTTTGGTTATCACATTCATTAGTTTTCTATATAATTTTAAAAGTAGCTTTCTTTCTGAACCACTGCATTCATTTGATCTTTCAAATGCTGATTCCTAACATTATTCCAGCTACTTCAGAACAGAAATCTCTTCAATCCCCTGAAAAGTTTAGTTACATCTATTCTTTCTGTTTAAACATTATTTTGCAATATCTACATGTCCTGATCTTTTTCATATTCTATACCTAGGGGGAAGACAGGTATTAGAAATAGAAAGTTAGAACAACTTGCAAACTTCATGCAAATATTCACCAAGATTAATACAAAAACAATATTCCCACCTTAGTGACCCATTCTGTATGTCCAGTAAGGGTATTCAGGCACGTTCCTGTTGATAAGGCCCACACTTTCACAGTGAAGTCTGCAGAGCCACTGACAAGAACATCAAGTTCATCGTTGTAGTCCACACTAAAAACTACAAGCAAAGAGGGTTCTCAAAAGCAGCAACAGTCTCCATGTATGCTTTTTCCTGTGATACTGTAACTAGGTCAAAATTGACTATTACAGCTTTAACTGTTGCTCTTGAACTGTACACATAAATTATTACTCTATTCCTGAGTTTACACTGCAAAATTACCAGCTGATTGTTCAAATTAAAAGCATGAAGATCATTGGTTCCATTAAGGTTGGATTATGTTGAGGTTCCTATCCTAATAGTTCCAAGAAATCAACTCCAGCAGAATTATTAAATTGATACATCTCATTTCTCATGGAGAACAGACCTACAGTTGAGTGGAGGATATTCTCTGGTAGAGGACAGAATTAAGATAGAAATGCAAACACAGATCCCCAGGCTTGATTGTGCTCTTTCCTATAAGACTATCTCCAGTGTGGGAATTTAAAGAACTCCCACTGTCATGTGCTCCCTGCTAACAGGTGATAAACAAGGCTTGCATCTTTTACTCTAGACTCTAAAGCACTAAATCACCATGACAGTTAGTACTGTTTCTACACCTATAAAACAATATATGACTACACTTTGGTGTTATTCAAGGGCAGACAGATCTAGATCTATTCTGGCCACTTCCCTCCCACAATGTGATTTGAGACAGAGCCTTAAAAAACTGTAGACAAAGCTAACTTAAATTATAATCTGTTCTATGATGACATATGTTACTTGACTGACGAAAATAAAATCTGAGATGTTCAACATACCTGCGCCAGTGTGTCCTCTGAAATGCTGTGTTTTTGCCCCAGAGCTCCATTCCCAGCAGGCTACCGTGTTATCAAAAGAGCCCGTTACAAGTTTCTGTTCATCAAACTTCACTGTGGCACAAGTGTGTGTCTGGATACCATAGATGCATTGACCTGTGCTTACATCCCACAGTTTTGCAGACAAGTCATCTGATCCTGGAATATAAAACAATAGGATAATTGGAAACAAATACTAAATAAAATTACTAGTCTTCCATGTATGTCTTAGTTATGGAATTTTCACCAAATCTCTGAAGAGATAAACTCACAACCTCTCTGAGCAACCTGTGCCAGTGCTCCATCTAATGCTTTCACCTGCATTTCCTTTCTCCACCAAATCTTATAACAGTACTCAAGTTTGCTGGTTTTGGAGACTGGACAAAAATCCTAGATACTTCCACCTCCTTTTTCCCTTTTGGTTTCAGCACAGAAGTATGCAGCTTCCCAGTAAGGTCTGAGCTATTCCTTTGTATTCTCCTTCCCTGGTTACTAGTAAAGTGAAAAGACTGTCTACAGTCTAGTCACAGGTTTCTAGTAACCACACTAGTGTACCTGAAGATGTGGAGGGATGTTCACACTGAAATCTTGAAATCTGCAGTCTTCAGGAGAAACCATCACTGCAATATGCATATCGGATTAGTAGCAAGGTTAAATCTAGTTAAAGGTATTCATACAAGAAACTAGTCATGTTAAGAACTGAAAGTGCTTAAGGATGTAAAAGAGAAATAATCTTATTGCCAGGAAGCCAGACGTTTCCTGACACACCTTGAGACTACAGTGACCACATTGTGAGACCAAACTCCATTTAACCTGAATGAGATCGCAGATAACCCCTAAGAGGATACCTAACACAAATGTACTTCTCCAGTGAGACTGCTAATCTGAAACCGAAAATCTGAAAAAAAACCGAACTGTAACCATTTCTCTTTTTAACAAATAAATAAATTGGTCTCCTGGTTTTGTTTTTTTTTGTTTGTTTTGTTTTTCCTATTAAATGTTTAGTGAGCTTGATAGCATACCAGATATTTCAGAAATTGGAGGGAAAAAAAAAAAAAAAAAAGTGAATTGCCCTAAACTGAGTTTACCCTGTATAACATATAAGAAATATATAAGAAAATAATCTGTCTCCTCAAGAAAAATCAACTTATCATTAATCAAGTGGGGGAGCTGGGTGGTACAGATAACAAAGAAGAGTAAGACTCCAAGTTTTCTGAATTTCCTACCTGTGCACAGAAGACCATCTTTATAGTAAAGTGCATACACTCTGGCACTGTGTCCAATTAAAGAGGATGTCTCAAAGGCTTCGTGGTCCTTCAGTTGCTTCATCCTTAAAATAGCCTTTAGGTAAACCTTCTTCCAATGCAGAGGATCCTGAACAGAGTCATCTATTTGCCAACCCAAATTCTTACATGCGGTTTGCCACACCTCTGTACAGGCACTTATAACCTTATTCCACTGCTTAGAGACGAGGCAACATGTGAGTAAGGTGTGAGGATCAAGCCATTTTAACAGATAAAAACTAAGTTCCAATGGAAGAAGTTTGAGGAAGTCCCTCTTGAGAAGAATCTCTAGATTATTGGAGAGGTGCCTGAGCTGGACTGCTCCACTCAAGCTAATCAGGTGATCCAGAGTTTCATTTTTCTGCAAGTCCGTCAGAGAAAGAAATGTAATAGAAATGTTATCAAGCCATGCTTCAAAGTCCTTTTTCTCCATAAGGTTATGGAAAAAATTTACCTGTGGTACATCAAAACACTGTATTAGTTCTGTTCAGAAAACAAGGTAAGCATCACATCATTATTACTGGTACATCAGTACTCCAAGTGGCATGTTAAAGCACAGACTGAAGTAACCAATCACAGCACAAAATATTCATTAGGTTAGTATGAAGCATTTGCACATACTTCGACCTACTGTCTTACTTAAGACTTAGAAGTGAGTTGTACAAGACAATGCATGCTAGCATTCACTATGAATGTTTACATATTTCATGTAATGAGTTAACATTTTCACATTCTGAATCTAGTAAGAGTTGATCAAGTTTTAAATCTACTTTAGTGAATAAATGCCGTTTTACAGTTTACTTATCATTTAGTTGAAAAAAGGAAGAAAACAAAGCATAAAAACAGAATAATAAGAGGCTAATTACTGACTGAATTAACTCAGACTCTTGTCATAACTACTTCATAAAAAATTACCTGGTTTGCACTTAAAGAAGATACAAAGAGATGTCTGGAGAATTGTGTTGAAGGACATGTAACCTCTTTTGTACCTCCTTGATGTCTTTTTTTTTTTTCCTTATAAAACAAACTTCCCCTCCTTCTCACCCACCTTGTTTTCTCAGTTTATTTCCAATAAACAGGCCTGTGAAACTGACAGCTCGAAATGCTAATTCTCAATCTATGTGATCTGTATTTATTTTTGTATGCTGTGGCATTTCAAGTTCCTACAATAGATTTGAGCAAATGATTAAAAAGATGAGCATGGGGCAAACAACTAAAAAGCTAGATTTATTTTCTGTGGGAGATCTCATTCAATGCATTAGATATCTAATTGAATTTAATTCATAGAAGCTCCCAAACCAAATGATTTGAGGAATGTAAATGGCAGCTCCCAATACATATGCTTATACCTTTGTAGAATAAAACCTTGAAGTGCATCTCTAAATGTGACACAGAAAAGTATAGAAAAGTAGAGTCTTCACTATGAAAGGCTACAAACGTAAAGACATATTACTTCTTGATAATTTTGTAAGGATTATATCTTAAAGATAATAATCTTAAGGCCTTCTTAATTACACAGAAATAGCTGCTCCTATCGAGTTAGAAGTTCATAAGTAACTTTTACTACTGACAAAACTTAAGGGCTTTCTTCAGCACATTCGGCAAACTCTGTTTGCCACTCTAATAGGCACGTGTTTTCTTAAGAACCAGCAATCTCTAACTGCAGCCAGTGCCGCGTGCACACTGCTCTACGCATTATCCGTAAGCGCTCCACTCACAGCCACTCCCTCCCTGCTCCGCTCGCACAGAGCACGGCGCAGCCCGGACACTTTCAGCGCCTTCCGCCCACGCACAGTAGAACCATCGGCACCGCCCCCGCACTGCTTCAGTGGGCCGCGGCGCTCACCTCAGGTAACGGCAGGGCGCGCAGCGTCCCTCAGCAGGCAGCCGCCACACCTCGAACGGTCCTCCGTGGCCCGGCAGGGGCTGAGGCTTCCCCGCGGCCATCGCTCCCACAGCAGGACAGTCTCCCGCTACTTCCGCGGTCCGCGCCGCGGCTTGTGGACACCCATGGAAGGCTGCCGCCCTCGGACAGCGATGGAAGCCTCGGTCACCTCCAGTCCCGGAGGAGGGGCGGGGCCCCTGCACCGAGTGAACCAGCCGTCACCCCGGGGTGAGGCACTCCACCAAAGCCCACGGCGCTCCGTACTCAGGCAGCTTCCGGCGCATCCTCTAAACGTCACTACGCCCCGCTGTCTCACTTTAGCCGTTTCCGTCTGAACTGGAGCCGTAAAGCGCTGCGTTACTTCTCTGCGTTCGGCGCCGTGCGCGAGTTGGAGCCTGCCCTTTGGGGTGGCTGCCGCCGGCCGTGCAGAAGCTGCTGAGATTATTGGCGCCGAGGCGCCCTCCCGCGGCTGGGACATGGCGGCAGAGGAGTCTCAGTACCTGCTGGCTCATCCTACTACGGACGCTTACCTGAGGTGAGGATTGGTGCTGCGTCTCTTCCTCTGGCGGGCTTAGGGGCCGCCCCGCTGCGCTGGAGCTCGGCTGCTGCGGATTTCGATGGCGCGGGGGGGGAACGCGGAAAATGTGACGTCTGGGTCAGAGCCTTCGTCGGGTCCATCCGCGCGTTAACGGCCCCATGAGGGGCCGGAGCCGCGAGGGGGCGGCGGCACGATCCTTGTCGGTATCTTCCGCCTCAGAGTGCAAAACAAGAAGCTGTACCTGGCCACGTTCGCTGCTGTCCTGGGACCGCTTAGCTTTGGCTTCGTGCTAGGCTATAGCTCACCTGCTATTCCAGAGCTGAGGAAAATTGGCAATCCGAAATTACGGTTGGACAGCAATCAGGCATCATGGTTTGGGGTAAGTTTCTGTATGATACATTACTCTCTTGTGATTTTCCGTCGTGGTGTAAAGAAGATGCTGTTTACATAAAATCATTAAGTTTGGAAAAGACTGCAGAGATCATCAAGTCCGTCACCCTCATGCATGTTCCTCAGTGCTGCATCTTAAGGCAGTCTAACTCCTCTTAAGAATGAATATAAATGAGGATTTTGATAATGATTTTTTGTTGTGACCTCAGTAATTGATTCTGTTTTTTCCTAAGTAATACTACTGTTATACTCTGCTAACTTCGCATATATAAATAAATGCCGTTATATTTGTAACTTTTTTGATACTATAATAGTTTATGTCAACTTCTAATCTCCTTAATTGAACCTGTCAAGGGACCACAGAAAATCAACTTGTGAATAAATTGGGTGCAATCCATTGACATAGGGAATATCAACTTTTGGGGTACAGGCTGGACTTCAGTTTATTCATGATAATCTTTTAGTCTTCAGGGCTTTAAAACAGATTGGAAAGCCAGTTTGTGAATGAACAGATAAAAAATACATACTGTTGCATTTCTTTCTCCACTGAAAGGGCTTTGTATGTGACCTGAGAATTGCTAGGTGTCCAATTGTGGTGGATTGTACTTCTTGACTGTGATTTGATAAGAAGTTAATATTTTGTTTTTTCAAAAGAACTGCATGCATATATTTTTTGGAAGCTATTTATTTAAAAGAGTTTTTAGTGTGTTATTTATATATCTATATAGATAGATGTGTATGTATATATATCCACGGAATCATAGAATCATGGAATCCTTGGATTTGGAAGGGACCTCTAAAGGCCATCTATTCCAACTCTTCTAAAGTGAACAGGAACATCACAGCTAGTCTCCAGGGATGGGGCATCGTCCATTCCAGATGGAATGCTGCATCCAGATTCCTGTGTCCAGATGTGGAGTCCTCAGTACAGGAGAGATGTAGATCTGTTGGACTGTCTGCAGAGAAGGGCCACAAAAATGATCCATGGAATTGAACACCTTTATCTCTGAGAACAGGCTGAGAAAGCTGATGCTCTTCAGCCTGGAGAAGAGAAGGCTGCGAGGTGACCTGATGGTGGCCTGTCAGTATACAAAAGGGAGCTACAGGAGGGAAGGGGACAGATTCTTTAACAGGGTCTGTGGTGACAGAACAAGGGGAAATTTAGGTTAGATATAAGGAAAAGATATTTTGCAGTGAGGGTGGTGGAGCAGCGGAACAGGTTGCCTAGTGTTGTAATTGATGCCCTATCCCTAGAGATTTCAAGGCGAGGCTGGATAAAGCCCTGGGCAACCTGATCTAGCTGGGTGTCTCTGTTCATTGCAGGGGAGTTGGACTGGATGGCCTTCAGAGGTCCCTTCCAAATCTAAGCATTCCATGATTCTATGATATGTATTTTTTAACTTGTTTTTTGAAGTCTCTAGTGACATTAGGAGCTGCTGCTGGAGGAATACTGGGAGGCTACCTTGTGGATAAAATTGGAAGAAAGCTGAGTCTGATGCTGTGTTCAATACCATACGTCTGTGGATATATTGTCATTATTTCCGCTCAGAACATATGGATGCTTTATTTTGGACGAATAGTAACTGGCTTAGCCAGTGGAATTACTTCGCTTGTTGTTCCAGTAAGTAAAGCATCATTTCTGGTCGCGAGGTGGCTTGGGTGTAGTAACTCAGTAATTCTAGCAAAGGAAGCAGATTTAGAATAAACTGATTGTTATAGACTCATATTTTGCATGCTTTTAATGATGATGAAAATCTAAGTAAAAAAAAAGCTTTGCTTATTCTAGTAGCGCTTCTGTATTATGCATTATTACAGTGATATGCTTGTTCCAATTTTTCTTTTGTCTATTCATTGATAGAGGAGGGCCACAAAGATGATCAGAGGGCTGGAGAACCTCCCCTAAGGAGCCAGGCTGAGAGATCTGGGGCTGTTCTGCCTGGAGAACAGAAGGCTCCAAGGAGACCTTACAGTGGCCTTCCAGTACCTGAAGGGGGCCTACAGGAAAGCTGTGGGAGGGACTTTTCTGTAACAGCCAGTAGCAAGAGGACAAGGGGAAATAGTTGGAAGAGGGTAGATTTAGACTACATATCAGGAAGAAACTCTTCATGTGTGGTGGTGAGACACTGGAACAGGTTGCCTAGTGAGGTTGTGGATGCCCCTTCCCAGGAAGTATTCAAGGCCAGGCTGGATGGGATTGTGAGCAACCTGGTCTAGAGGGAGGTGTCCCTGCCTATAGCAAGGGGGTTGGAACTAGATGATCTTAAAGATCCCTTCCAACCCAAACCTTTCTGTGATTCTGTGATTACTTCTGCTTATATTCTGCAATGGTCAAATCATATTTATCTCTTTACGTTTTATATAAATAATGGTAAAGGCTTAAGGTTTGCAATTAAACTATTATCACTTATAAATCCTAGTGCAATGCCAAGTAGAATCATAGAACAGAATCGCTTGAGTTGGATCTTTAAAGGTCATCTAACCCAGTTCTCCTGCAGTGAACCAGGACACCTACTGCTAGATCAGGGTACTCAGAGCGTGCTCTAACCTGACTTTGAATGTCTCCAGGGACAGAGCATCCACTAATTCTTATGAGCAACCTCTGAGCAGTGTCTGTGCTTCACTGCCCTTAAAAATTTTTTTTCTTATATCTAGTTTAAATCTCTCCTCTTTTAGTTTGAAACCATTTCTCCTTGTCCTGTCACAGCAGACCCTGCTGAAGAATCTGTCCCATTCTTTCTTACAGCCCTCCTTTCGATAGTGAAAGGTTGCTATCTGGTCTCCCTGGTGTCTACTCTGTAGTGACTTCTGCTTCCATTGAACTGTTATCTTCAGAATATTAACTTTTCTCATGTATTCAGAAATATCCTTGCAGCAGTATAACCGAAATAATTTGTGCTTGTCTTTCTTTTCTGGTATTATTTGACCTATTAGGTGATTTGACCTATGTGATGCCTGCTGTTCATACATGTTAAGATAAGAACCATTAATTTTGGATTTTCTGGAGAATGAAATAAAACCCAGTCTTTACAGTGAATTAAAAAGTTACAACTTAAGATTTGCAAAGACTTTTACGTGTGGCTTGGAGTTTGCGTTCCTGCAGACTATCCCAAGCACCAGAGTGTTCTGCAGTGATGCATTTGTTGTTGAATATGGCTAGCAAAGGAAGCCCTTACTAACACAAGTTTATTTATCTGTCAGATCCTTAACTGACAGCATAAACATTCTTCTTAGGGTCTCCCTTTTTCTGTTTTTTTTTTGTAATGCTAATATGTATTTATGAGATGATACTGTTCTACCCTCTCCATTTTGCTGTGGCTTTTTTTGAGGAGGGTTTCTAGGAAATACATCCGGTTTTCAGAAACAAATTATTTCTCTATTTCTTGATCCTATGTTGGATTGAGGTAATTATTAGACATTTTCTCCCTGTTTTAGGTATATATATCGGAAATATCTCATACAAATGTTCGTGGTATGCTTGGCTCTTTTGTCCAGTTGATGGTGGTGACTGGCATACTTGGAGCCTACACTGCAGGTATTGGGGTTAGGTCTCTATAAAAAAGAATTAGTACACGTAATGAAAGAACTACACTAAGGAATTGAAAGCAAATGTCAATTCATTTCTACAACCATTAATTTTGTTGTACAAATGTTAATTCTTCTGGAACTGATTTTTTTTTTTTCCTTTTTGTTGTGCAGGAATGATACTAAAATGGCACTGGCTGGCAGTATTATGTTCTTTTCCACCATGCGTAATGCTTTTGTTTATGTTGTTCATGCCTGAAACACCAAGATTTCTGCTGCATCAGAAGAAACACACAGAAGCGATAGCTGCTTTACAGTTTCTGCGAGGACCATTTGTGGACCATGAGTGGGAATGCAGGCAAATTGAAGCTAATGTTGAGGAGGAGGTGATGAGAATCTGATTTACACTAAAGACAAAAAGTCTGAAAGTATACAGTGTAGTTTAAGGATTTTTATCATAGGTTAGTTAATAGCCTTTTCTACAGTGTGAACCTGTTCAATCACAAATGAACTTAAAAAAGCAGTGACATTCAAATAATCTTTTTTCTTCTGCTTTCCAACTGCAACTGCCAGCAGCGTTGGATGCCACTGGTATGCATGAGTAGCAGTTGGGCTCATGATCTTACTGTGATGATAGATAGCTATGTTTTCTTATTGTAACTGGCAGTTTTATAGGATTGTTCAGCACCTCAAAAACTTATTTGCTATTGCACCACTTCAAAAGCAATCTTTAACCTCTTGTAATGAGATACTAGCTTAGACAGACATGTCCAGTAATTGAAGTCTTATTTCTGCAAACTATTGATTCTTTCATGTTAACTTTCTCTGCGAAGTACTGTTGATTTTTGTCTCTAGAAACTGAGGAAATGCTAAAAATATTTTCCTGGATTTCTCGTACTTCAAATGTAAACACTTTTACTACTAAGAAATTTAATTTTGCTGACGAGGAGTGGAAAACTTACTCTTTGAACATAGTGAAATGTTCTGAGGATTTTTTTTTTCTTCTTCATTTAAAATACCGTTTTTTCATGGAACTGTTGCATCATCTTTTTTAACAGGGACTAAGCCTCTTTGAATTTAAGAATCCTTCAATCTACAGGCCACTTCTTATTGGTGTGATTCTGATGTTTCTCCAGCAAGTAACAGGCATTAATGCAGTTATGTTTTATGCAGAAACAATCTTTGAAGATGCAAACTTCCAGGTAATCAGAGTGTGCTGTCAAATGCTTATAGTTTCAGCTTGGTGCTGAATAAGTATAGAACATGTAACTGACTTGATATTTATCTTATCTGCATCATAAGTAACAGAGTTTGAGTGTTAACGGTCACCTTTTATTTTAAATTACAGATACCCTCTTAACTGTGTTACTCTGGCATAACTGGATGTTACTGGTTTTTTTTTTTGTGGGGAAGCATGTTTTGTCTAAAACTTTGATATGGATAGAAATCTTTATTATAGTCATCTCATCCACATAACATAACTTTTTTAAAAAATGCAGTTACAAATTTAGTGCTTCAGAAAAAGTCAGATGCTAGGGGGAAGTTGTGACTTATTAAATAACTTACTAAGAGATCAATATGTTATGTTAATTAATGTGGATGTCTTTATTTTATTTTTATGTATTTCTTCTCCTAGTTAATTTACTTTGTACAGTTTTCCTTGTTCCAGAGTTAAGAAACAAATGCATCTTTAATGCCTGACAAGTGATCCTGTTATCAGCCTGAAATAGCAAATTCTTCTCCCTGTTTCCTATTTTATTTCAGGACAGCAGAATGGCTTCTGTTGTTGTGGGTTCCATACAAGTATGTTTCACTGCTGTGGCTGCACTTATCATAGATAAAACCGGAAGAAAAGTGCTGCTTTATGTGTCTGGTAAATTAACTTAGTGACTTTTGTTCCCTGAGAAGAAACATGTAGAGTACCAGAAAGTGTTAGAACTACTGGGGGAATTGAGTGTTACAATTTATTTATTTCAAGTGCTTTGTTTTATAAGTGGATTACAACTGATGTAATAAGCGCTGCTTCATAAGAGGAAATTGTCATGATATATATACTTTGTTGGCTGAACTCCTTGAAATTACTTATAGCTATCTTTTTGTCTTTACCAGGCCTATTTTTACTTTGGACAAATTGTTGACAGTTGTCACACTGCACACTCAATAGTAATGACTGCTGTAAAGACTGGTCTAATTTGTGTGTGCAATGATTGACATTTTTTCATTCTTGTTTAGGCTGTTTATTTCCAATAGCGTTATCTTTTCAGAAACACTTCTGCTAGAGCTAGAGCCAACATATCTTGCATTTAGCTCTCAGAAAGAAGAGTACCTAAGCAACTATCATTGCCAACTTAGTTATTGCTTACTTTTCAGGGATAATCATGGCTCTCAGTACTGCATTGTTTGGGTTTTACTTTAAAATGGTCCTTCCAAATGGGAACAACTCATCAAATGCTGATCTGTTGTTCACTTTCAACTCAGTATCTCCAGGAACAGAAACTAGACTATCCTGGCTTGCAGTAGTAAGCTTAGGACTCTTTGTTGCTGGTAAGTAGAATTGGCTTCTAAATAAATATTACATGAAATTTGAACTTTCTGGTGAACGTGACAGACTTCTTCCATTTTCTTCACATTGTTGAAAAATGGAGCTGTGTTTGACACAGTTTTTTAGTGTATTAGACAAAGCGATGCTGATTAATTCACAACCTCTGTGATCAAGCTAGAAGCTAAACAGTTAAGCCAGTGTTCTGCAAAATAAATCTGCACCTCCTTGTGCTGATACTAAATAGTAATTGCTCAGGCTCAATAACTTGCAGCCATTAATGGGGGAAAAAGGTCCCTGGTAGTATCTGAGCCAAAATGAATTCTGTGATAGATCAAGACAGCAGCAAGTTAAAAATTAATTTTGTTTCTATGTTGACCACTTCTGAAGCTTTTTAAGATGTTTTGCTTGTTAAGAATCCTTGTACTTAATTTGATTTAAAGCGTGCTAGTGTTTAGCATGCTCCCCTAAAATAACATACTCTCATAGCATTATTTGCCTGACACTCTCTCCTTTAAAATATACCTAACTTGCATTTATCTACTTTTTTTTTTTTTGTATTTACAGGTTTTGCCCTTGGCTGGGGTCCAGTTCCATGGCTGGTAATGTCTGAAATCTTCCCCCTTAAAGCAAGGGGCATATCAAGTGGTACCTGTGTGTTAACAAACTGGGCTATGGCCTTTTTGGTGACCAAGGAATTTCACGATTTTATAGTAAGCACCATAAATCAAAATTCAACTTTTTTTTTTTTTTAATATAAAAAAAACTATTAAAGATGCTCCCGATAAAGCCTTGGGCCAGTCTTCTTCAGCAGTATATATGGTTGTGGTTGTATAGTTAATGACTTACACTTTTTTTGTTGTTTTCTCACTGCCTTAGGGTTTCTTAACATCCTATGGGACATTCTGGCTCTTCTCTGCCTTCTGCTGCCTCAGTGTGATATTTGCAGCCTTTTATGTTCCTGAAACAAAAGGACGGACCCTGGAACAGATTGAGGCCTACTTCAGAAAATCTTAAATCTCAGGCTTTTGCTGATGTGAATCCTTTACATCATTATTTGTGGTGCTGTTGCTAAAACTAACTGTGTCACATGGTAGACAGTCACACAACTTCCTCTACAATTGTTTTAACTAATTTTGTAAAATCTACTTTTTTTTTTTTTTTTTACCCCCCCCATCCAGAAATCTATAGGTATTTGCATACACTTGATTATCACTGTATACTCATTGTACTGTAACTTAGTTGTGTAGGTCTTGGACATGCAAGTTTTTTTTAATTACTGTTCATTGGGTTTGTTTGTTTTTCCTGACCTGGTGCAGACGGACAGCAGTGACCAGGAAAAAATGTTAAATGTATTGTCTACTGTCTTTTTTGCTAATAGGTAAATTAAGATATAATTTTAAAAATAATGAAAAAATTTATTGTCCCCCTTCGCATTTCCCTACATATGTTACAATGAAGAAATTTATGCTACAGTCAGGACTTTAATTTTGGATTGCTGTAACTTTTCCTTTACGTGTGTTACTGCTTCTGCATCTGGGAAACCTGCCAATAGAATAAGTCTTGATCCAAAGTGTAAATAGACAAAGGCTAGGTGCTAGTGTTAAGATGGCATTATTTCTCCTACAGAGGTCAAGTATCTAGGACTGCATTTAAATCACAGGACAGGTTATTGCTCTCAGCAGGATGTATTTTAGCATTTCATTTTCAGAAGGAAAGAACAGATCGCGTAGACTGAGAAACTATACCCTTTGCCACAAAAAAAGAGGAAATTCTCTTTTATAGTGTTAACTTGAGGGGTAAAAATCAACCACTGGAGAAGGTCTGAGTCTTAACAACACCCAGAAACAAACCAATCCTAGACTGTTCTTGGCAAAGAGGAATAGAGCTTATGGCCAATCTCATGAGTCTAAGAGTCCTTAAATGAACAACAGGTTTAAAACATTTCTAGAGAACTATAGTAATCCCTGAACCAAATTTAGAAAAGCCCTGCAAGTTTGAAAGAAAGAACTGATGTAAAATTTATTACATATGAAGAAGTAAATCACTTCTTCCTCCTCCACAATAACAATAAATTGCACTTAAAACATTTCCAGCTGTGACAGGAATGTTTCTATTTAGATGCTACATCTAAAACACAAAGCATATGCACTATCACATGACATTAAACACAATGGTAATACACTGGCATTTAAGACAAGTGGTAGTAAAGAGGTTTTGATCACAGACTCAGCATCTGTCTTAACACGGCAGTTACTAAATTACAAAACAGCCCACTAACATTCAAAGTCTCTGTTAAAACTGACATTGAACGTTGATTACAATTTCTTGCAAAAACCTTTAGAGACATTTCCATCCAACCAGTTAAATATGTAATAGAGCTATAAATAAATAAGAGAAAAATAATCTCAGTTTTTTCCGTCAGATCATTAATCTAATATAATTTTCAATAGCAAAGAAGTAGTCAGTCAGTTGCAGGTGTGCAACAACAAAGTGAAGCATCTAGACATTAAGCAGACTGGTGAAATGGCTGTGATCAATTGTAGTAACAGTATCCGTACTTTTTATCCTGTGTGCTTGCTGCATACTGTCACAGAAGCTTCCTCATATTGTTAATGCAGTGTATTTAGTTCTCAGAGTATAACCCGTTTCCCCACAAAATCAGGCTGTGCTTGGATTTCTGAGAAAAGTGCTTTTAGAGAATTAGCAAGCACTGGGCACATGACATCAAAGTTGTTAATAATGACACTATTCAGTATGACACACACATGTATATACACATGTTAAAACATCCAAACTGAAAAGACTATGTCTCAAACGCAGACTAAGCCAAAAGCTCTGGGGAAGCTCTTGCATCTGCAAATGCAAGTCATAAATGCACATTTTTAGAAAGGCCTGCAGGAGTTTGTGGCTTATCTAAAGACACCTACAACAACAGAGAGGAAAGGGCAGGCACAGCAACCTTAGGTGTACATAACAGTGCTATGCTTCTTGTGGGTGCAATCTAACCTGTTATTTGCCTTACTAAGAACTGTTTTAACATTTATTCAGTTGACCATCCAAAAATACTTTGAATCAAGAAATACTTTGAAATTTGAATCTATCAGTCAATCACAAATGCTTGCATACTTGCATATGTATAGAAAGTCACATGAAAGCAGACAGCAGAATTGCGACTCATTCTGGGTGCCAGCTGACATCCAGTCATGCATTTCAAAAACAAACGTAACAAACAAACAACCAACACAAGAAAGCCAGAACAAATTAAAAAAAAATAGCTCCAAACTAGGAAACAATTGTAACCAGGACAGGTCAACCTGTCCTTTGCAAACCAAGCAACTGAAGTTATTAATCATATTTGTTCATTCAATCTAGAATCTATCTTTTACCATCTTGGGAGCACTTAGCCCTTAGCCCTTCCTCATCGTACACTTCAGTCTTTCCCTCTCCTCAGAAGGAAACATTTCATTACTTCCCATTTCTGAGACTAGAAAGAAAGGACAGTTAGTCTGGATCCCAAGTAGGTTTAATCTCTGTTCTGGAGTTCCTAAATGCCAAGCTGTAAAGACCTTGGGAAGGACTCATCAAGCTTCAGCCTTAAGAGCCACATATTATGCATGTGGGAAGGAATAAACTAATGCATCCCAGGGCTCTTGACTCCTATTCAAAGTTGTGATGTTCATAGGCATGTTATAAAGTAAATGTAATAAAAGGACGATGAGTTGTTGAAAATGCTGCTTATTCATTCTTGAACTGAATCAAAATTCAATAACATGATACTGAACAAGCTGCTCTAGTTTATGTAGTTTTGAATGGAGATATGTGGGGGTGAGTTTTGGGCTAGATGATCTCCTCTGGTCTCTTCCAACTTTATCCATCCTGTGATTGTATATGTATCACTGATGCTATTGAGAAGGCACAAGTCCATTCTAAATTAGCTGTCTGTTCAGTCCTGCTTCTTGAACCAGAGTAAACTAAATTCCTGTAATTTAGTCAGACTAAGGTACTGTGCAGAAGTGATGATAATTCCATTATCCAGGAGAAGTTAAAAGCCCTCCTCCTCCAACAAATCCAGCAAACTAGGACACAAAACACTTCTAGCAGCACCTTATCTGTGTTAAGAGTCCAGAATTGACTTTTAGTTTAACTTAGTTTGATAGCAAGCATTCAAGCTGGTAACAGCTCATCCTTCACAGAAGGACTTTTCCACACTTCTACTGGATGTGGTGGTAGCAAGCTTATTTTCCAGCGTTCTCCATTAGATGAAGCTGCTACCCATCCTTGCTTGCTCCTTGTTCCAAATATTTTCTCTCAAATATATGTTGGTCAGCCAACACCAAGAACACTGGTAAATGGCAGTTTTAACACAAGATGTGAAAATCAGAACGGCTGTACTTGAGATAGAAAGGGCTATGCTTTTTGTGCCCAAGGCTACTTTCCAAGCTAATTGAATAGAAGCATGCACATTGCAGACAGGAGAGGAAATAACATGTCTTCAAGGGACTGGAGTGAACAACAGCATAGCAGTCCATCCAAGTAGCCTTCCAGGAAGCCATTTCATTTTCCCTGGTCACTTGACATTGGTCTGAAGAAGAGATTACGCAGATGTATTAAAACTTTGTCCTATTTTGAGACTGCTAGTTCTGAGGACAACATTTCATCACACAAAGATGCACATAGTATGTGAGAGTCTGATGACAACAGAAACCACATCCTTGTACAGCGGCTATTTGTCAGTTGTCCTAGCAGCTTCACATTTTGTGTTACTTTGTCTTTTAGGTAAGACAAATGTCATAAAGAATTTCACAGTTTGGTTCTTGTGGCTTGCATCAAACAAAATCCAAGCAAAACTACCACATTCCCTGTCTTCTACCCACGCTCCAGGATATTCTCTGACAGTAAGTAGATAATAAATGACATGAATGTGACCATAAAGCCTTAGTTACCACATCTAGAAGTAATATTAAAAATCAGCATTGCCTGACTTCTTCATCTCCTTTTACTAGGTCTAATATTATTGTTGCATGCCTATATGGCATACTGATTAATTACAGAAGGAAAAATGTTATTGTTAAGGCACTACATAAATTAGGAATGGAGACAGGTAATTTTTCCACTGTTCAGATCTTGCCTGTCCTATGTGAGTATTAATTCTTTTAGGTCTGGTAGTTTCCAATGTGACTAACATAACAGTTGACCCATTAAGTCAAGCTATATCATAAAATTCAGCTGGTGGGTCAGAAGAGGCAGGGTTAAGACAAGTGAGTTGACACAGCAACTATGTTTCCATCTTCAAACTATTCCAATGTTTTGTTCCAGATAAATACCATGAAGCTAGTCTTTATTTTTTTTGTCTCACATAAAGTGTAAATGCTGTATTCCTTACAATCCTTTTGCCACTTTTAGTATTGGTTAGATGTCATCAATGTTGCTATTACGGGTGGAACTACAAAGCTTCTCTCTGTTGGCAGTGTTGTGGTTCTGCTTAAACAAAGTAATTCTTGCCTTATACCCCATCTATGTATTGTCACATATTGGTTTGACACAAATACCAATCTTTTATCATTCTGCCTACCACCATAGGCAGGGGTCAGGTACTGTCAGACTTTCTCTATTCTTCTACAGTGCTCCATCTATAAGGGTCTTTCCATGTCTTTTAACACATTTGTTCAGGTTCTTCACTTATGTTAAATTATGCTAGAATAACAGAAGTGAACTTCTGCAGTACATTTACGATGTGATATTCCAAAATCACTAAGCAAAGTTTCCAGTTAAAATATTATTTTAAATCAAGCCTGAGTTTTGCAGCAAAACAAACTGGTACAGACTTCAAAAACATACACACAAAAGAAATTAAGTACTACGCTCTGAAATTTGTGTACTGAAAACGGCGATGCTTCTGCTTTCTAAAAATATTTAAGTGCCAACAGTGCTTCCTAAAGTGGATTCATTAAGTCCACGAAAGTGTTCACAACTTCCAGCAGGATAAGGACCATATGATACTTCCAGACCAATTCTTCTCAAACCTCAACTGACAAGACAGATAGGTTGGGATAAATGACTATGGCCTCTGAAAACATTCTGAACAGAATTACAAGCTCCTGCAAAGACTTTAAGGTGGCACTTCCTTTCAGAAGTTTATTAAGGCTTACCCCACACATCCATGGTTGCCCAAAGAATTTGAAAAAAAAAAAAAAAAAAAAAGCAGTCACTGGTTAATACTGCTTCTGCTCCTGAACAAAGTACTGCTTAAATTATTGCTTCTTTTCTTGCTCAAGAAAAAGAAGTTATTCTTTTAAGTTATGGCCTTGCGTATTTTCTTAGGTGGAGATATTAATCTATCATAATACAATAAACAGGGCATGAAAAATTTTCCAAAATGTTTCACATTCAGACAGCCAGAAGCAAAAGGCAGAAATCATCACATGGTCATGCTTACATATACTACATATTAAAAAAAAACAAAACAAGGATACAGAACTATGTCTACATAAGCAGCAAGAAATACCTGCTAATAAAGCCCACATCTTTCTATATAAAAAGCCTGGAAGCATCACATTTTCATGAAAGACAGCAACCTCTTTCAAAATATTGTTTAAAATTGACTTTTTGGCATAGATAGAAGGGTTAAAAAAAATAATCAAGCTTAATGATGAAATTTTGTCCTTTAACAAGACAAAAGATTTTCTATGGCTATTTCATCATAGAAAACTAGCTTCCTAGCAGTAAAATTTTAGTCTGGTCCACTTAGAAAAATGTTTATCTGAAGCAGTGACTTCTATTGTTGATACAAGAGCAAACAACAAATTTTGATGCCTGCACAGGAATCTTTCCATAATCAGAATTAGGGGGTGGCTTCTGCCTGTAATGAGGAAATCTCAAGGTGCATTACAGAAAAGTTGTTCCACTAGATGGAGAAATATTTTGACTTTAAATTTTTAAGGAAGATATGTGTGGGGTTTTTTTGTTTGTTTGTTTGTTTTTTTGTTTGTTTGTTTGTTTGTTTGTTTTTAAATAAAACTCCCTCTACTCAAAGATTCTTAATGCCAAAACAATTTTCAAGTTCCTCTAAAAATATGTACACAGACAGGTCAGAGAAAAAAGCATGTTCATATGTCACCTGATCTTTATAGAATATTCTTGATTCTACAGTGAACAAAAAACAGCAGCATCATTTCCAGGACAGACTGCACTGTTTGAGAAGATCTTGCCTAGAAGCTTTTTTTTTTTTTTTTTTTTTTAAGATTAAAAAAAAACAACAAAAGGAGTGATTTTCATTACAAAATTCTTCTTCCTACATCGCACACACTGCTGTAAAACAACTCACAACATTAGTAACAGCAATTAACTTTACAGAATGCTACTTCAGGTAGCTCAGAATAAGAAATACTTTTTATTTACTTCAATTTCAGCCTGAAGCTCTCATTGATAACCTACCTTTAAAATACTACAGAAAAGTAATAGTTCATTAACTAAAATAAGAAAACAAACAGACATCAAAGATGCAAGCATCACCAAACCAGGCTAAGCAAGCCAGAACAACATGAGACCTATAAAGATTAATCACCAATACTTCCAGCCACATTTTACCACTAGAAGCACTGTTTGTGACATTCCTACAGAGCTCACAGAGTTGTAAGAAAAGGTGAAGTAAGGAACAGTCTTGTCTGTCTTCACTTCAAGTCAATGATGTCTTCATCAGATAAAGAAGTCAGATGAAATGGATAGCTAAATGGTGAGCTCTCCTCCCTGTTTGCTACAGAATCAGGATCTGAACTAGTGGAAAGATGACGACCCTCAGAATAGCTTTCGAAAGAGGCTGAGATTATTCTGCAAAGATGAAGACAAAGGTCACTAAAAAAAAAAAAAAAAAAAATACACAGAAAAGGGGCAGGTAGGGTCAGTGGCTATTTCTACATACAATCAAGTCATCCTAAAGACAGATCATTAAAACTGAGTTTCTCTCTGTTTAACTCTGCTTCCATAACAATTCTTATTAAAACAAAGATTACAAATATCAAATTATTGCCAAAAGGTAATCCTAATGAATTGTCCCCCTCATTATAACTTCCAAATAGCAAAATAGTTTATACTGCAGCAGATTAACAAAAAATAGTCTCAGTCTATTGTATCTTGGCTGAATTCTGCTGCTACTCATCACAAATGCATGTTATAAAAACAGAGAAAACAACATAATGGCAGTAGGGTCTGGTAAGCAGAGCCAAACAGACAAATGCAATAATGTTTATTTGCAAAATTTATTTTGGAAATAGCAAGACAAGAAGGTACGAAGAAAACAATAATTCAGTCTGCAGTGTGAATTTAGTAGTTCAAGTCCTAGTGACAGGCCCAATTGCAGTAGGTCCTCCACAAAATCCCACTTAGCTTTTCTTCGCTTATAACATGTCTTTTAGCAATATGCATAACCCATCTCAGTGCTGTTATTAGATATTAAACCACACATTAGCATGAAATTCACAAAGGCCTCAGTCAATCCCTACCTAACTGGGAAAACCATAAACCGGTTGAAAAGCAATCAATTCTCAAAACATTTATGGTCTAACTTAGGCTCCTTCCTAAAGCCCATACATTTATTTACCTGTCACTACTAGTTGATCTTACTGCTCCCTGCTTGGGGTCTGACTGTCTTCGAGGAATCTTTTTTTGCTTCTGTGAACCTTCTGTCTTGGGAATAGGCTCATCCAAGAGGCCTCAATAAAGGAATAAAAGTCTTAATATTCTCATCAGAAAATAAAGCATTCACAAAAATGTTTTTTTTTTTTTAATTTTCATTTTTTCACTTATTTTCATTTTTAATTAAACAGCTTTCAGCTGACTTAGAATATGGTCACCTTATATATGACCAGACACTACCTAAACTACTTGCAAACAACATTTTCTTACTGTTTTGTTTGTACTAATTTATGAACACTGGTTGTCTGTCACTAATCTGACTATAATGAGATTAGTCCAAAGATGCTCCAAAAATTAGAAATTATATTAGTGGTAACTGATATATATACACTGAAGAACAAGGGGAGTTTACCCAGCAATTCTTTACGTGTTCTGTTTGCAATTTCTTTGATTTCCATGCGAGATAAGGATAGTGAGTGAGTAACAGGAAGAGAGGTAATGCCACCGGATGTTGGAGTAGTGACGACTTTAGGAGTCAAAGGTGACTTCAGAGGTCGTTCAATGCTTCGCCCTACCAGATTACTAAGAGGAATTTTATACAAGTTTTTACATGTAACTTCACCTGAAACTCAAAAGGAAAAAAAAAGAACGTTACTCTTTCACAACCGTATCAGTTCATAATACTTCAAAATGAAAAATCATACAGAAAAGTTATAATCATTGTGTGGGTTTTTTGTTTGTTTGTTTTTAAACTCAAATAACATTTCTTGCTTTCTTCTTCAAGACCTTTCTTGCTTTGCACCTTACAATATAAGTAGGCTAGGAGAAGGAAGAAATAGAACTACATTTTGCACTGACTTTTCGGCTTACAGAGGAAAAAATTTTTGACTCTCAGCAAGGTGATGAATCAGCAATGGAAAAAGGAGGTAAATTTATATGTCCTAAGGCTGATATCCCAACTGTAAGACCATGACTCACTATTCTGTTCAAAATTCCCCAGATATTTTAATATGTTGCCAGAATATTGGAGTCTGGATCCCAAATAGTTCAAATTATGGCTTTTCCTCTTAAGTGACATAAAAGACTCTGCATTTTCTTAATTTTTGGGGGAAAAAAAAAACCCAATCACCTAACAACTTACCATCAAACAGCACTACCTTTTAAAAATTGAAATTCCAACTCCTTCCTCTTCTCCCTTTCTGCCAACAGTACCAGATTTAAAAGTCCAAGGCATACATACATAATGCATTATCTAGTCGATACTCCCATGTTTCTCCATTATTGTTCCCTTACAGATCAACTGTTCACAGATTACCTTACAGTAAGGTGATTGTGACTAGATACACTTCTTATTCTGAATTTGAAAAGAACTCTAATCATTGAGGGATGGTTTAGCTGTTTTTAAGTGAAAGGAAAGGTGTATGTGAAGTCTGAAATTTTTCTCATAATTTTACGCCATTTTTTCTTTAATCTTGGACATATTGACAAAGATTCATCTAGCTAGTAAAACTTAATTCTTCCTCCTCTGTATAAATGATTTCTTGAAAATAATGCTGCTATTCATTCAAAAGATATACACTTGGGCAAAAGCTAAGCCAGGTGATTCAGAATTTTGGGTAATAAGATTTCTATCCTCCACACTCTCAACTATTAACTCAAAATCTTTTATCTGATCAATTTCTTCTTACTAAAGATCAGCTACACTGAGATATGGAAGCTGCTGGAACAATCAGAGATGATTATTCAAGCTGTCTAGAAACCATATTACCTTCTGAAGAAGAAAGAGAACATTCTGGCATGTCATAAGCTGCAGGTGTTTGAGGTGAACTTCTTGAACTCATTTCCTTAGAACTGCTATGAGATGATCCGCTTACTGCAGCAGTAGCTTTAAAATAAATATCTGACTGAAATGACAAAGAACTCACCATTAGTACTACAAGACTTTCTTAATCACTTGCTGAGTAAAAGCTCAAATGTTTATCCACTCTATTTCATTGCCACTGTAGCTGCATTGCTGCTGATTTGATTAGGGCTGATCAGGGAAAGGCTATCTCACTGTATCTTGGGGAAACTTCTGTGATGTTCAGAATAGCATGTGCCCCATAAACAATCAAATACCTCAAGTATGCATTACTGCAGGCAATAAAGGACAGTGAGCTCAATTCTGATCCTAACTGTACTTAATACTAAGAGCACAAAGATGAATATTTTTCACAAATGAAATCACGCTTGTGAGCTTTGGTTTGTATTTGGCTTAGACAACATTTCATGTTAAACAGATCTCAACAACATCTCACAAATAGTCAAAAATACTTTTCTTGTGTCTTACCCTTGATGCTACAAGTTGAAGCTCAGGCACAACTGCTGTGTGGACTAAGTTTCCATTCACCACTAAACGTATTTCAATGGAATCAGTAGTGAAGGCAAGTATGTAAGGGAAAGCACAGACTGCAAAGGAACAAAAAATTATTTGGCACAAAAGAATGATTAATGTATGTGTTTCTTGGTTGCTCAGTGCAGACTGTTCCTGAGTATCTGATCTACTTCAGCATCTCCCTTTCCTACGACAAAGTTTGCCTAATAAACTGATGAACATTCAGATACATCAAGCCTGAACAAGATTTCATTCTCCATGTCTGGCAGAATGCAGACTGAACGGGAAATAAAAAAATAGAAAAAAGAGAAAGGAAAAATAGTTCAGCAAAGGAAAAAAACTTCGCACCAAGGCTCCACTTTTCAAAATACACTAAAAACAGCCACTTAGCAGAAGTGGCATCATTAATGCAACATGCTTATAGAATCACAGAATTATCTATTTTGGAAAAGACCTTCAAAGATCATGAAGTCCAACCATCAATCTGACCTACCAAGTTCCATCACTAAACCATATCCCTTAGTGTCTTGTCCACATGTTTGCTAAGTACCTATAGGAATGGAGTGACTCTACCATATCCCTGGGCAGTGCATTTCAATCATTAACTATCATCTCCATGAATAAATTCTTAAGAATTTATTAATTTATGTTTATCAAAATTTATTAAATACAATTTTTTATATACAATGTTATTAATTTTGCTTTTGTATGTATTTCTAGCACACGTGCTGTAATTCCAGAAACAGCCAAGTGCAGGTCTAAGAGATATTGATAAAAGAGTAAAAATAAATGTTTTCTTACCAACAGCATAAGGAACTTGATTCCAGCAAAAGTGAAAATCATAAGCTGATGGCTGAATCAGTGGAGAACCACCATTAAACGGATACACTTTTCTATACTGGCAAACATCTGTTACAAAAAAAAACAACAAAAAAAAGCACCCATCACTTTACACTGTAAATTAAAAATGTCAACTTTATAGGTAGATTTTACTTAAGTTTGGATGATAGATAGATACAACTCAAACATCTGTGTAGAAGCCTCTTTGTATCTAAACAAATAATAAGGAAAACGAGCTTTCGTTTGAACATTTAGAAGATAAATATAAAGAGCTACATTTTAATAAGTTACCATGTTTCACAAAGTAAGTGGTATTCTGTTTCAACAATCATCAGCTCCTTATTTTGTTTACAGTAGAGAAATAGGCAACAACATTTCTGAAAACCATGTCTTCTCTGTCTGTAAGAACTGCCATGCAAGCAGCCATATGCTACTTCATGTATTCTAAGGACTGTAAAACACATAGGATACTACAGATACCAATTTCATTAATCATGTTACTTGTGAGCCTCTTAGCTACCATACATGCACTGAAACTGTCTTCTTATGAGTCAGACATGAATTGGCTACTTGGAATGAAATTCTAAATTTAATTTGGAAGATCTAGATCATGAGGAATTTAACCTTCCACTACCCAATTTTATTCTCTAAATACTCTCACTAGTGCTGATAAAACATCCTTTAAAATGAGAAGTTATGTCAACAAATTAAAAGAAGGCTTAAAGAGGAGAAAGAATTGCAATCATCTTTTTATTTTTACTACTTCATATGACTGCACTGGAGGCTCCAGAAAAACATCTGTGAGCACCTCATACACCTGCTCCTATCAGTTCTTTTCAATGTTTTTAGGTAAAATTCTATTTTAAGAGTTGATTTGATGACTCCTGTGGGTCCCTTCCAACGCAGGACATCCTATGATTTGATTTTTTTCTATTATTTATGTCCTTAGACTGAATCAAAGTTTATAACCCAAAAAGTATTAAAACCCTTTTTCTAAATACAAACTCAGAACTGTCAAATCATGTGTTTTCATATTTGTTCTACGATGATCTTTTCTTAATTGTAAACTCTCTAAAGACCAGAAGTAGGTTTCTCTGTGATAATGTCCTAGAAATAGGAATTCAAGTAGCTGCAAGACTGAGCATTAGGCTTTAAGATCCTATTAGGATCCTGTAGTGTACCTTTAGCACCAACTAAGTTTATTAGCTTTGGATCAGCAGTAAGTCTATTAGAATGGAACTGATTCTGCGCAGAAGTACAGGTATGGGAATTCACCATGCACTGTCACAGCATACTTGAGAACTAAAAAGCTCTAAGTGAACTAGAATCAGATAGGATACGGCAAAATAGGAGAACCAGTGAGGCCTCACAGTATTACAGAGGAAGTTAACACTTAAGAAATACTTTCCCGTAGTACCAAACTAACAGCCAGTACTAGAATTTAGGTGTATTTATTATGTTTCTATTGATGATCACTTTGAGAAGGACGACAGGACACATAGCCTGAAACAGAGAAGGCTGTGCTTTGTCTTTCTGTGTATTGCTTCATAAAGGCTGTTACATATCTGTAAGTTATATTTTTAAGAGGATTAGAAGCAAAAAAGAAAGGAACATGTATTATATCGGAGACCATGTGTCCATATCGCAGAGAATTATAATGAAAGAATGTGACAGTGCAAAGAAGTGTGCAGAAGAAAAAAGCACAATAACAGAATGCAAAAGTACAAAGAAGAAAGCAGGTGGAATGCTATACACATCCTGGAAACATCCAGTGTTTAATTAGGTAAAGAATGAAGAAATCGGAAGGCATAGGACTTTTGCGAGTAACAAAGTAATATCTATTGTATGTCTAATTCAAAATACCCAATAAAATAGTACTTCAATTTCTAGTCTGCCTAATGTGTATTTAAGTCAAAAAGAATGTATTATGAAATACTATCTGTGAAACTCTGAAATTTACTTTAAAACACAGATCTAGACTCCAATGAAAAAATAATTCCATGTGCAGATAGAGATCCTACCATTTTCAGTCTTCCCTGGATACTTACAGTTATAACATAATAGTAGACCAGCTTCACCATCTTCGTATACATCAATAGCTGCAACAAAATTAACCTGCAATGGAAATGGGAAATGATAATGAATATTCAGATGGGATACTGCAGTTATTACATCCAGTTTTTGACTCTGAAGCAATACAGTCAGTTGGTGTTGTTCCACAATTACAGATTTTAAAAAAAAAAAAAAAGTGATTTTCACATTCGGCCTGTTTTGTGATTCATTTTCAGAGTGCTCTTAGAATGGAAATCAATTTATTTTGTATTTAATGCTGTACCTCAGTAATGAATATTCAGTACTATGCCTATAGCATAAAAACTTACCTAATTTATTTGGCCATATAAATTTTGAGTTAGTACAGCTGTGTATCGCAGAATCACATGGGTTGGAAGGGAGCTCCAGAGATCATGGAGGCCAACCCCCCTGCCAAAGCAGTTTCCTACACCAGCTCACTCAAGTTGGTGTCCAGGCGGGTCTTGAACATCTCCAGAGAAGGAGACTCCACAACCTCCCTGGGCAGCCTGTTCCAGTGCTCCGTCACCTCACCGTAAAGAAGTTCTTGCGCACATTGGTGAGGAACTTCCTATCCGAGTTTCCGGCCGTTTCCCCTTGTCCTGTCTCCACACACTGCTGAAAAGAGTCTGGCCTCACCACTCTGCTCCCCACACCTCAGACATTTATAGACCTGGATCAGGTCCCCTCTCAGTCTCCTTTTCTCAAGGCTAAACAGACCCAGATCAATCAGCCTTTCTTCATAGAGAGATGCTCCAGGACCTTCACCATCTTCGTGGCCCTTTATCTTCCCCGCAGCAGGAAACATTTGAACTTCCCCCCCTGCCCTCCCCCAAAACTCAGGACGTTTACTTAAATCGCAACACTTTGTCTTAGTTAGACAGATATAGTTAATTTAAGATTTGGCTGTGCAGAAGTTTCTTAAAAAAAACCTAAAAGATATAAGCATATCTGAATGAGTTACTGGTGGCCAAAAACTGAAGTTATTTTGCTGAAATCTTGACAATAAAACATTGAGAACACAAAGAAAAGGCAAAGCACAAACTACTGACTAAAAGGACAATAATGGCTTTGTATTTACGCTGACAGCAATATTTCAGAGAAATGAAACACAGGTTCTTTGTTCACGTGTCATGCCCTGTAAATACCTCTCTCGGAAGTAATTATCATCACACATTCCAAAAGAGACAAGTATCTCAGACAGCCCCTACGGCAGAAGTTGGACTGGACTGAAAAGTAAAGGAGACATAGGATCTCTGTAAACAGTGCTCCCAGCAGGTCAGCACAGCAAGCACTAATTCTGCAAGAAATAATGTTCAGTGTGGTTCTGCAAGAAAATAGGTTCCATGCTTAAACTTACCTTGTTTGCTTCAATATGATGCAGTCTGTAGGACTCCCCAGTACTTTCGTTAACTAAATCAAACTGATGCCGATAAGCTACACAAATCATATTGTCACTGTCTTCAGTAGGTCCATCAACTAGCGTCATAATCACTGGAGGGTCAGAAAGGCATATTTCCTGTATGGTAAACAGAATCATAGAATCACTCAGGTTGAAGAAGACCTTTAAGATCATCAAATCCAATCACGATCTAAGCATACAATGCCAACAACCCCCCGCTAAATCACGTCCCTGAGCACCACATCCAAATGGTTTTTAAATACATCCAGGGATGGTGACTCAACCACCTCTCTGATGTGCCTATTCCAGTGCTCAACAGCCCTTTCTGTAAAGAAGTGTTTCCTAATATCCAACCTAAACTTACCCTGGCGCAACTAGAGGCCATTTCACTTTGTCCTGTCACCAGTGAGAATAAACCAACACCACTCTTGCTGCAAGCATATTTCAGATACTGGAAGACAGCAACAAGGTCTCCCCTCAGCCTCCTTTTCCTCAGACCAAACAGCCCGAGTTCCTTCAGTCACTCTTCATAGTCCATATTCTCTGGGCCCTTCTTCACCCTTGTTGCCCTTCTTGGACCTGCTCCAGCACCTCAATGTCCTTTCTGTACTGAGGTGCCCAAAACTGAACACAGTACTTGAGGTGAGGCCTCACCAGTGCCGAGTACAGGGGCAGGATGACTTCCCTAGTCCTGCTCACCACATCATTCCTGATACAAGCCAGGATGCCACTGGCCTTTTTGGCCAACTGGGCACACTGCTGGCTCATATTCAGCCAACTTTCCATCAGTGCACCAAGTCCTTTTCCATCAGGCAGCTTTCTAGCCACTCTTCTCCAAGCCTGTAGGATTGCCTGGAGTTGTGACCAAAATGCAGGACCCAACACCTGACCCTACTGAAACTCATACAGTTAACCTTAGCCCATCGATCCAGTCTATCCAGGTCCCTCTTTAGTGCCTTTCTCCCCTCAGACAGATCAACACTGCCTCCCAGCTTGGTGTCATCTGCAAACTTAGAGGGTTGTTAATAAAGATCTTAAATAGAAGCAGCCCCAGCAACGAGCCCTGGGAACTCAGTAAATAAAACTATTCTCTTTTTCAGACTCTTAGTCTGAAAGCACATCTTCCTAAGCACAGAAACATGACATAGAGCAAACAAATTCACTTAAATAAATCTGAAAGATTTCTTTGGCCCTTGAACAACGGAGCTCCATCATACTGCTTCTTGCTTATATCTATCTGGAAGTTCAGAAAGACAAAATGCATGCTCTTTACCTTTCTGCCCCACTAGCTGAGTGCTGCTCAGTCTGTAAAGGCAATTAGTGACCAGTTTACACGTACCCGGATATACTGGAACTCCTCTAATGGAGATTCAGATAATGATGGAGAGCTGCCTGTTAAACTGTTGCACGGATTGTATTTCTTTATGATGAGAAGTAGTTTGTTCCGAATAGCCACAACAATCCTGAGTTCACCGCCATGGTGAGTATTAATAGCATATAAATGGCAGCCTAAGGAAACAATATTCCAGATTGTAATTATTCGGGGTAATGACTGCTTTTTTGTTCTGTATTTGAACGATAGTACAAGAGTGCAACAGAACTGCAATAGGATACCACTAACATCTAGAAAAAGACAAAACGATGTGATTCTTAAATTGTATTTAAGAATAAATACAAGGGTTAAATTGTATTTTTCCTTTCAACGAGGGTTAAATCATGTTAACCCTTTCCAGCTTGCTGCTGAAGATCAGAAAATGTTTACATCCATTAAAATAATCAATACTCAAACTATTCTGAGTGCTACTATTCAAAATAGATTTGTCAGTGTTTCTCCAATTTACAGTGATCTTAATACATGAATGTGAGACATACAGTTCTTATTATATCCCCCAATTCTGAAAGCAACATACATGCTTTTCTCTAGAGCTTTTCATCAGCAGTGATTATCAAGTAACATGGTAATTTTACCAAGCTCTCAACAGGCACGTTGGACTACACCCAATCTTATTTTCAGAAAATCTTAAAGTTTGAATTAACTGTTCAGAGTTAAAGGAAACAACCAAACAAAAAAACTAAAGGTGAAAATCTGCAACAGGAAGCTAATAAGCCATAACAGTATGGTGGGATACTTTTAACATAAGATAGTAAAATCACCTTTTGTTCTCTCCAATTTATTTTCTCTGCAGTCATATTTGCTTCTTATCACCTGCTTTGTTTCTATATCTTTTTGGACTGAACTCAATCTGAAGACAAGGAGACGGGAGTCTTTCCCTGAAGGATGGAAAAAGCCAAAAAATACTTAGAAAAAGATGATGGTGTTCTGAAATTAATACTTCCGAAGAGGTGCAGTTCCTAACAAACAGGGCAGTGTCATAAAAGCAAAAGATAAATAATTTTGCTTCTCTGGGTGTAAGTAGGAATGCGACAACAAGGAAAGACTGCTTGTGAACACACTCTACTCTTTACAATCCTAGAAACCAGTGCCTTCAGTTCAGTAGAAGTTTCCCCTCAGTCTGTGTTGAAAACAAACAAACAAACAAGAAAACTCAACAAATTATATAAGATCTTTAGAACAGTGAGATGTACGCTACTGGAAAACAGTGAAAATACAGCAGAGGCAAACTAAAGGCAAGAGTAGAAGGGTTAACTATAAATGTCTAGCAGCTGATAACTGGACTCTTAACAGAGTTTGAAAACCTGCCCCTGGAGGCAGACTGGTTTTGCCGTTCTTCAAAGAACACATTCAAGATACTTTCCAATTGCAAAAATAACACCGCACCCACTACCACAGTTAAATCTATTTTCCATGATGACAGATGTGAGTAGAATACACTCCTAAATTTAAATAAATAAATAATGGTGCACGACTATTAACAGTTGAAAATAAGCTACTCTTTAAGAACCTTACATAAGAAAGCAAACTTCTTAAAATGCAAACAAAGCAAGATTTTCTGACACAGGTATACTCTTTCAATAGAGCAGCTGGTATAACTGGAAAAAATTAAGCACATTTTCTAAATATGTAGCCAGTGTAGCTCCTGCTATCAATATCAAAGCAAGATCACAGGTGCTGCCTTCAGTGCTGATAGAAGAGCAACACGAATTAGGATGACCTTTGGCGCATACATGACTTTCTTCTCCCACAGAAAGTATTAGAGTAAGAAGGCATAATGCTTCCGTAAGTCCACCATAACTTCAAACATTGACTCAGAGCAAATTCTTACTGTCAACACTGAGAAAATGAAAACAAAATGGATGAAGTCCTTCTCTTTTCAAAAATATGTACACTCAAGAATGTGTGCTTCTATGAATGAGTTGCTTAAATACGAAGGGGGTAAGGTGCTGGAACAGGCTGCCTAGAGAAGCTGTGGTTGCCTGATCTCTGGAAGAATCAGGCTGAACAAGGCTCTGAGCAATCTCATATACTGAAAGACGGCTGTGACCATGATGGGGGATGGAAAGCTGTACTAGATGACCTAAAAAGGTCCCTTCCAACCCAAAAAATTCTATGATTCAGTGTGACCAGCTTAAGGTTTGCACTGAAGCACCATTCTGAACATATCTAGGGATTTCTTTTTTCCCCACACCTTTTAGAAGACAACAACAACAACAAAAAAAATCAGAAGTTGTTGTACCTTTTATTCTAAATGAGACATTTAATATATGCCACTACTAGTATGATGCAACTGCCCGTGCCCATGAGTCATGCAAATCCTAAAGCATTCTAAAGCATTGAGACAAAGGAAATAGCATGTGAGCAACCCAGAAGAAGTCAGCAAAGAGAAAGAGGTGAAAGGATGTCAAAAGAGCAACAATAAAAGTTCTAAGACCTAACAAAAGCAATTTAAAAATGGCTAGGTGATGTGAGAAAAGGTGATAATACATATCTAGCGCTGCAGGAATTAAAATGTAGAGCATTTTTTTCCAGTAAAGTAATCTCTTAAAGAAAAAGAGTTAAAATATTCCTTCCTATTGATGTGCCTGCCAAATAAGAAGTTAACCAGATATATTCATAAGAGAACCGATTAACAGGGACCTCTCCTACCTTTATCTGTTCGGGCAATCAAATAATCCAGAGCTTCCAACACATGCATCTGCTTTATTTGCAGAGTTTTATCAAATACTTGAACAGCAGTTTGACCATCTAAAAAGGAAGCACACAAATTTCTTTACAATTCTGCTAAAATTTGGTAGTTAGTGGTTTTGAACTTCTTCTTGCAATAAAAGCCTTTTTTTTTCCCTCACTAAAATAAAGCATCCTGTAAGAAACTGCTTAATATACTGTAGCATCATAGCCTATACTTCCTTATGGCAGTCTTTTATCATTGCCATGGATCAGATAATGCAAATGAAGCAGAAAAGGGACCATCCTTTAGAAAATTTGAGAATATTCACTGAGAATTAGCTTAATTCCCTCAAGCCTGACAGTCTTTTGTGGCACACAGAAGATAAGGGTCAAACTAGCAAACGCACTGCTATTGAAGAAGCAGGCTTCCATTGCTGCATAAGCTTTGGGCTTCATGCTCACTAGTATCACAAAGGGCTAACAAGTGCAGACAGACCACTTGACTCCTTAAGCTTGAATTTAACTTAGAGTCTTTTCAGATGGTCAAATAACAGCATCTGAAATAATAAAACATTCAGAAATCTGCATTAAAATGGGCCATCAAATATGGCTTGATTCTGATGCAGAGAAAAATTCTGCAAATAGGTGACATAAACGTAATAAATTTACTTGGATTGGTAAATATCAATGGAGGTGAGAACTAACCAATACCTGAGCAGAGCTTATGAACATATGTTTTCAAGACCATGTTCAGATACAAAAATAGTTAACACGAAAACACATGATCATTTACTAACCATCTATTAACAAGACGCCAGCATCTGTAGAAACCAGCAAGGACTGGCCCCAAGAATCTGCACAGATGACATCATGAGGAAAATTACTGCAGAAAGACTGGGACTCCCAAGGCTATGAATTAACATAAGGGATACACAATAAGTACACTAAGAAATACAGATCAGACAGACACAGAACATGATGGACAATGGCAAGCAGTAACATGTAAACACATCTGGGAGAATACATTTCCTAAGAGTATATTTTTTAAAATTTGAAATATCACAATCTATTTAATTTTCTTGCAGAGAAAATACTCCCGCTATCAATTGGATTTGGAGACTAATACAATAATAAGGCATGTTCTTGAAACACTGTAACTAAAACCAAAGTTTTAGTGCAATTCAGTGGATATTCACTGCAACACTGGAAGTGCTTAATATTATTTTCTTATTTTTTAAATACCACAGACTTAAAATGTATGCACTACCATGCACATACAATTTGCTTATATTTTGTAGTTCAGATTGTATTTAGAAATGGTACTGTTACAGCTGTCTTTCCTCCAAACTCTGCTTCTGTCATGTGTTCTTCATATCTGTCTCCCGAAATCTGGCTCCCTCCATCCCCAATATTAAACAGTAAACTGAAGTCTGAAACTCTACAAGCACCTTTGAAGCTCCTTTGTATAAGATGCATGCAGAAAAGCGTAGATTACATTTTCCAATCCCCGGAAAAAAAATCTCGTAGTTACAGAAAATAAAAACACAACTGAATTTTGTTTTAAACTTGATAAAGAAGTAAAAATAATTTAAGGTGATTGTCTATGGAAAACACGTGTCTTTTTCATCAAATAACCTCATGACATAAAGATATCCCAATTTGCTTTAACTTGAGAAATGCTTCTACATCCAGGCTCATCCTTTAATTGCTACTGTCTGCAGAATCACTTTAGTATTATGCAATACTATTGCATATACTCCGTTGCTACAGCGCCTAATTATGTAAGTAAATAAATACTATACAGAACTGATATACAATGCCATGTACATCATATGGCATATACGTACGCCATATTCACTAGCATTCCATTTTCTAGTAACTCTCCTTAAACAGACAGGTTCACTCACCTCCTTTTTACAAAAGCTTGTATTTGCCAAGGTAGCTGGTGTATCCCCTTTCACACCAGTTTTCAGTTTGAGCGCCTAAAATAAAAGAAAATAAAATAAAAGAAATACTTTAATTAAATGAAGTTTTTATCACTAGTATGTAAGTTAAAGACTATATAGAACAGATAATTTAGGACAAGAAAGTAACTTACTTAGTTTGTATTTTCTGTTACGCTTTCAGTAATTCAGAAAGAAAACATAATTATCTATGTCAACATGCACACTAACCACTATGGACTATCTTCCCAGACAAAAGATACACAGCTTTTAAAAAAATGGACAATCACATGAACTATCCAACTTAGTAATAGACAGAAGGCCCTATTCCAATGATGTCAGCTGGCCATTTACACAATTCAAGCAGTAGGCGCTGGTTAGCAGATCCTTCTATCTGTTAACAAGCTGGCGTTACACTTGCAAAACTACATAACAAGCCACTCCAACTGCACATATGCACTACCTGGGGGGTGGTGCTTAAGGCACAGTCACAGCAACACAAATTCTTCAGTCACAAATAACTAGAAGTATGCTGATTCTAAAAGGTCTAAAAACTCTAGAGAAATACTGTATGAATATATTTTCATTGCGACAGATAATAAGTCAATTTAAGGTATCTTATATATCTTCCTTGTTTATATTTACAGCATACAAAAATCCAGTGTTTCTATAACATTAAGACACAGTCTTGTAAACATAAATGCATACTTCTGAAATTCATCCTACCTGACCAAGTCGGACAAATTCTGCTTGCCGAGCTTCCTCCTTCTTCCGTGTTGATTTTGGAGACTCTGGTAACACATCACTGAAGGACCTCCTGTTCAGCATGTTCTAAAAAAAGAAAAAAACAGCTTTTTTTTTTTTTGCTTTTTTTTTTTTTTCCAGTTGAGTCAAAGTTTTCATAATATTTTAACTTTATTTTATTTGCTGTGGTATCATTTACATTTTCTGCCTTTCTTTTTAATATATTTTCTTATCATCAACTAACTGGATCAATTAATTGGAAGGTTTCTCTGAGAACAGAAGCTGCTATTATTCCAATCCTTGACTGCTCTATTTTTCTGCTTGTCATCATTTATCACTCACACGGTACAATTCAAGCAAGGTTGCAGACATGAATACATGAACAAGAAAGCTTAAGCAGACCAATTTAGCTAAGAGAAATAAACAGTGAGAAAAAACATCTTTCCAATTTTGGAAGTATTCAACTTCTTTTTAGTTAAGAATCACATTAAGACTGAGTCTTCATCATCTAAAATGAAGATATCTCATGCTTAATCACAGTAATCCAAAGTTGCACATAATGCGATAAGAGCTGCTTTTATGATAACAAGACAAATTCAAATACCTGTTTTGAATACTCAGTTCCTAACTATTCTATACTCTTGTTGCAGGTAAGCTTATACAAAGTGCAAGATTGCTATGCTTCTCCTCAGATCTGTTATTAAGTGCATGAAAAGTCCAATCCTGAAAGGATTGTCTGTCTACTTTCATATAACCGTAAAACAAATTATGTGACAATTAGTATTTAGCCTAGTATATGTAATCCAGTTTTCTCATCAGAATTTCAGTCTTTCAATGCAGCAGAGCTTTTCACGTACTAAAATAAGAACATACGCAAAGCACAGAGATCACTACTGACTAGCATTTACCTTGTGTAGATCAGGCATCAGGTCCTGGTATAAAGAGCGGATCAGCATGTCTAGAGTGCGCTGACGTTTCTGAGAAAACGTTGGTGTTTCCAAGGTGGCTTTTTCCCCATTTATTACTAAAAATTGTAGAAAAGAAGGTATATTACTTCAATTGCTTTGCTACCTTCCACCAACTGCAGTTTGCTTCTATACCAGTATACCCAGTTTTCTCGCAGTTACTTAGTTTTGCCTCCTTTTTACATGTTTTTAGTAAATAACAATCCTTCAAGCTTAAGAGGGAAGAAGGAATAATGGCAGAATTCAACAAAGCACCCCAATAACTACCTAACCCATATAAAAAATAAAATATAAAAAAGAATCAATGTAAGTATGAAACCAATTTAAATATTTTTGAGTAATATGTGAGATAAGTTAACAGTTAATTTCCTGTCAGGTAAGAGAGCAAAATCATGATTATTACGCTAGGTATCTGTTATTGATCTACCGGTCACAATGACAAGACCAACAAAACCTTATTTAAGCTTTTTAAAGAAGTCTCTGGCCAACAAAACCTAGTCTTCAAGGGTAACCTCAATTATCTGGGTATTTTTGGGGAATATAACACAGTGGCAAAAGTCCTCCATCAGGTTCCTGGAATGCATTAAGGACTGCTTCCTGTAACAAGCACTGGACAAGTAATTACTAAAAAAGTATTTCTAGCAAAAGGAAACTGACTTACATTTAACCAAAACAAAATCCCTGAATTCCTGGTGATTTGTAAACACAGGTGGGGATGGAAGTGGAGGCCCAAAGAGAGGAACGCTTTCTTCTGAAAATATTTTTAGCCTGTTGAAAGAACAAGTATTTATCTATATTGGAAGCCACTTTCAAAGTCTGTCATTTTTACAGATAGAAAAAAAGAATCAGAAATGGTTATCTGGGAATGTCTGGGAGAAAAATTTCCATGAGCTGAATGAAAAAAACCTCATAAATGGGCACTCAATTGGAATTATTCACTTGAACCAAAACCATGAATTATTTACAAAAATAATGAGACACTAAAATTATGATAGAACTTTGTAATTCGACTTACAGATTAATGCTGTTAACGGTGCTAGTAAAATCTAGTCCTTTCCAAAAAGAACAGCTGTTCCCCTGCAAGATGTTCTCATTACAGGTAAAGCTTTCTCTCTCACCTGTGCATTCACCACACGCACGAGAATCTTTCTGAGTAACAGTGCGAATACAACTGAATTTATATTGGGAACAGCAAATTCACTTTTGTTGAGGAAGCAAGACTGAGAACTGCTCCCATGAAAGCTGTACCTGCTGATTACTACTGATCAGCAAAGGATCCAGTATCTCAAGAATGACAGGTAACAAAACTGTGCATACAATATTCTCCAGGTACTAGAAACAAACTGTTCAAAGAACAAATTCAGAAGTCCCCTATATCTATCCTATTCAGTCTAGGTAAAAATTAGTCATTTATCCTGATACACGGTATGAAACGTTCTTTAGCTTGAGCAGAACAAGTAAAAAAAAATCTATGAAGTAGAAAACAAACAAAAAATGAAATATCATGCTGCTTGATTTTTTCTTGAGCTAGTTTTAGCAGTATGCCAGACAAACACAGTGATACAGAGTTCTACAGATATTTATAGCATTAATATTTAAATTTATTATCTGTATAAAATAAGAAAGCTATTTCTATCAAAAAAATCCTTTGAGCTGTACATATCCGTACATATAAAAAACTTCCAAATCAATCCAGGAATTACTGTATGTTGGAATCATGTGATCAGATCTGAGGAGCAGTTTCTGAAATCACAGGTTGTGGTTGGTACAAGTGGCCCAGATTGTGTGTTGAAAGAAAAAGATTAAAATAAACATTCCTTCATGAAGACAGGTGTAGGGAGATGGACTTGTTCAGCCTGGAGAAGAGAAGGCTGCACGGTGACCTCACTGCACCCTTCGAGTACCTAAAGGGAGCCTACAAACAGGAGGGGAGCCAACTTTCTACAAGCGTAGATAAAGGCAGGAAAAAGGGAAATGGTTTTAAGTTGAAGGAGGGAAGATTTAGGTTGAATGTCAGGGGGAAGTTCTTCACCAACAAAATGCTGAGGTACTGGTGCAGAGTTGTGGATGCCCTGTCCCTGGAGGTGTTCAAAGCCAGGTTGGATGGGGCCCCTGAACAGCCTTGTCTAGTATTACATATGGAGGTTGGCAGCCCTGCCTGTGGCAGCAGGGTTGGAGCTTGATGATCCTTGAGATCCCTTCTAACCCAAACCTTTCTATGATTCTATAAAAGTATGCCCTCAACATTTTTACTGTATTTTACTGCATTAATCTCTAGACAATAGCTAGGATCAACTACACGGCAAAAGTCATTTTGTTTATTAAAGCCTACGCACAAGGCTGCAAAAAAGATTGCTGTTCAGATTCTGTTGAGACCTGACAGACTCAGCCTTGGACAGCCTTCATGTCTTACAGCTAACTGCAAAATACACTGGTGAAGAATACATTATTTACCAACAAAATTTCACCATGTTTTAAGAATGTGATTGTATAATCAATAGATATCAAGATGTTATAATCACAATTGTATAATCAATAGATAAAGATGTTATAATCACAATATAATCAAGAGAGTTAGGCAAAGTAGATAACGATAACAAAAAGAGAATAAGTGGAAGAGCTCACCCTTCGGCTGAGCTCACCACAAAACACCAAGAGAGGTGATCTCCAGACGAGATCCTTCCCCTCTGGCAGCCAGCTCTTCAATAGGTCTAGGAGGGGTGCAGCCTGGCTCCACCCCTTCCCGCAGCACAGGTGAATTGAATTGCCTTCACCTGTGCTCCTCTGGCTGACTCACGGCTCGCCTCAGGTGATCAATCAGAGGTTCAGGCCGTGACTCAGCAGTTCCCATACAGTGATGTACAACTGTACTTCTCTTAAGTCGACTCAAGATTCCTAAAAGTGATCTGGTTTGCCTATCTACAACCAAACTCAGACTTGTAAAGAGACAATCCACAACCATCATATCACCACAGTTAATTAATGTTACTGATCTCTGCAGTCAGAATCTTGAAGACAAATCTTCCATCATTTTGTTTTGCTGTGCACACCTTAGCTTCCAGGATGTCATTATTCTAATGATTAGATAGGAATAACTTATAGCCAACTTACAGCTACCTGCATCCACGTCCATACTTCGATTCTAAAAGTTCATTTGCCTTCCTGACTTGCAGGCAGGTGTTCAACACAAAATGTTTTCCCATTACGTCTAATCCATCAGAAATTCAGAATAAAGTTATTAGTTACAATCAGCACCTACCTGTAACTATCATTCTCCTTATTATATCTCACTAAGGCAAAAATATCTGTCATCCAGTTAAGGAAATGAATCCATTACTAATGAAGTTCACATATATTTTAATCACTTTTTTCCGTGCAGCAGATAGCAGATTTAATAACAGTCAAGTATAATTCAATGTAAAGACAAAATATTCTAGACTACGTACATTCTATTTTTATAAAGGGAGTTTCATACAAAATTATTGCATTTGAACCATTTTAAAAAATAGAGCTACTACTATTAACACAAACTTCTTGCTGCTTCATGAAGCCAAAAGGGTGCTACATTGTTTTGTGTTTGTGAGTTTGACAGACTTCAGATTAAAAATTCAGAATAAAAATTTAGATGATAAAAAACACCATCACCACACTGATTCCCACAGTCACTCGTGCTGAAACTCCCACTGAGAAAAAAAGAATCCCACAAAATAGTTCTGCTAGAAGGGTTCTAAGAAAACAGAGAGGAAGATATAAACCGAGAATACTCAAATATGCATTTAAGATGTTTAACAGTGTATTGGCTAGTCTTCAGCTGCCACTACAAAAGGGTAAAGATCTTCCCAAATGACCTAATCAAGTTCATATAGACATAAAGCACATCTGCCCCTCTGACTCATTATGAAAGCAGTTAATTCAAATAACAGAAAAACAACTCCCTGAAATAGCAGACAGTAGGTACATTTTTCAGTAAAGCGTCTCAATGAGAAGTTCATGTACCTCAGGTAAATAGAAATCCCTCAGAAGCCAGACTTTCATGAAGTTTTCAAGGATCAGTTTTCTGGTATTATGAGGATAGTACCTCATATCTTTAATATTCTGCTCAATGTTTTCCATTCATCAACCCATTTATTTGGCACCATCTTTAAGCTGTTTTCCTCAACAACAAAGAGGCAGGCAAGCAGATCTTTCTGTTGCAGGTTCTACCCTAACCTACTTTCCAGTTATGTGTGTATGGCAATCATGCAAGTCTTCATGCTTCCTCAAAAACATTTCCAAGCTATATAATGATACAAGAACATCTATAAGCATCCTCACAGGCCTTCCCCACCCAGTAATCACTCTAAAAAACAAACAAATTCATACGAAGTAAAGCCATGATGAACTGATCCTCTGTGGGGAGAGGCTCCAAGAGGCTCCACGTCAACAACCAAGAATATCTCTCTCATGAAAATAGTCATAAGTGAAGACAAGTTTACTACTTGAGCATGCAGTAAGCCTGGTACCCAGCCTGGTATCCAAATCACTAAGGAACAAGAGAAAATGGAAAACAGGAATGCTAGTCTGGCGTAAGAGGTTCTGGCAACACGTGCCCCATGGCCAGGAGGCTATTGAACCTTGCAATGTTTGTTAGAAATTAAAAAGAGCAGGGTTAATTAATTACATAATATGTCTTCTTAACATCAATAAAGGAAGAATTACATCTCTGTTTATGAACGCTGACACGGATAAAGAGTTATACTGACTTGATAAACTTTTACTGTTTGGTAATATTTGGGTTGCTCTGCTAACTAAAGGATTTTGTTTGTTTTCGTTTTAAGTGTGGAATTTCTTTTGCTCTAGATGCTTCTTCCCTGTAGAGCAAATTAGATTATTATCAATCTAAAAAGAAAGATTAGCAAGAAAATTCCAACAGTGAGCAGTCAATGTGACAACTAGGTTTAGAAGTTGAAGCAGTGATCACTTTTAAAGACTTTTCAACAGAGCACATGTATAAACTTTTTCTTCTTTAATTACATGTGCCATTCAATCTGGTCAAAGAGATGCCAGAATGGGATATATAGATCACCTGGTATGATCCCCATGACAGTCTGATGCAATTGACAGCAGCTTTTTGGAACTACATTGTCTTCACAATGTTTTCAAACAGAAGTTTGAAAAATACATGCTGCAACAAATCTGGAAGACAGGTGGTTTAAGGTCTGAAAGTCTTCAGATACAGTGAACCAAAATACATAAATACCCAAAATAAACATCATCTGAACATGGTAAGATAATATTCAGTAATACATGCAATCTTACTTAACATCAATAACAGAAATATTATTGTGAATTTATACTTTATGAAAATTTACAAAGTTTCATGAAATTGAGTTTGTGGAATAATGAAAATATACGCTTTTAATAAAAAGTAATCTGACATAGAAGCAGTCTTTTAAGCAGTCTGACACAAAAAAAATTATGCGGGAGACTTAAAGCTACTAGTCAAGTAGTTGAAAGTAAAGAACGCACCCTGTAAACAGCAAATAGGAGGAAGTTAGGGTAAAATTAGAAGCAATATTAAAAATAAAGACAATTAAAAAAGTAGAAAATATAAAGAAAAAGATACGTGTAAAATGAGAGCGAATCATGGATGGCTTGAATGCTGGAGCAGTCTCTTCCCCTTCCTGAAATACGATAGTGACAATGTCATTTCCAATATGCCGCTTCCTTTCTACCTGAAAGAAAAAAAAAAGGGGAAAGAGAAAGACAGAGAGGGGAAAAGGAGGGGAAGAGAATGACTTAAAGGAGATCAATGCCTTAAAAATTCTGTGACAGAACTCTGAAACAATGCTCTTAAACTGGATGCGGCTTACAAAACGTCAAGCATTAATAAAGAGTATCACAAATATCTTTAAATAATTAATACTATCTCCAATCATAAGCAACTCAGCTTAGCAATGTCATGTACTGCTTTCTTTTTTTTTTTTTTTTTTAAATGAGCAGAGCTGTCAGAATTTACAAGCATTAATATTCACAAGCAGGAAATGGAACAACTAGGATTCCATAAAAGAAAATTCATTACTTGAAATAAAAGGAGAAAAACCCCAATTCTGCATTACTCTTTTATAATAATTGAAGTCCTCTGGTTTATTCTGTGATCTTGTTACTCAAGGCAGAAGTATGAGAAGATTGACACTTCAGAAAGGGTCAAGTGATGAATGCAAGACAGCATATCTGAAAAGTACCCACGAACCTACCTGGTTTTCCTATGAAGAGAACAATGGCATTGCCTCACAGCAAATGCACAAAGCTCACCATTAGCGCACTAACAAGCAGACTTTCTTTCAAACTACATTAATTATTACCTGAGTATGAGCTGTATGAATTATCAAAACACTTTCATGCATACCATACATGTCTAATTTTCAGCCTTCATAAAATCTTTGAAAGCAATGGCAACTGCAGCAGTGAAGCTCTACAAATCATCTGACTGTCAGAATACTTCATTATTTTTTAATTAATCAGTATTGATATTCTTTGCAAAACTCTTCATTTCTAAACTATGAACAGGAAAAAATATCCCTATCTTATTTTAAGAAGTTTTGGAGTCTTTGATTACTGGGAAAGGAGGTGGGGGGGGGGGAATAAGGAAAAAAAGGGAGGATGAGAGAAATATGTACCTGCTGTTTGTTCTCTCTAGAATATGGTAGCATTGTTGAAACATGGAACATAATTTCATGCCCTTGGTAAACTGTATAGATGGAAAAGGTTCCTGTGGTATCATCTGCAAAGAAAGACAACGTTCTTAGCAGAAATATGCCCTTTAAGTTTCCAAAAGATTCAAAAATATTTCAGGTCATTCTTTCAAATTTTCTTTAGTCATCCCTTTTTCTGACCCATTTTAGATTTATACTTTTGCACAGATGTCTGAATTTGAGTTTGCAGTCTGATCTGTGTATTTAAACAGCTAAAACCTATGACATCCTTTACCAAGCCTCCTGAAATCACATATAGGTCTTAACACAGCCATAATGCCCTATCGTTATAAAGTATGTCAGGTTATTCCTTCATTCCCTTCACTTTAAAATACAAGTCGTATAAATACTTCTCTTTCCCCAGTGATTTAAGCTAACCTGATTTACTGTTTTCTGGTGAAGCAGAACATTTAGCAAGCATATAAGAAGCCTGTTTTGAAATCATATTATTTCTAAAGTACACATATTATATCCATGCAATAAGCAAAAACAATTTAAATTGCAGCCTCTGCTTCTTTTCTTCTTACTTTTTGTGTCCAGTCCCCCTCTGTAGCCTGTCCAGCCTTTCAAAGTAATCGTGTCACCCAAGAGATGCAAAAATCTTTGAAAGCTTTCACTTCCAGTTTCTACACATGGAAAGGGGAACAGTTACAGTAGAAAAGCACGTGCATAACACCTATCAAAGATTAATCAAAATACAGGAACAAGTCCTGTATGCAGGACATAAGGACCAGAGTTAGTTTCTCCTAGTGTCATCCAAGCCTTCTACCCTGACAGAAACAGCCTCTCAGTCTTGCAGAATTATAGGAAAAGGATAATCATGCAACACTACAGAATCATCTCTTCAGCTAATGCCATAACACTATTTAAGCACATGCAAGAATGTAATAATGATGTGAAAGTATAAGAATGAGAAGTAGAAACAACAGGACCTTTCTCAGGTAACATGAGTCGCCTCCTTCAATTGCTTCTTTTTTCAAACCTTACTTTGTATAGTCTATTTCTAGGGAGAAAATTTCAGCACAGTCCAAGCTGTAGTAGTAGGGTTCTTGTGGCAACCTTTCGTAGAAACAGAAGAGTCTATGCTACATTTTTCCCACCAAACACTAGCATGAAAACCTAACAAAATTACTGTTAAAATTATCATTATCTGTCATCTGGGCACTACCCTATGGTTTTCAATTGTATGAATAGAACAATTAAGGAAAAGGGGAAAGACTCACCATTGCTGAACATTTCATCATCTGTAAGCTGCCCATCCTTAGCATAAAGGACTCCAAATTTAAAATTCACAGATCCCTAAAAAATTAAACAAAAAATGATTAGCTAAATCAATCAATCTAAAGGCCTAAAATAAATGTTCACAAATCTAAGGTTTTTTAAAAATATGTAGCTTTGTGTATATCTTGCACATGTGAGTACTCACCTCATATCAGTTCCATTACATGTAGAAATAACAGACATCTAATAATTTACCTCTGACTATAGACTATGAATTACATAACATACTTTTCATAATGGTGCTTAAAGTGATTTTCAATTTCATATTGAAAACTAATACTACATTTTTTACTGCAATAAGCATCAACTTGAAATTTGTCACAAATATGTTAGGACAAATATTTCAAATACAATGCTCAATTCATTGAATAGATCTACGAACTAAGAGTGTAAGCTTACATTTACCTCTTGCTCTTCAAGAACCAATAAATCCTGTAAATAAAACACTATGTTTAGCACTCTCATATTAAAGACAACACAAATCATTACATTATTGCATATTTGTTTTGTTTTGAAATGGCCAGTTCAACTGATAAAAAAAAATTTAGTTGTAAATACCAAAACCCCTTCTCTCATTTATCCTGCTATTGTAACAAAGCAGAAAAAAATATTCGCAATGTTTTATTTTCCAGAAAATAATAAAAAAAGCAAAGAAACACGGGAAGTCACAATCTACCTTCTGTATATCAGGATGAAAAATTTCCCTTGGCCCCTTCTCAAATTTCTCAAGACTCATTGCGCTGAAATGCAAATGAAATGTTGTTTAATAGAAAGAACACATTTTCAACATTAAAGTATTATTAATTGCAGTTATGCCACCTATTGAAAGGAATTGTTCAACGAGTCTGCCTAATATGGAATATTTTGCGGAACTGTTATTTCTTTTTCACAATGCTAATCTCTAAGATTTCCTAAATTTCTTTCGGATTTTAAGAACAGAAATTACTAAGGCCTTGGATGGAAGTGAGGATTATGTTTACAGCATTTAACACGTATTCGAAATCCATTATCCTTCACTTCTGCTTTATATATACCTACTAAAAGCATTCTATATTACTCAGTAACTGTACAATCAATAGATATCAAGATATTATAATCACAATATAATTGTGTATAATCAATAGATATCAAAATATTATAATCACAATATAATCAAGAGAGTTAGGCAAAGTAGACAACGATAACAAAAAGAGAATAAGTGGAAGAGCTCACCCTTCGGCTGAGCTCACTAGAAAACACCAAGAGAGGTGATCTCCAGAAGAGATCCTTCCCCTCTGGCAGCCAGCTCTTCAATAGGTCTAGGAGGGGTGCAGCCTGGCTCCACCCCTTCCCGCAGCACAGGTGAATTGAATTGCCTTCACCTGTGCTCCTCTGGCTGACTCACGGCTCGCCTCAGGTGATCAATCAGAGGTTCAGGCCGCGACTCAGCAGTTCCCATACAATAACCTACTCTGGTTTGTAAGCTTTTCTTCTGTCTTTTCTAAAACAATACAAAAATCACAGAATGGATTGGGTTGGCAGGAGCCTTGGAGATCATCTACTTCCAACCCCTCTGCCACCAGCAGAAACACCATCCACTAGCAAATGTTGCTCAAATTCCCGTTCAACCAGACACTGAACATTTCCAGGCATGTGGATAAGCAGCAATTAAAATAAAAAACTGTCAGTTTAGCATAAAATTGAAGTAACAAAGATACAAAAACAGAACAGAAAAACAGAAGAAAGGGTATTTAAATGAGAAGCATGATCAACTGCCTCAATAAACAGAAATATTCAATACGCTCCTGCATTTATTATGGCTTTGTCCATTTATTTCAGTACAGAACACAATCTGTCTAGAATGCAGCAAACTAACATGTATGTCAAGTTTGGTGCACCTTTCCATTTTTATTTAAGCTGGATCACAATGTAGATGAGATTTGCTCCATTTCCTTTTCAAAGTGATTACAATGTCCCCATTCATTCACAACAAATGGGCTTATTAATATATTGATAACTCTTTGGAACAGTTCCTACCAAGATTCACACTTGGTGGAAACAGGGTAAGGTGCCAAAGGAATATTAATCAGCTCTGAGGGAAGGCTCAAGGAACCTTCTTAGGGGCAATGGAGTATTCAGATTTATTTCATGCCTCAGTGGGCAAAAGGAGGCAACATTCATCCAACTGATCCCAAGCAGCAAACACGCTAGGGAAAACAAGGAACAGGGGTCTAAAACAAGCTTCCATTTTCCTTCAAAATCTGGAGGATGGAACACCCACATGAAGGTGTTCCAATAAATGAGTAACAGCGTACCTAACAGAAGCCAAAATTTCTTGCATCTGGGATGTCTGAATTAGACTGTGCATCTTGGTGAGAGGATGGGAGAGGCTGTGTTACTAAGTGATGTTAGGAAGTGATGTTTCAGCAACTGGTGAACAGACATGGAAAATCAGGTGTTTACACAGGTACAGAACACAGTGCTGACAACTAGGGACAGTGTTCACTCCAGACCTGCAGAAGCTGTGAGGGGACTCAGTTCATCTTAATGAGGAAGGTAGCAGATGTCTGAAGTGTTCTCAACTCATCATCTTGACATCAAACCAAAGCCACAGGTCAAGAGATAAAAAATTTCAATAAGTGAGCCCCAATGTTCTGACTAGCCTCTCTGGCAAAATCAGTGGACTGGGGCTTCTCATAAAACTTGGAGAGTTGTGGAAAAACCAGATCTGGTGCTTGTGACTTCACAGTATATGCTCTACTCCCATAATGTTTCTCTTACATCAGCATTAGCAGTCTTATCCAGTGAACCAGCCTCTGAGCAAGAGACATTTGCCTTCACCCTGTTACGTATCAAAGGTTTTGGAGATCCAATGACTGCCCATTCATCTGACACATACTACCTGCTCAGCAAAATGAATACAATTGTTACGAGTTTCTAGAGGAAGTACAATCTTTGCATAAGTCGAAGGCTGAATTTGAAGTTTTCAGAGAGGACCTTGAGAAAATATGCCACATAACTAGATTATAAAAAGTGCAGGTGAAATCTGAATAAACACTTTGCAGAAAGGGGTTCTGATGTTTCAGTTGATAATATAGTTAAAAGAAACAGAAAAGGTATTGGGCTGCTCACTTTATATTCTCTTCTGTCAGAAAAGTGGAAGAACAGTATAAGTGTGCTCATACTGACTGGCTGGGAGAAAGAATCTTTTAATCTCACTGACAGAGTGCATAAAGCACACAAAGTGTGGATTTGCAAGGAAACAATCACTTGCAGATAAAATTCTTGGTTTCTCCCTTGTTTGCTTCCTCTTGTCAGTGCCACATAATCTGCTCTCTAGTCAAAATCTGCTGCTCTTTACTCCTGCTCCTGTCTAATTTAAGTAGGTCGTTCTTCTCAACCAGTGAAGTGTTGAGAATCAATCTATTGTAAGTTATCACTTTGTCTACTATAGGGCAGGTATTAAAAGTACGTTTTGCTGTCCTCGGTGATGAAGATTTGCAAGCCTATTATTCCTGCTTTTTAAAATCTATCATGAAAATAATGAAACAAGTTCTGATTTACAGTAAAAGACAAATATCAGATAATTTACTTGTTAATACATACCTTAATATAGATTTCACTGATAATGTTTTTGTGGGACTGTAAGGGAGACATATTTTCTGAGTACCCTACAAAGTGGAAAAACAAAAAACCAACCAAACAAAAAACAACAACAACAACAAAAAACAAACAAAACAAACAAACAAAAAAAACAAACAAACAAAGCAAGGAGGCATTAGAGGTTATACCGATTTTTCCATATATTAAAATAGGAATACTGATAAAAAAACAATTAAGTAAAATGCAAAGATCAAGATCATACTAGCTTTACTTAGTTGTATTTCCTACTGAAATAAGCTGAATGTGAAAAGGCATGGATGATGCAAAATTTTTTTTTCTCAGTTCTGACTATGCTGGCACGGAGGAACTTCAAAAGGAAAGTCACAGTGCAACGCAGTACTGAAAGGTATTAAATCAATTGTTTAGATATAGGTCATTATGAAGAGGTCCATGGGAAAAAAATCCTCAAGATATCAATGAAACCAGTATCACATTTAGCTATGTTCTTATTATCATATAAAAATATCAGTATATCTGTGCTATGAAGTCACTATATAAATTCATCACAAAACATAAATCAAAAACAATTTAGGCAACATTTCTAAAAATAATGCAGAACTCCACGTAAGAAAAATTACAAAATAACTACTGTCATAAATCTCTGTCAGAAAATTTAGTGTAAGTTACCCACTAAGCTAGCTTAGTGCTATCTACTAGGGTAAAATTTTACATTCTCCTACAAAATAAAAACTATATACTAAATACTGAAATTCTGAAGAAAGCAGAAAAGTCTATGATCAATGCATCTAAAACAAACAAGAATACAAATGAACAAAAAAGGCAAAGCAACAATTAAGTATTTATTTCTTACCGTTTTTCTCCAAAGAATTGAATGGTATTGAGGAACACGCTGATTATTTTGGTCAGAAAGTACAACAGACAGAAAGAAAGGGTTCTTCTCTGAGTCTGTACCTACATAATTTTGATGAACTATTGGAAGAAAAGTAGTATTACCCACTGTCAAGAAAACACACATACTCATAAAATACACAAAACATAGAAAATAAACGATTATTTATGTAAATATTTATTTATACAAGATATGCATTAAAACACAAGAGAGGTATAGATTTTAAGGCCTAGAAGGGCTTAAAAATCTTCCTGTTCATTAGCAGGATTTCTTCTGCTTACAGAACCACATCCTCTGTCTTCAAGTTAAAAATACACGAAATAAGAACTTGCTTTCAATACAGGACAGAAAACACATTAAGTTAATACCATCCTTGTTCAATATATAAATAACAGGAATTCCAAGATTTTTTTTTTTTTTTTGCACAGAACAAAAATTCAGGCAATTCACAAAAACACTAATACCTTTTCCTAAAAAATATTTGAAATACCATCTTGTATAATACTCTGGATTTTCCAAATGCACATCTGTCCTGTGCCATGTACCTGGAGCGTAGCCTGTATTCTGAAAAAGAATTGGAAGACAGTTCAGTCAAATGCTGCACTAAAAAAATTGAGAACGTAACAGTTGAAGAAGCCACCAAGCATGGTCAATTCACTGGAAGAATTCTAGTTGTACACTTTTTTTCTTTTTTTCCAAAAGCCAAGAATTATTCTGAAGTGAGTTGTTGTATAGTTGAAATTAAAGCATTTTTCTTCTGTTTTTTAAATAACTGCAGTCTTCTCCCTTCATATCACTATTACAGGTAATACCTTAGCATCCCACTGAAAAGTAGATCTTTAAATATTTAATTTGAAGACCTATGTTTTTAAAATTTAAGAGTAAATGAATAAATAAACAGATTTCTCTCCTCACAAGTTTCATTTTCTCCTTTCTTCCCAAAATATTTCTCAAGGACTCCTAACTGGAGCAGATAATGCTGTAGAAATTCAGCATGCCTCACTCCTTTTCCACTACGAGAATTCATAAGGAATAGGCCATGTCTATTTATCATGTGGTATTTCACCAGTCACTCAGAGAATCTATCTATAATAAAAGATTAAGAGCTTTTGAACTGCATGAAACTTAACTGAAAATCCAATCTACAGAACACAACCCAAGAGGGAATCAATGCAGAATATCTAATTTAATGCTGCACCCAATGCTGATGCAAACTAATAACTTATGATTCATATCAGTTCATCATAAGTTTACCAAGACCTTACATACTCTTCAAGACTATGAAGTTTTCTTTCTTCAAATATTATGGTGCTATTTACAGCCAAAAATGATTTTCAAAGGAAGACAGCCTTCCCCTCCCAATTATTTAAGGAGAAATCTAAGTGTTGCTGGAGAACTTAAGGTGAATGACTCTTTCAGACTCCACTCAGCTTCTTCGTCTCATATTTAAAAATAAACATAACTGCCTAAACACATCTAGGAGAAAAAGATGCTATACCTTCATCACACCAAGGAAAAACTTACAAAAAAAAAACCAACAAAACAAGCACAAAGGGGACACTGGTGTAACATGGTGAATTAGGGACTGCAGAGGATAAAATGAATATTTTTCTTCTAATTTCATAAGCTGAGCAAAGTATTACAAAAAAAAGGAAATATCTCTTTCCTTAAAAATTAAATTGTTGAGATTGTGTACTCCTAAACAAATACTTAAGCTAATCTTGGGGGGTAACAAACACCATTTCCCTCCTCTTAGATTCTTACATTTTCTTATTTTTTAACATCCTTCAAGATCACTCTCCTAGTAATTGACTGTAACTACTTCTTCCGGTTGAGAAACTGAAACTGAATTATTTTTTCAGCTTTACATATGTTTAACCACTTACCTCATCAGCGGAGCCATTTTCCACACGGAATCGTCCAGCTCTCTGAATAGCTCCATCAGCATCACTAGATATAAGCTATGAGAGAGTTTAAGATAGAGTTTCTAGTTCCAAAAATATCCATATGATCAGCAACCGAATCTTACTGGGTTTCTTTTTCTTCCAGGTGTCCTATCAAAACTCACAGAGGAATCAGCACAGCTGCTACCCATCTGACTACAGATTTGCAATGATCCAAATATAACTCTAAGGACACACGAATGGGAGAGCTATACACTCATCTAGCAGATCCTAACCTAGTTCTTTTAGTTCTTTCCTTCCCAGTACACAGAGGCAAGTACACATAAAATCAGACACATGCATGCTCACGTTAACACACAGGCAAGCACACAGTTTTTAGCTCGAATAATTGCACATGCCTTATCAAATAGAAACATAATATTTGGCAGTTTTCAACTTACAGGAGGAACCATAGATCAATTTCAATGTTTCTGAATTTTTTTTTTTGGGGGGGGGGGAAGGGGTGGGAGAAGGTTTGAGGGGTAGTGGTGTAAACAGGATATTTACATAATATTTTGTGCCCCATTAAAATGAAAGCTTCCCAAGTAAGGTTGTAAAAAGATTACATAGCACACACCTCACACAGCTGTTCTGAAGTCTCTTTTTACTACCCTTTAATTTTTCTAGTCCAGCTTAGAATAAGCATTTTCCAAAACAGATGCAATTTTTTACCTGGAAATGAAAAGGATTTGAATTCCACATTAAAAGCTGTTTAAATTAAAGGATGGGCAAACAAACTTACAAGCTCCACGGATCCATAGTGCTTCCTGCTGAACTCTCCACGTCTGCAACCAAGATCTTCAGAGACTGAGCTGGAACAGAAATGCTTCATCAGTATACACATTCAACAAGCCCTAGATTTCATGCAACCCTACACACTACCATCAACAAAAGCCATCCCTGCGGAACAAGGTTTCCAGTGCGAAAGCTTGTTATTGCAGGGAAAACTCCTTACAATGTGCACAGTGTAGCAGCCATTGCAGTCTGGCTTTCATACTACTGCCAAAAGAACAGAAATCTCTGTGTCTTGACTGTAAGCAAAATCTACTATTAAATTAAATATCTAGTCATGATGTGACCAATTTGGAATTCCAAAGTGGTTTATAAATGCAAAACTTTGCGCTTCAAACAGGACAACTGCACTATGTTCAATAAGCTATGCTCAGCATGCTGCTAAATATTTTTTTTTCCAGAAATTCTTTTTTTTTTTAGACTATATACAGCAATTAAACAATTGTTTTAATTCAAAAGCGTAACAAAGGAACAGCATTGACAGGTTTTCTCCACCTATAACGAAGATAAAACTGTCATGCAAGCAAAAGGAGACACTGAATTTCACATTCACAGTCTACATGCACTAGCATTTACCATCTTACAACATTACATCTCATTAAGCAAATCAGCATGTATTTCGCAAGCTCAAAACAGAGGGCAAACACCTCCTCTAACTATAGACACTAATCCTCCCATATTTGTAAATGTTAAAGCAAAATAAATATTTAGATGCAAGTACAACAGGAATTTTGACTAATTAGTCAGTGCCAAAGCTAGCAACTCAGTCACACCATCATATTTCCAAACTTACTTTCAATTCACTCTACTGTCAGCTTTAATGGAGATCCTTTTTTTTTCCAATTAAAATGACTCTATTGCCTCTGAAGGCAATGAAGCCACAGTTCTGATGTCTAAGGTACACATACATTCCACAATAGCAATAAAACCAGTCGCCTATATGAACTGAGGATAATCCACATTAGATTCGATTTTAAAAAGCTCCAAAACAATCACTCAGTTGGAAACATAATTATGTTGAAGTACTAACAGCTGAACACTAGTCCTGGAATCAAAGTTGACCTCAGATGAATCCCACAACCCAGCGTTACATATCATCAGTATCTGAACATTAGTAAAATACGTGCGATCATTAGTGAAATATGTATCTTGAACAAAACATCTCATTAGCAAGAGATGTAGCTTAGCTAAAGCACTACTAGAACATACTAACCTTTCCTTGTTTAGAAGCATTGTTTCAAGGCCTATGAGTACACAAACGTACTTGACTCCTCCTTGAGCCCTGGCCAGGCTTTAGGTGAAATCCAAAGGGAGAATGAAACCAGATGTTTCCACCTAATTGTCAGGTAAACTTGGTTATTCAACAGTTTAAAAGCTGGACTCCCTTGCAGCAAATCTGGAGACCTCACCTACGAGTGGGTGCACTGCACAGAACCTCCCAGTTGCTGAAAAAGGCTCTAAATCCTGGCTGTAACCGGGGCTCCCCAGCAGCTGGGGATCTGAATAATGGTAAAGTATTAGGGCAATTGGAAATGTGTATTTCTTAATCACTACCCTCATGTAGTAACAGTTAGTTGCACTGCCTTGTTCTGTTTTATTCTTGCTGCATAATTTATTAACTCACTGTTTTAAACTTAAGTAAACAACTTCTTTAACTTGGTGTCTGAGACCTTTGTGCTTACCTCGTCCACTGGCAAAACATACATAAACACAAATATAATAACTTAAGCTTTCAGCTTTTGATGACCTGCACAACAAACTTATTTCGAACGTGAACAGTCAATAATCTTAAGTTTCCCGAGGATCACAATGAAACACCTTCCAAGAAAACAGTACAATCTCATACTGGAAATATGCACAGTAGAGAAAAGTCCGCAACAGAAAAAAAAAAAGAAAAAAAGAGCTTGGATCCTTGCCCTAGCCACCAAACCAACTACAATTTGACCTTACCTATGATGCACTTTTTCATAGACACAAATATTAAGGAATCTTATCTGACAGAAAATAAACATTGAAGCCTGTGGTCCAAAAAGCTTGCGCTGTAACAAAAAACAAAAACTCCTCCTTTTTCCCCACTGCAAAAAAAGAAGCAGACAAAAAGGAGAGAAAGAACTCTTTGGGCAGCTTGTACCAGTGCTCTATTATCCATACACAAAAAATGCTTCCTGATCTTTAAACAAAAGCAGCTCTCGCACTCTAAGGGGTCAAATACATCTTGTCTTGTCATGAGATGTTTGTTAGTCCACTTTTCCAACTTGTTGAAGTCTCTGGATGGCAGCACAACCCTGTGGTTTATCTGCCACTGCACAGTTGTTTGGTTTTTTTTTTGTCACCTGCAAACTCATTGAAGGTACATTTTGCCCAGACATCCAAACCATTAATGAAGATGTCAAACACAGTTGGATTGATTCCTAGAGTACTCAACTAGTCACTTGTCTCCAACTAGACTTTGCACCACTGACCACAACACTCTGGGCCCTGCCATTCAGCCAGTTTTGGTCAACATTATTGTGCACCCATCCAGCTCGCACATCAAGACAGATGAAACAATCTTAAATGGAAATCAAAAAAACACCAGCTTTTTTTAGATCACAAAGCATGAACATACATAATTAAGTTCTAGTTACAGTGATCACGCGCTGTAAGAACTTCACATGCAATACTTTTTTTTCTTTTCCTAGACTTACTACTGTTGCTACTGGACCTGTGAATTAAACTTCTCCTGTAATAGCCCCACACTATTGCACAGAAGTTACAGCAAACAGCAGCCCTTACACCCCTCAGTCTGCAACACAGAGAAGACGGCCCAGAGCACTGCAAATCCTGAATACACCTGTGCATGAACCACCACCTATTACAGTTAACTTTCACTTGTTGTTTTGTAGCAATAATTTACATATTTGAACCATCAAAACTGTTTCAGATGCTCTCATTTTACTCTCATTTTACACATAGGTGTGTGCTTTACAGTGTTTCACACATGCATAGTCTTTCCATCATCTGAAGGGAAGAATGAAACAAACTTTACTTCAGTATGATTTGCAGTAAAGAAAAAAATTGTAACTATTACTCCAGAGTTTTCATCTTTTCTTACAGAAGGTAACATACAAGAAATTAATTTCAAGATTAGCATCTATGCAGACAAAAATAGGGACATCCGATTTTTTTTTTTTTCTTCCACGTAGAACAAGGAGTTCTCAAGTTTAATTTCATACAGGATTAAGCTTCTTCTCACATCTTGGGGAGAATTTGGAAAGCACGGATCAGAAATTGTACTCCATGCATTAGGTTTTAAGTTCCTGCATTCTGCAACTCATGTGAAACTTGGCATATACTTCATGAAGGAAACTGAATACCTCAATTGCAATGTATTTTAAGACACTAAGTATTTCACATAATACATTGACTTTTACAGAAAAGTTGGATAAATGTAGTGCTAGGATTTTCTCTGTGTACTGCTTTTGTTCTGTACAATTCATTTTTGTGGCTAAGTGTGCTTGGAAATTACTGTAAAAGCAATTTTAATCAACAAGCATTTGCCGCTGTCAGTAATGGTGGTTGATGAGCAGACTTTGCTGTTGCTGACCTTTGAAATTCTAAGTTCAGTCTCTGACTAAGTGAAGAAATACACAGATTCATAGAATGGTTTGGGTTGGAATGGACCTTCAACATCATCTAATTCCTACAGCAGAGGGGTTGGCAGGGATACCTTCCGCTAGACCAAGTTGCTCAGAGCCCCATCCAGCCTGGCCTTGAATGCTTCCAGGGTGCGGGCACCTACATCTCTGGGCAACCTGTTCCAGTGTCTCACCACCCTCATGGTAAAGAATTTCTAACCAACATCTCACTCAAGTCTACCCTCTGCCAGTTTAAAATCATTTCCCCTCATCCTGTCACCAAGCGAAAAAAGAAAAACAGTAAGAGTCACTAACACAATAAATCTTGTCAAGTTTTGGGGAAGCCTAGCAGTGAGGAAACTGTTTTATGGGGCTGACCTGATTCCAGACACAACACAAATTCCGAAGTCACCACAAAGGGAATCACCAGTCTACTGTGCTTTCAATAACATCATCCACACCCGAGTAATTTTCAGAGAGTTACATAAATTGTGATAGGTCCACAAAACAGAAAAAAAAAGTAAGCTGAGTTTATAAAATTGAACTCCTTCCTGCCTTAGTAAAAGCTAATCTCAAAGTGGATGAAAGTAGAGAAAAGTGTCATCGTATGAATTATCTGAAGAATAAAATTGGAGAATTATGATGGCATTTTACAGCTATCTGCATACCCACAAACTAAATCCTATACTTCAGCATACTTAAAGTTGAACTCCTCTCACAGCATATTAATTCTGTGAAGATAATATGGTCAGATGCTAATTAAAAGCTTCAGAAGTAAAACACAAAGTGTTATTCAAAAATAAATATTGTACAACAAGAAAATTGTTACAGGTATATAACAGAGGAGTACACTAAGGTAACAAAAGCATAGGTCATCAAAGCAAAGGAGGGCATGACTTCAAAACAATTAATTTAGAAATACAAAAATGTAAAATAGATATTAACATATATGCCTGGTAGCCCATAATAAAGAGCCTGGGAAGGAACAGTCTGAGTATGGTTATTGGAATTTTTTATTTTTAATTTTTTTTGCATTTCCACAATAACAAAAAGTTGATTGTATTATTAAGGGTACTATCCAAGTGCCTCTTGAACACCAACAGACATGGAACATTAATGACCTCACTAAGAAGCCCGTTACAGTGCCTGATCACTCTCACAGTAAAGAGATTTATTCAAGTATCCAGTCTAAACCTCTAATGGCAGTTTTGTGCCACTGCCATGGTTACCAGGAAGAACAGATCGTCACCTCACTCTCCGCTTCCACTCCTCAGGATGTTTTTAAAGAGCAATGGAAGTAACTTCTTAGTTCTTAGTAGCCTTCTTTTCTCCAGACTAGACAACCTGAGTGTTCTCTGTCAGTCCTCACAGCACACAACTTCCAGCCCTTTTATCAGCTTTGTTGCCCTTCTCTAGATGCATTCAATTATCTTAACAGTCTATTTTCTACTTTGTGGAGCCCAGAACTGAACTCCATGTTCAAGGTGAAGCTGCACCAATATTAAAATACAGTGGGAGAATCATCCCTTTTCACCAGCTGTCTCTGCTGCATTTAATCTTAAAATGCAGTTTGCTCTTTTGGCTCCCAGTGTACATCACTGACTCATGTTGTGCCCACTGACAATCAGCAACCCCAGATCTCTTTTGCAGAGCTGCTCTCTAGCCACCCATTTCCCAGTCTGCGACTGGCATTACTTCACCCAGCATTTATCTTTGTTGAATATCGTGCCAGTGCTGATTGCCAATGCTCCAACATACCTAGAACCCAAGAAGGCCTCCCATACTTCTAGGGAGTAAACAGCACCTTTCAGTTTAATATCATCACTAACTAACTAACTAAGGGTGCATTCAACTCCTGTTTGCTCAATATACTTATTTTAAGGGTTGCAAATAAATTCTGTAACAGTCTGAGGAAACAAAAGATGCACTTTTTTTCAAACAGCTTTCAGACAGGATCAAAAAGAACTCTTCATGCTCACCACCACATACACTGTCATGCAAGTCAGTAACAGTTATCCATCAGTGCTTTTGCAATAATAGTCGTATCCTTCTGCATCCTGATTCAAAATGGCTAAAACATGTATAACTTTCACATACTATCCTTTTCACATCAGAATTATACTTGAAAGGTAGTCTTTGGTACTCATCAACCCAACTGCTTCCTACCATACTTCATATTAAGCAATTAGAAGCAGAATCTTGCACTAACATAAATGCTAAATAGACAACCTTGGCAAAGCTAAGCACCTTACTTTATGAAAAGACAAAATATAGATTATCATGTTATTTGCATAACTGCACATATTCCACAGTGAATTCCAGTGTGCACGTTCTTCAGCTTTCCATTCTTGGTTACTAGAGATTTTTCTCATCAACTCTCCGACTTCTCATATCATCTCAGTTAAAAAATATGCTGTAGTTACTATTAGCTTTTCTTACTAATTTTCTTCAGTATAGATTACATCCTTCCTCTGTCTCGACCTGATCTATGCTAGAAAAATACTTTGTTCCAGTTATGCCAGTTTCAAATATAGTAATTGTTGTATTAGGGCAAATACAGCCAGCACTGTAATATATGCTAGCTTCCCTGTGGCTCAGACTTATTTGCCTTAATAAGTTAGTTTACTTATATCGCCATGCGTTTTAATATATATGAGAAACAAGAAATCAAACAAAATAGTTTAAACACATTTGTGCAGTGCATACAGCAAACTCTATTTCCCTCTCTCACTTGTTTATAAACAAAGGCTTTGTATCCTAACAGATGAGGAAGAGGAAAGAGGACAAGCTTTCCCCTCATTTCATCAGAAATTCCTACAAACTTTAACAGTCTGAAAGCCAAATGGCAAAGCAAGTTTTCATATATTCTGCAACCCACACTTAAAAGGCATGTATTTTTACCACTCAAGCATCAAGTGCCTTGCATCTTAGGACTTTGACACCTGAAAGCACTTTACATGGAGGAGGTTTGGGGGGAGGAGATGCGACAGAAAAAGGTGAGCTTGCATGCTACAACTACTTGATAACAAAGTCACAGCTTGCATGTCCTCTTTGACTCTCCTGTCTCCTTACTTACACGTCTTTACCTCCCAGCCCTTCGACATATCGTATTGGTTAATCCATTTTCATTGAAGAGGCGGGCACAGACATAAGCACGCGAAATAACCGGCCCGCGGGCGCCCCGTCCGGCTCCGCTCACGCCACCAGCAGCAACCCCAGAGGAAGTGGCCGAGTCCCAGGGCTCGCAGCGCTCCGCTGAATGCCAGCCGGGAGCCTGCAGCACTATTCCTCGAAAGCCCGTCAGCCCCCATCCCCAGGCCCCCCGCACAGTACGAACACAACACCGCCTCTCCGTCATCGGCAGCGCGGGCCCTCGGAACGCCGCGCCCCGCCCGAGCCGCCTCTTTGGCTCCAGTACCGCTGAGTAAGGCCGAGGAACCGGGTGGACACCGCCTCTGCGCTGCTCAGCTCCATGCAGGCGGCGAGGCCGGGACCTCACCGCTCCAGCGTCGCGTCTCGCTCGAGAGAGACGACTCCTCTCACACATCCCGCTGCCCGGACGCACAGGCGCCTCGCGCGCGCGCCCGCTATGCTGCGCGAGCTGCTCGGACTCCGCGCTGCTGGTCGCGCTGCCGCGAAGACCGCCGGGAGCTGTAGTCCTAATCGGAGGCGAGCGGCCCGCCCTTCGCAGCGAGAGGTGCGGTGCGAGAAACACGGGCCCTGCTGTCGGCCAAGCACTGGCAGCCCGGCAGCTGCCGTCTCAGGTCCACACAGGAGAAGCTTTATCTATTCGCTCAGCCTCTCACATAGAAATGTCTGCTGTTATAGAGAAGCATATCGCTGTCCTCAAGTAATACCCAATGTCTGAAAGTCAGAGGAAGAATCGTAAGCTGCAGGCATCCAACGACTGCGTCTAAGTGATACGATATGAATATGATGCTCAATGAACAAAATTTAAATAATTGTTTTCATTTTACTCCAGGGCCAAAAAAGAGTAAGAATGCCCTGTGTGGG